AAAAAAGTTGGCCCAAGTTTCCGCCAGCTAAACTTTTTTTTTCCATAATAACCTCGTCCTCTTGACTGGCTATCAGTTTCTTGTCTCAAGATGTGGGAGGCTATTATGGTAGGCAGAGAACGATGGTGCTGGTAACACAACGTCCTGTCCTCTCTCCCCCAGTGCAACATGGGGAGTTTCTCCCTGTTATCTCTGCAGCTGCTCTGGATACTGGGTGGGGAGAAGCTGATTTCCACCCTAGGAAGATCTGCTGAAGTCCTCATGGAATGGGGGGGGGGGTTGACAGTCTCTCCTTTAGCCCCATTCGTAAGCCAAAAACTGGAGCAGCAGTGGGACAACTATTGGTGGAACAATTTAATTATTTTAGACCCCAGAGTTAATTACCGTATTTCTTGGAGGGGGGGTGCTCTTTGCATAGCCATGTGTATAACTTCAGTTCTAAAATTGCAAGTAATTTATCTCTTTCCCTCCATTTTTCCTTCCTCTCTATTTTTGTTTCTCTCTCTTTCTCCCTCTCTTCCACACACACACACACACAAACACGCAGTGCACATTTTACAATTGCTGCTACCTACGTCATTACAGCAAAACAAAGCAAAAGGCTTGCCAGCCACTTCGCTTGTGTGGCTGATATTTTGAAACACTTCAATCAGAACACAATTATGATTACAGAAGAGGGAAAAAAACACACACACTTCCCTGAAGCATCATTATTGTTTTGGGACAGCCTCGTGCATGTTTAATATGAACGATCACATGCAAGTTTTTGTTGGATAATAATAAAAAACAGAAATTCAAGGAGGCTGAAAAATAGTAGCAATCATGCGGAGGGACCTCAGCTCCCCATTTGCTGCTGTTACAAAATCTGAAGCATTTGAGTGTCATTTGGTGAGCCTTGAACTACTGGATTCTGAAGTGGATCTTAAAGATTGACATCTAACTGCAGCTTTCTTCTTCAACCAGTTATGTTCTAGTTTTATAATACTTCCAATGAGAAACAGACAAAGAAATGAAAGATGCATAGATGGGAGAGAGAGAGAGAGAGAGAGAGAAATTAGATGATAAATTAGAGAGCTGATAGATAGATAGATAGATAGATAGATAGATAGATAGATAGATAGATAGATAGATAGATAGATAGATAGATAGAGATAGATAGATAGATAGATAGATAGATAGATATAGATAAATTAAATGATAAATTAGATGATAGATAGAGATAGATAGATAGATAGATAGATAATTAGATGATAAATTAGAGAGATGATAGATAGATAGATAGATAGATAGATAGATAGATAGATAGATAGATAGATAATTAGATGATAAATTAGAGAGATGATAGATAGATAGATAGATAGATAGATAGATAGATAGATAGATAGATAGACAGACAGACAGACAGACAGACGGTAGATTTCTCCAGACTTTCCCCCACTTCTCCAAACAGTGGAAGATGGGGGGGAGGAGGAATTTAGAAACCCTGAGGCCCAGAGGATGTATTTTCTCCCTTCCTGTATTTGGATGATTTCAAACTATAATTTCTGGGAAAATCAAATCATGGATAATAGCCACTACCCAGCATTAAAGCCTCAAGCAAGATTTATTTAATGGTGTATTTTAATCAAAGAATCCTAAGAAGTGTATCCTAAGAAGTGTATTCATCCCAAAACCTGCCTGCATGCTCGGCTCAACCCTACTTTTTAGATTTTCCATTATTTTGAGGCAATAAACTTTTTTTCTTTTGAAATGATATTCATAAAAAGGAACTCCAATGTACTTAGAGTGTAGTGACAAGTCTACACAGGTTTCTAAAAATGAAATAATGTGCTTGTGGTTCCTTCACTTGATTGCTGCAAGTTCATAACTCTTATCTTGGCATTATGAGACTAAATTAAGCAAGAAAAGAATGAGAAGAGAGGAAAAGAGAAGCTAATTGTTATGGGCCTCTTGAGAATGAAGCAGGACTATAATTTTTAAAATGCAATCTATAATATTCTACTATAAATTGCTAGGTAATAAATTGAATTAACAGCTCACTGTTAATTCAATATGGCTTATTCCAAGATATCTATTTAAAAAAAGGCTGTGAACATGCTTAGGATCATAGGAGAGAGGTGTCAAGGTTAGATTGGCAGAAATCATTGAGCCTATCTTGTAAGTATGAGTCTTATTCCACAATGGAGCAGAATTAATCCAACCCCCTTTTGTTGCTAGTTCCCACAATAGGAATATTCCTTTCTCCTACTTGGGTTGTCGCTGCTGCTGTTGGAGATGTTTACACAGCCACATCTACGTGTTTGCATTTATATGCTCATGCAACTGAGATAAGATGCATCATTTGGGGGATGAAATTTCCAGGGACTTTGGAAGAGAGAGATCTGAAAGGATTATTATTCTGGGAATTCAAATGCTTCTACCAAGGGATCCCCCCAATGAGAAAAACAAGCAGAATGCCTGGGAAATAAACACAGCTTTTGGTAAATGTGGTCAGGAGCATTTAGCTGTCTCAGTCGTTTGCACGAAAACCAGCAGGCTGCGCTTTGTAGATTCTTAAATAAAACACATTTGTTTTATTTGCGCCTTAAATAAAACAAAATTTGCATGCTCCCTTGAGAAAAGATGCTTCTATTTTATGATCGGCGGCGTTGGCCAACTCTCCAATATGTGAGCACTGTTTTCTTCCATTCCTTATAAAGAGCTAAAGATCCACATTTTTAATTTGGTCACCAATTCCCTATTGGGTTCATTCATTCTGGGAAGGAAGAAGGCAACCGGCCAACCTGAAATTTTGAATTGCTTTGTGTTGTTGATAACTGGTTTATTTTGGTTCTTTTTCAAGGTCAGCAACAGCGGCAGCTTTTCGGAGCTGACTTTATGAATCAATTGACAAGCTTTCTCCGCCGCAAAGTGGTAAGAGTCCAGTGACTTCATCAAGTCGCTTGTAAAATTTCTACCCTTCAGTGCTACTGTTTGTAACTTGTGTGAATTTCAGATCAAAAGTTGCTTGAAAGAAAAAAAGAGACTGAAATACTTTCAATAAGAGGTTCCATCCATCCTGACCTAAATCTTCCTTTTTAAATGGGTCTTGAGGACTGTGATGCCTAGTGAGTAAAGAGCAGGATCTTATTTTAGATGCACTGCATTGTTTTTTTGGATTTTGAGACAACTTAGTTCAGCTCTCAGAACATCCCCTAGTCTTTAAGTTTAGAGTGGGCCAGGATAGGAAAGTGGTTAATTAATTAACCACAAGAAGTCGTTCTGCCAGGGCACATTTTTCCCCTCACTCCTTGTTGTAGTTTGTCTTTTTAATCTTGTAATTTGCGACGTGACTCCAGAAGGTTTCCTTTGGGAAAAATGTGAAGTAAATCAAAAGGCAGTTGGAACAACAACAAAAAATGACTTGGATGTTTCTGCAATGTTTGGTGCGACCACACTGCCCTCTAGTGCAATTTCCGCCTCCTTTGCTTCTCCCCAGGGTGCAACTTTGCAAAAGAAATCAAAACATGACTAAAAAGAAAAGCAAACACCCACTAGCAAAGGGCATCTCCAGGGGGAATACAAGCTTTTACCATCAGGCAATTCCATCCCAGGCTGAGAAAAAAAGGTTTTAGAATAAAGTGGGGAGAGAACAGTCAGATTCACACTTACAATATGTATTCCCCATGCATGCCTGTTTACTCTCTTATAATCCCTTCCTCTCCAATGTAAATACATACATTAATTCCAATTTGCTAATTATCCCAGCTTTGGGATGAACATTCCAAAATGCTGGGTAGTGGAAAGTATGAACAGATAATAATGATGATGATGATGATGATGATGATAATAATAATAATAATAATACCATCAAACATCCACATCTGCCTATCCCAGGTCCTGGGTAAGGACTCGATAGGTAGACAAAATGCCAACTCCAGTCTGAACATCTGGCTGACTGTGCGATGATCGATAATAATAATAATGTTGGAAGGGACCTTGGAGGTCATCTAGTCCAACCCCCTGCTCAGACAGGAAACCCTATACCATTTCGGACAAATGGCTGTCCAGTCTCTTGTTAAAAACTTCCAGTGTTGGAGCATTCACTGCTTCTGGAGGCAGGTTGTTCCACTGGTTAATTGTTCTCACTGTCAGGAAGTTTCTCCTTAGTTCTAGGTTGCTCCTCTCCTTGATTAGTTTCCATCCGTTGCTTCTCGTCCTGCCTTCAGGTGCTTTGGAGAATAGCTTGACTCCCTCTTCTTTGTGGCAACCCCTGAGATACTGGAATACTGCTATCATATCCCCCTCATCCTTCTCTTTGTTAAACTAGACATACCCAATTCCACCAACCGTTCCTTATATGTTTTAGCTTCCAGTCCCCTAATCATCTTTGTTGCTCTTCTTTGTACTCTTTCTAGAGTCTCAACATCTTTTTTACATCACGGTGACCAAAACTGGATGCCGTATTCCAAGTGTGGTTTTACCAAGATTAGTTTGGTCATTAGTTTTAAGCAGGAAGCCCAGTTGCAATCACACAATTGCACACTTTATGACAGCAGTTGCTGGTCCAAAGTGTGGTTGCTAAACAAGGACTACATGTAAAGGTCTTTTCCAGTCTTAACTCTGATGCCAAATGTTAAATTTGATATGTACCACATGCTAAGTTGAAGCAAAGGAAGTGTTCAGCCTCTGAGCTCCAGTAAAACACAATAAAAAATATTTTATTTTTATAAAGCAGAAATAAATACAACCTGGTCGCATAAAAAAAGAAGCCATTTCCAAACTACACGAGTGCAAATGTCTTTTATTGGCATAAATACATAAAGAAAACCCTTTTAGGCAGCATTAGATTAATCATGTGCTTTCTGCTGAGAATTTATTTATTTTATTTATTTTATTTATGAGACTTATATACCGCTTTAAGTGCAAGCACTCTCTAAGTGGTGTATACCAGTAAGCAATGTATATATATATATTACATTGCCCCCAACAATCTGGGTCCTCATTTTACCTACCCCCGGAAGGATGGAAGGCTGAGTCAACCTTGAGCCGGTGAGATTTGAACCGCTGACCTGCTGAACACAGTCAGCTAAAGTGGCCTGCAGTACTGCACTCTAACTGCTGCGCCACCTCGGCTCAGAATGATTAAGTACATTTGATTTACGAAAACAGATTCTGCCAAATAACTTGCCTTACATTGGCACCCATCAACGAAAGACTGAAACAAAGAAAGGCAAAAATAAAAATTGTATAAAATATTCAAAGACGTGTAGAATACTTGTAGGTAAGCAGTTTTTTTCCAGACTAGAGGCATCTAATCCAAGATTTGAGAAGAAGGAAATTAAAAGGAGTTACTTAGAGACCTAATATATAGCAGTGGATATAATTTTTATGAAGCATCTAGATGTGATTACTTAAGTTGGGGTACAAACTCAAACAAATCATACATTTCTAAGACAAATATCTCCCTTGTCCAGCAATGCTAAATCTCTCTTTTAATCCATCTAATAGCCACCCATTCTTGCTGGGAGGGGGGAAGGTCTACACATCCGACATCCAGAATGTGAATAATTTTTACTTTACTGCAAACAAGCCCAAACGTGACCTTCACCAAACATATATAACTTCTCATCAAGGTACAGCAACTGGATATTAAAACAGAATAACAGAACTGGAAGGGACCTTGGAGGTCTTCTAGTCCAACCCCCTGCCCAGTTGGAACTTGTACCATTTCAGACAAATGGCTGTCCAACCCCTTCTTTAAAAACCTGCAGTGTTGGAGCACCCACAACTTCTGGAGGCAAGTTGCTCCACTGATTAATCGTTCTAGCTTTGGCTCGGAGTAATGGGGACTGTAGTCTAATACAATCATTGGGTCTAGCAAGGTTTATAAAGGTCACCAGTTCACAATCCTGATGTAATTTAAGTTACATCTGCATAAGGATGCATTTTGTTTAAAAAAAAATTAGCATAACCTAAATAAGTACAAAATACAAAAGTAATACATACCTGGGCCCATCTCTATTTTTCTACGTCTTGCCTTAAATTTCACATTGTGGGGGTCTTCGAATCTAACCATAAAGACTATTAAATGGGAACAGAAAGATTGACACTCAAATGCGGTCAAATCTTTCTAGCTGCCTTCCTGTAATATGTTCAAGCAGAGGTAGATACGTAACGTCAACTATGAAAGTCAAGAATCTGGTAGCTACCGTGAAACTTCGTATATTTTTGGGGTAAAGATTTTTATTTTTTTAAAAAAGGGAAGTGTCTAGATTTTGTTCCAAAAGCCAGCTGGAAGAACCCATTTCACTGCTGAGACACACACACACACACACACACACACACACACATTATTCCAGGAAGCACCTTGCATATTCAAAAACTGTAGGATCTGTATATTGCTTTCAATGGGATTTACAGGAGGCTTCCAACAAGCAAAGCCAATGGGGCAAAGCCAGACTGGCTTAATGACCGCATTAAACAGCCATGGTCAAAAAAAAAAAAAAGTTGTAGTGTGACTCACTAAATAACTGCATTGTTTAGCAATGGAAGTTGCATTCCCAATTGTTTTCATAAGCCGAGGACCACCTGCATGGAGTTGCTTTCCTTGGTCCTGAAGTGTCCAGCCTTTGGGGTTTACAGTGCCCCCATAACAACTCTTAAGGAAGGCATCTTCTTCCTTGAGCTAGCATGGGCCTATATCAGGGGTCTGCAACCTTGACAACTTTAAGACTTGTGGACTTCAGCTCCCAGAATTCCTCAGCCAGTCTTAAAGTTGTCAAGGTTGCAGATCCCTGGCCTATATGATTGAAGTCATGATGAAACAAGACTATTCAACGTTGGGTGGGACAAGAAAGGGTTCCCCCCCCATCTTCGCTGATGGCATGTTTCTGTGTGGGCATCTAATAAGACAATGTAAACAGGGTCTGTTTTGTGAATAAGGCTGCCACCCTATCAGCTTGTAATAAACTAGCTCAAAAACATGAGGCTTACTTCTGTATAAATCAGAGGTCCCCAACCTTTTGGGTGCCAGGGACCAGTTCCGTGGAGAGAGGTTTTTTCACGGACCGGAGATGGCGTGGTTTTGTGTGCTGCCTGCATCTCGCGGATGGGACTTTGCTTGTTTGTGCGCACCAGTTGCTGGCATGCCACGGCCCAGGGGTTGGGGACCCCTGGTATAAAAATAGTCAAGAGTATCCACTGGGGTGTGTATATCCAAGAATTCCTGGCCAAACAATGGAAGCCAACCATTCATCATTAATCATCTATGGCCCTAGTTCCCTGTTCATAACGTGTGAATGGACCCTTAGGGTGCACTGTCCTGTCCTGGAGGTGGGATGCACAAATTAGGAGGGGGAAGAGCCTGATTCAAAGCACAGCAACTCATGCATCTACATCCGTTGTATTATTATTATTGTTTTAAGGAGCCAGGGGAAGCCAACCTCTTCATCTTATGACTCATGCATTCACATTGGATAGCAGCCTGTGCTTCAGACAGACCTCTCCTAATCAAAATAAGACTTCAGGGTGCCACGGCGACGTATGTCGCAGGTCCAGCAGTGAAACCCTCCTCCCAAAGAGTTGGCGTGGCGGATGTTCACTTTGATGGTGGAAATGCCTGCAGGCAGAAGAGGAGAAGATTTCTTGAAGGCAATTCCCCCCCCCCCATGGAATTAATGAGAAGTCACACATAGGTATCCACTGCCAAAGCAATTGACCACCTTACATGCCCCTGCTTGCAACCAGACTAAGGAGGAGGGGAGGGGAAGTATTGGAATGTAAGGGAGGGAGGGAACTGAGGAATGCAAGTGAGCTGTCTGTAGCCTGGAACAATCCCAACACCCCAAGGTCAAACACTGGGAAAACTCCCGAGGTATTCAGATCATTCCCCAAACACAATGAATGCAATGGATTGGTGGACAATGAACAGTGGGGAGGTGTAGAGCAGGGGTGTCAAACTCAATTTCATTGAGGGCCGCATCAGCGGGCCGGGTGGGTGTGGCCAGAGTGGATGCGGCCTATTGGGTGGGCATGGATGGAGTGGGTGTGGCCTACTGGATGGGCATGGCCAACTCTACATCATTGGCATCAAGGGTGCCTGTAGGGGCCTGGGCAGGAGTGGGATAGATCTGAGGGTCTCTGGGAGAAGGGGGTGGGACCGGGGCAAGCGGCAAGGCATGGTGAATTTCTTCATTCCTCACAAAGGGTGACCCCTCCTCAGCATGCACCCAGGGGGCAGGGCCGACACAGCAGGGGCTGGTTCCTCACTGTTTCAAGACGGCCTGTGGAGCTAAGACTGAATGCGTTTCAGCATAGATGGCCACCACAAAATTGTACATTGGCTTCCGGCCGGCCTGGGCCAGGGCCAAGGCAGCGGGGGCCATTCCCTCACTGTTTCCAGGATGGCTTCGCAGGCCACATGAAACCACTTCGCAGGTCGCATCCGGCCCCCGGGCTTTGTGTTTGACATGTCTGGTGTAGAGGGAAAAGAGGATTTTACCTATGCTGGTTTTCGCATGAAAACTTTAGAACTGGCTTTGCTACTTCTGCACCTGTGTGGGATTATCAGTAAAGTTATACTCTTGGTAAAATAATGTCCCAGGAGTTTCTTTTGCTGCATTTACCAAAGGGACAGTTGACATAGGCTTTCTAGTTACGATGTTGCATCTAAGACTTTGTTGGGAGATTCTATGAAGGTCTCAAATCCCATGGCCCCAAAGTCTGTCCAATCAGGGAGGAATCATAATCTTACATCCTCTTTTTTTTTTTTTGCAGGGCTCAGCAGAAAGATGAAGTGGTATCTCTTTGGGGAAGATCCACATATCTCTAAAATATGAAGGATAACTAGCTTTCTCTTAACCTTGAAGAAAGATCATGGTGCAGGCAGAGTTCTTCAACGTTAGGAGACCGGCCATATCTCCAGATCTCAAGGGGACTGAGCAGGTGTAAAGTTCAACATCGTGTGCCTTCAGCAGCTTTTGCTGGCTTGGTGGCCTTCAAAGATGTTGAACGTCCAAATCTCAACTAGCACTTGGGATCTAGAGGAGGTTCATACTTCGGGAGGGACACTTAGTTGGAGAAACGCTGAGTTGGAGGAATCTGGCTTCAATTCTCCTTAGGAAAATGTGTGCTCTACACAAGCTGAGAATAATTGTTCCATGAAATGTTGGCCCATCTACATAAATTGGTCTTACCGAGGCTTTCAAAGAGCTTCTGGATCGGGATTTCATTGGCATCCACCATAACACGTTTCTCATCCAGCATCAGGACGTTCATGGAAAGCCATTTTGAAGACATCCACAGCGGATGGTCTAGAGATAAAAACATTTAGCATTCATGGATGTCTCACCGTGCAGCCATCGCAACAGAACATTTGCCTCCCAAGTCATGCCTCCCATACGGGAACAAAGCCAAACCTACTGTCGGGGATGAGAGGAAGAGGTGGGTGACAGATCGTCCAGCCTGCCTTCTTGAAGAGATCAATCTAAGACAGTTGGGGAGAAAAACAGAAAGCTTCACGCTGGAAATCATATTGTTTTCTCTGCAGGTTCTCCAGCTGTACGCTTCCATTAAATCTGTTAATTTCTCCGTTATTATTACATAAAAATGATGGATGAGTCATCTGTTTAATCTGCCCAGCTACCAAGAACAGGATCAAAATGGAAGAAGGTTGTGTTCCAAAGCCAGTTTCAACCTTTATATCTTGTTTGGCTCTAAGATCTTTTCTTTTTGCAGCAAAGTCTGATTTTGAGTGTGCATGGGTGTGTAATGGAATGTGTGCATGACCTTGGGGAATGAGAGGAAGCCATGTTGCCTAGGAAACAGATAAGAGAGGCAGGAGCCCCCAGTGGCTTCATGATCAGCTTGGGAGGGATCCACTCTAATGGATCAAGCAATTCTGGCTGGCAGTGAGAAGTTGTACTTTTGGATCTGCAAGAATTTGATAATGTAGCCTTACAAGAAAGGAGAATCTGTTCATCTATTCCCGTTTCCTGTCTGGTTTACCTGGGAGAGCTGACAGTATGTTTTTAAATGTTCTCACATTCCTTTTTCATTCACATTCTAGCTTTCATCTATCCCAGGGGTCTTCAAACTTGGCCCTTTTATGACTTGTGGACTTCAACTCCCAGAATTCCTCAGCCAGCAAATTGTTGAAGTCCTCCCTCTTTTCATTATATTAATTAGAGATAAGAAGGCTGGAGAACAAAGATTGGATCTGCATAACGCAGTAATCCACCAATCATGGCTAGCAAGCCCTACTATTCCCCCCCAAAAAATACGTCCTACTATATTATGATTTCATGCAATGGAATAATTTCACATATTAGGCCAGGAAGATTTTTTTAAAAAAAAAATGGCATAATGATGTGGCTTGCAAATTGTATTCCTATCATTTGGTGGGAACACAGGGAAAGCTGTCCATCACAAGAAACAACACGCACCAACTTATTCCTCAGATTTGAAACATCAACATATTCTGGGAGTTGAAGTCCACAAGGCTTAAAGTGGCCAAGTTTGAGGACCCCTAGCCCAGAGTTCCCCATTCTTCTGTGAAGCCTCCTTACCTCATTACACGGGCGATCTGGATTAGAAAGCACGATCCCAGGACCAATGATATTAAAGGTAGCATCGATGTGCATCGGGTTCGGGTCTTTGAAAGAAATAGTATGGATTCTGTACTCTGGAGAAAGATGTCTCCTCATCCACTCAATGCCCATGAAATTTGTAACCTGCGACGAGGCAGAAAGGAAAGCAAAAATGTGTCTGCTCTATAGTGTAATACAAACTTCATCAAAACTTCATGATCCAAGAACTGGATAGTTGGACTTTCCCAAAATTTGCAAGTTTCAGTCCTCTTACAGTGGTATTGCCAATTATGTGTTCTGTTTCTTTCTTCCTTTTTTTTCCTGGTTAACAGTGACTAGCCAAGATGAGCAACCTAGAACTAAGAAGAAATTTCCTGACAGGAAGAACAATTAACCAGTGGAACAACCTGCCTCCAGAAGCTGTGGGTGCTCCAACATTGGAAGTTTTTAAGAAGAGACTGGACAGCCATTTGTCTGAAATGGTATGGGGTTTCCTGCCTGAGCAGGGGTTGGACTAGATGACCTACAAGGTCCCTTCCAACTCTATTATCATCATCATCATCATCACCATCATCATCATCATCATTATTATTATTATGGATCATCGCACAGTCAGCCAGATGTTCAGACTGGATTTGGCATTTTGTCTACCTATCGAGTCCTTACCCAGGACCTGGGATAGGCAGATGTGGATGTTTGATGGTATTACAGATATCGTCGCAGGATGGAAGCATTTCCTAGTAAGGCCGCCTTTTGCAATTGACTAATAGCAAATTTGTCAATGCCAATGGTGTTCAAGTGGTGCTCCAGTTGTTTTGGGATTGCACCCAAGGAGCCTATTACTGTTGGTACTACCCTTGCTTGCTTTTGCCACAGTCTTTCTATTTCTATTTGTAGGTCTTTGTATTTTGTTATCTTCTCCATTTCTTTCTCGTCTATTCTGCTGTCTCCAGGCACTGCCACGTCCACTATCCAGACTTTTTTTTCTTTCTTATCGACAATTGTTAAGTCTGGGGTGTTATGTTGCAGGTGCTTGTCTGTTTGAATTCTGAAGTCCCAGAGCAGTTTAATTTTATCATTTTCTATGACTTTCTCTATTTTATGATCCCCCCAGTTTTTGCTTACAGGCAAATGATATTTTTTGCAGATCTTCCAATGCACCATTGTTGCTACTTTGTCATGCCGCTGCTTGTAGTCAGTCTGTGCAATCTTCTTGCAACAGCTTACCAGGTGGTACTACTATTATTATTATTATTATTATTATTATTATTATTATTATTATTATTACTATTATTATTATTATTATAAAAGAGCCAAGGTTGCCTACCCCTGCACTAGACCTTATCAATATATAAGACTTAAGGAAAAGGTGAGAGGAGATCTTAATATACTTGCCTGACTTCTTTGCACAAAGATATCTCTTCCAGCTCTTATGAAGTCGGCCGCATCAAAACACGGCTCAAATTCAGTGGTGACGAATTTCCCCTGAGCAGCCAACTTGTGCCTGTCCTCCACAGTGCGGATGGGGTAATCCTAATTTGACACAGACATAGCACATAAGTGGAGGCAAAAAAAACGTACAGCCTTAGGGGCTGCAACAGGGAAAGTGCAGCGCCCAGAAGGGGGGAAAAAAAGGTATATAAACAGAGAGCAATCCCCCATTCCCTCCAAGCACTGATGATGTTCCCTAGCTGGGTAATGAAACGTCTGCAAGAAAACAACCAAGTTCAGAAAGCACCAAAGACCCCCCAGTTATCGTCATCCTCTTCCTCCTTCTCTTCTTCCTCTTTCTCCTCCTCCTCCCCCTCTTCCTTCTCTTCCACTTTGCAAACCCCACTCCCTTCTAGCACTAATGACATTACCTAGTTGGGTAATGAAATGTCTACAAGAAAAAAAACCAATTTCAGAAAGCATCAAATATTCCAGTCCTCCTCCTCCTCCTCCTCCCTGCAAACCCCATTCCCTTCCAGCACTGATGATATTACCTAGTTGGGTCATGAAACGTCTGCAAGAAAACAACCAAGCTTAAGAGAGACCCACCGTTCAAACCTGTTTTCTCCTATTTTGTGGAATCAGAAAATATTACCTGGTCGTAAAGTTCATCGGACATGGTGGGCTTCGGTGCTGTCGTCCATTTGGCTCCCTGGCGAAAATATTCTTTAATGACCGGACGATACGCTCTATATTCAAAGAAGCGGGCTCGCCAGGCCATCGGCGCTTCGATGATTTCGTTCCCAATTACAAGCAGAATGTCTCTCGGCATAGCTGCGTACATGCCTGCCAGGGAAGTCAACACACACATCCGTCTGTTATTCCATGCTATGGTTGGCATGGTTGTGTACATTAATGCACGCCGCTGATATACAAACACAACCTTCAAAGTGTCCGGCACGGTTGCTTTTTTTTTTTTTTTATGATGCAGACTAAATGAAAATAGAGCAAGGAGAAATCTCAACAGTTATTTTTTTTTCCAGTTATAAAAGAAAACATGATGGTTAGCGACCCACGTACTGTGTGTGCTTCAGAAAAGAAAGTGCAACAATTTATACATTCACTCACAGGGGCGTGTGCATGAAATTAATCTTAATTTAGCAGGTAAATTGGTCCTCAAAAAAACAATGTGAGAAGTCAGAGCTGTTTTCAGATCCCCTTATTGCCTTCCAATATTTCCATCCCTGTTTTCGTCAACTGCAAAATAATTGTAAATGCACTGTAGAATGGTTTGGTTTGTTTTCCTTTAATGTTTTTTTATTTGGCCTTCCTTTTCTCTTGCCTGTGCTATTCTCTTGTTAATATTTTTCCTTACCTGTTATATTTCCCTTCCTGTTTTCATTTTTAAAAAATAATGAGTTTTTAAATACAGGTAGTCCTAGGCTGTTTGATCATTTGAAGTTACAGCGGCACTGAAAAAGTGACTTATGACCATTGCAGCATCCCCGTGGTCACATGATCAAAATTTAGATGTTTGGCAACTGGCATGTACTTACGCCAGTTGCAGCGTCCTGGGGTCATGTGACCACCTTTGGCAACTTCTGACAAGCTAAGTCACTGAGGAAGCTAGATTCATTTAACAACCGTGTTACTGACTTAACAACTGCAGCGATCCACTTAACCGCCGATGCGAGAAAGGTAGTAAAATGGGGCAAAACTGACGTAACAAACGTCCCACTTAGCAACAGAAACGCTGGGCTCGACTGGGGTTATAAGTTGAGGACCACTGGTCGTAAAAATTGTGTTTCCTGAACATTATGAGCGGCTTCCAGGCCCAATATTTAAAATAATAAACAAGGCAATCCATAAGTAGGCAGATTACAGAAAACACAGAGATGTAAAGCACTACACTTTGTTGAAAGCTATTCAGCAAAAGGTACCAGTAGATTCAAAATCAGGTGTTTTATATCGGGTTGACCAGTTCAGAACATCAGGCCTCTTCACCGTCACTCCTTCCATCTTCAAAATATTGCACATTTCTTCAATCTCAGCGATTGCTTTCTTGATATAATCCTCAGGAAAACTCTGCCCTCCGTACTTCTGATAAAATTCCCAGTACTTATCGTAGGTATTAGCCTGGGGAATCAACAAAAAAGGAAAGAAAAAAAAGAAACAAGAAACAATTTACAGACAATTGCGCAAACGATTTTCCCAATCGATGAACAAAAGAAGTTCACGAAACTGAAAGAAGAGGAATCACAGACTCCCCTAACAAGGGGGAATTCTATATCACAGTCTGTCATGGTTTGTTTGTCACGGCTGGGTTCGCAAACATTAAACTGACAAGCCCAAATTAGCACCATTGTGCTGAGAGCTTGCCCTCTGTATAAATCAGATAAAAGTTCAGATTCGTTTGAAGACCTAAATGTGAGAAGACAGAAGGAGAAAAAAAAAATACCCAACTAGGTTACATCGTCAATGCTAGGCAGGAGCGCGGTTTGCCTTCTAGCACTGATGAAGTTACCTAGTTGGGTCATGAAACATCTACAAGAAAACAACCAGACAAGGAATAATGGATGGAAACTGATCAAGGGGCAGTTCAAACCTAGAAGTAAGGAGAAATTTTCTGACAGTAAGAACAATCAACCAATGGAACAGGTCTTGCCTTCAGATGTTGTGGGAGTTTCATCACAATATGTTTAATAGTTAGCATGGCAATACCACAATCACAACAAGGGCAATTCTTCCATCCTCACAGATACAGGGCAGGGCATGTCTTCCAGTATCACACCTAATTCTGTTCAATTTCGTCCAGACAGAGCAATGCAGGAGAAAACCAGATGGTTTGGTAGAGAGATCGCTAATGGTCAGGCCACAAGAAAGTACCAAAAGATAACAGATAGACTTTAAACCAGAGTTATTTTTGTTAGGAGCTAATTATAGGAGCTAATTATGAGAAAGATTGCAGATATCTAATACTACCCATATTAACGGCAGCAAGAATTGTATTTGCCTAACATTGGAAAAATGAAAATTTACCAACTGGAGAAGTACTAATCAAGAAAATTCTTGATTAGTATGTGCAGAAATGGATAGATTAACTTCAAAGATAAAAGATAGATTAACTTCAAAGATAAAAGATTAACAAAGATGGATAGATTAACTTCAAAGATAAAAGAGAACGAAGACTCGGTGTATTTTAGAACATGGGGTAATTTTTATCAATGGCTAGAAAAACAAGTCAGAGAGAAAGGAACGTGATATGTAATTTTGAATATATACTAGTAAAAAGAAGGCTATTGAGTGATGAATTAACATACTATTTAGGGGAATTAACTATATCTATTATAATATCAAAAATGTTATTTGGAAAAACCACAACCCCAACCCCAACCCTAACCCTAACCTTAATCCCGACCCCACCTTATCCCTAACCCTATAAAAACTAATAAAATCTATACAAAAAAAAAAGTACCAAAAGGTGCACAGCAGTGGCCTTTCCTAGAAACTGCTACAACTGGTAGTTATAAAGACTAGAGAACACGCAGTTCCTGCTCCTGAAGACACCTCCCTCAGGTCTCAACTCCATGCCCCAATTGTTGTTGACAACTCAGGCTGTAAGGTTTGTGGACACCCAGGAGGTCTTCAGCAGCTGGAATTACTGCAGTAGCCATTTCAATCACATGTATGGTTCAAAGGCCAGGACAATTGCAGCGACAATTGATAGTCCTAAAGTTTCCATGATAAGAGGGTGTCACGCGGACTGGACCCAAACAGCCAGCTCAGCAACTTTCATGTTGTGTTTTCATTTGTTTGTTTTGGGCTATTCTACAAGTCATTTGAGACCCTAGCTGCATCCAGCAGGGTCTAAGCTGGCCATGCGAGCAAATATGATGACTTCAGCTTCCACAATCCATGCCCTCGGTGGACTTGGATCCATGAAAGTTCAGGCAATCCTCACTCGATTGTTTTAAAGCACCATAATTGCTTCTGCTGCAAAAAATGAATATGATTAGCAGTCTGGAAACTTTTATAACGTCAGAGTCTAAAACTTCTCTGATCTTCTATCTTATGAATAACTCGAGGGCAGAAAGGCCATTTTCCTTCCTTCTTCTCAACCTGAGAGCAGGACAAGAAGCAACGGGTGCAAGATCATGAACAAGAGTTCCAACCTAGAACTAAGGAGAAATTTTCTGACAGTGAGAACAATTAATCAGTGGAATGGCTTGCTTCCAGAAGTTGTGGGTACTCCAACACTGGAGGTTTTAAAGAGGAGACTGGGCAACCATTTGTCTAGAATTCTATGGACAAATGGAGGTCACGGTTGTCCTAAAGGTACTTTTTGGCACCTTTCTTTGTTTTTCCTTGAAAACATTTCACTTCTCATCCAAGAAGCTTCTTCAGTTCTGAAGAAGTAAAGAACTGTAGAAGCTTCTTGGATGAGAAGCAAAAGCTCTTCAAGGACAAAGAGAGTCCAGTTGCCTCTTGAAAAAGCACCTTTGGGATTTTTCCAGAATGGTATAGGGTCTCCTACTTGAGTTGGGGGTTGGACTAGGTGACCTTACAAAGAGGAGAGAGTAATGGGAACCCTGTCTTGGCCTCTTGTTAACAAAAGTGGGTGAAGAAAGAAGGGAGAAGGGAGAAGAGAGAAGGGAGAAGGAGGAGAAGGAGAAGAAGAAGAAAGAGAAAGAAGAAGAAGGAGGAGGAGGAGGAGGAGGAGGAGAAGAAGAAGAAGGAGGAGAAGGAGAAGGAGAAGGAGAAGAAGAAGAAGAAGAAGAAGAAGAAGAAGAAGAAGAAGAAGAAGAAGAAGAAGAAGAAGAAGAAGAAGAAGAAGAAGAAGAAGAAGAAGAAGAAGAAGAAGAAGAAGAAGAAGAAGAAGAAGAAGAAGAAGAAGAAGAAGACCAACATGCTATAAGGCTGCTCTATCTCAGTGTTTGGAGAAATAAAAAGCAGCCTCATCACATTCAAAGGTCCTTCAACTTCATAGGTTAAAGACTCACCTTGACCTCAACTGTAAAAGGAGGGACGCGGGCATTTTCGGCTCTCCCCACAATGACTTCTTCCAGTGGGTCCCACTCATTGTAGGAGCAGACAGGACAATTTTCTGGGCTAGGATCAGGAACTTTGGAGGCTTCAGCAGCAGCAGCAGCACAAAGAGAATTGGAGGCTGCTGCAGTTTGGGTGCTCTGGAAAGTTCGCTGCACCCATCCTGTGACGACTCTTCTCAACTTAAATGTAAAAGCAAAAACCACAATCAGAAGGGGGAAATCATACTGGTGTGGCTAGATGGTGCGTCCTGAGGTTTGGGGTTCTAGGGAAACAATGAAGCATTCAGGATCCAGAAGACATCTGTGTTGTTTTTTTCACTTTTACTTGTAACCTAATCAAGGTAAGGAGGGCTTCTTTCAATAATGAAGATTTCTTTCAATCAAGTAGTATTTAAACTAAGGCATGCAACGTTTCTCCACTTCACCAACTTTTAGAGTTGATTTCAGCTCCCAGAATTCTCCAGCCAGCAGAGACATTGCCAATTCATTAAGAGAAGACTTGGGTTGGAAAAGATAGTTATGGATTCTGTATGGGATTAATTAATTCTGTGCATCCTATCCGACACAGTTTTCTCCTGCTGGTACTTAGAAACAATATCCAGCTTTCATTCTAAGAGGGCTGCGTCCTGCTTTCTCACCCTACTTAGCATTAACATAAAAGAAAGCTTCTTGCATCTCACCACACTAAGCTATAACATGAGTTAGATTACTGTGTTGAGTTTTACATGGGGCTGCCCTTGAATACTTAGAACAGGGGTGTCAAACTCCCGGCCCGCGGGCTGGATGCATCATGGCGAAACTGCGCCCACCCCATTGCCAGCAATGGAAAAAAAGTTGCGATACATCGCGACACATCACACGACGTTGCAAGTTTGACACCCCTAACTTAGAAGGTGATCCATTACGTACCACCTTGACTGCTTACGGGTAGAAATAGGTTGAACAGTGTAATACTAAGATGAGGCTGATGCATTGGTCACCAACACGCTTCTGGACCCCACATGGTTTTAATCACTAAATCTGGTTTGGTACTTCAAGTTCCAATCCCAGGTTGAGTTAGGATGTATGGGCTTGGATAAATATCTTCTTAAAGGGGAACTTTCTCCCACTTGGTTGGTGTGTTGCAAAGGAAAGCCATTCAATTTAGATGTAGACAACAGACCTGGTTTGCTAATTTTTATGCTTATTTCCTTTGGAAACTAGTCAGACAAGAGAAATTAGGACAATTGAGACCTGTGGTAATAAGCAAGGAAACATTCATGCATGTTTTGAGCCCACCTGTTATTAAACAAGTTTATATAGCTGTCAATCTCACCCAGGGCAGCGCACCAACATGATGCTTTGTGAATCATGGGTTATACTCCATGTGTCACACGTACCCATCCTTTAGCAGTATATTTGTGCAACTTTACTGAAACAAACCCTAGCCTAGCACAGTCTGGGAACTAGGTCACAAAGAACGGTTGTAAGGACCCACCTGTCAACCTGTCAACACCACCCCACTTTACATCTTAAGAAGACAGAACTCTTGGAATATCTCTTCTAACAGGCACCTTTATTAAGAGACGATGGTTACAGGCATTCTAGATAGGATCTGAGGGGCCAACCCCTACCATTCAAGGTTTTAAGTGTTCCCAAGCAGCCCCCACCCCACCGTCCTTCCAGCGACGATCCCAGGCGTCACATTTCCACCCCTTTTTCCTCACTGCCGGCAGAAGGGAGACTTCAGAGAGATAGTAGATGAAAGGCTATGGCCATATTGTTATGGTCAGTCCTCTTGATAAGAATCGCATCCAGTCCTTTGTAGTTTAAATGAAGAAAGTAAGAGTCATAAACCCCCCTTGTTCCCTCCTCCCCTTTCGTAGTATGACAGAATCCACAAAGAGTAAGAAATGGATCTTTTTTCAGAGTAGGTGCTAGAAATGAAATATAATTGGATTCTGACAACGGTGCTCAATTGGCAAGCCCAAGTCAGGATGTCAATGGCTTCCCTCCAGACCAGTGGTTCTCAACCTTTTTAATGCCGCGACCCCCAACCGGTCGTAAGTCGAGGACTACTCAACTGGTCGTAAATCGAGGACTACTCAACTGGTGCAGCACCGTTTGCAGAATGGGTCTTTTGGTGGGCTCAGCAGGGCAGAGACAGCCTGGACAATTCCTATTGGCTTTTGAAAGCCAATAGAATTAGACTCTATTCAAGAGAGTCTATTCTATTGGCTTTCAAAAGCCAATAGAATAAAAGGGAGGAGCACAGCTAAGGAAAAGGGGGGGAAAAATGGCGGACTGCGTTGTTTGATGACCCCCGTGAAATGGTCGTTCGACCCCAAATGGGGTCCCGACCCACAGGTTGAGAACCACTGCTCCAGACGTTCCAGTGTTACACGAAGAGAAGATTCAGCTTTCAGTTAAGTTCTTCTACTCCACCCTTCGCAAGAGAGGCTGCACTTGTCCTCCACCAGCTGTTGGGAAAACCTAGACCGCCAGATTGCCTAGGAGCAAGTATGCCATATCTTCTTGCAGTGTACATGATCAGCATTCCCAGCCCAAAACGGGAGGACAGGCATGTGTGCTGGGTCGGCAGAAGATTGGACAGAGAGGAAGAGCTCCCCCCCCCCCCGCTCAAAGAAGGCATGTTGGAGCATGGAAAGGGAAGACTCAAAAGTTCTCAAGCTCCTTTTTAGCGTTCACCCATCTCAGGGAAGTTAGGTCTGACCTGAAGGCAAGGGACAGCAAGATCTACAGCCATCCAAAGCAGGACTGAAACATCAGGGCAAGGAGAGAAACCATCTTAACAGGTCCAGGGCAAACCACACCGATGAAAAAAAAATGGTAAAAAAGATGTTGAGGCTCTAGAAAGAGTGCAGAGAAGAACAACAAAGATGATCAGGGCACTGGAGGCTAAAACATATAATGAACGGTTACTGGAATTGGGTATGTCTAGTTTAACGAAGAGAAGGATGAGGGGGGACATGATAGCAGTATTCCAGTATCTCAGGGGCTGCTACAAAGAAGAGGGAGTCAAGCTATTTTCCAAAGCCCCTGAAGGCAGGACAAGAAGCAACAGATGGAAACTAATCCAGGAGAGAAGCAACCTGGAACTAAGGAGAAACTTCCTGACAGAACAATTAACCAGTGGAACAACCTGCCTCCAGAAGCGGTGAATGCTCCAACACTGGAAGTTTTTAAGAAGAGACTGGACAGCCATTTGTCCAAAATGGCATAGGGTTTCCTGCCTGAGCAGGGGGTTGGACTCGATGACCTCCAAGGTCCCTTCCAACATTATTATTATTATTATTATTATTATTATTATTATTATTATTATTATTACTACTACTACTACTACTACTACTACTACTACTACTACTACTACTACTATTATTATTATTATTACAAGAGGTGCTTTTTTTTGTTGTTCCTTTCTGCTGCTATCTTCCTGCCTGGGCAAAAAGTGATTTTTCCTTCACTGAACAACTTTTATGGACTCTTCACAAAGCAGAGGTTTCCTTGTTCCTTTTTTTCTCATAACTGCTGAGCTTGCAGAACGAAGAGATGACGATGGACTAGATTTGCCCTCCCCAATTCTGAAATATCAGCCTCGAATGCCATTTCAAGCAGAGGGCTTTTCAAATGCCCAGCATCTCCTTCTCTGTGTGTGCATAAGTCCACAACTGTGTGTTTGAATCATGGCTGACACCTGGCCACTGCCTGGATAAGTTTTCTTGGCAAGATTTCAGGAGCGGTTTGGCCCTCGCCTCATTCTCAGGGCTGAGAGGGAGGGAATGGCCCAAGATCACCCAGCTGACTTCAGGCCTAAAATGGAACTAGAATTCCCAGTCGCCCAGTTCCTAGCCTGCCACCTTAGCCACTACACCAGAGTGGCTCTCTGTTTCTTCACAGAGCATGTAGAGAATGGCTCTGTTGATCTCTCCATCTTGAGATTAAACTTTGGCACAGAAACACTCCCAGAGATAGGCAGCTAAATGACATATGTAAATTTAGACTCTGGACTTTAAGGTTCAGGGTTGGGGGGGGGGGAAGGTGAGCTGGATTGCCTTGCAGGACCGTTTTTTTCTCCCAAGGAAGAAATCCGAAATCAAAACTTTTATTACAGCCTTTAGGCCAGACAGCCCAGGGAACAGATTAGATTCGATGCAAGTGAACAGTGGCTAGTTCAAGTGGGGCCTTGGTTATAGTTAACGCTCACAACTTTTCCCCCCTGTATGAGTGGAATTAAGGATTGAAACCAAATTAACCAAAAGGGATCAAAGGCACAAACAAGATTGGAGTTGAAGCTCTTGGGGGAGAAGGGGGGAAGACAGGAATTTCAAGGACAGATTTAAATCCGGTCTGGCCAAAAAGTGTCAGATTTTTTTTTACAAACGAAAATAAAATTCCTCTCTGAACTGTTTCCCGCCAGATTTCCAAACTTTACAAATGGATTAGATCAAAATTGACCTTCAGTGCAAAGAAACACCCCCCCCCCCCCAAAGGCAAGCCTTTGAAAATTTGCTCTGAGGTTTTTCCGTTAGTTTTTATTTATTTATTTATTTATTTCAAATCCCCGCTTCACTTCAGGGGAATCCACAGATCTCGCCTTCCAGCCGGACCTCCTCAAAAACCACACCAGCACAATTCCCTGCGCTCACCTCGCTTTGCACGTGCCCAGATGCACCCTTCTTCCGTGGGAGCTGTTTCGGCGGCGCGCCCCCAGAGCAATGGCTGGCTTGGCTTGGCTTGCTACCTAGGAGCGCCACCACCCCTGGCCTCAATAATCTTGACTCCGATCCTCGCTGCGCCGTTCCCACTTGGCTCAATCCTACACCTGTCTTGTTTGCACACAACGCACTGAACTCAGGTCAGGTCAAGGCCCAGCGACAGCTGAATTCAAACGACATGGTCAGCTGGCTTAGCTTCAACTTCGGCTAGGGGGGAGGGCTTCTTCCTTCCCCCCCCTCCCCAAGTTCAAGGAGTTGTGCGAATTCACAAAGCGGCCACCAAGTTCAGGATGCTTTCCCAGCCCCGCGCGCCTCCGGCTGCAGGGCGCTTACCCTCGACCCAATGTAATGCACGGCTTCGGCCCCTCGGCTGCCTCCGCGCAGGCACCGCACGCGCAACATCCTCCTTTTTTTTTTTCCCCGGGCTGGTTCGGATCCCCTCCGGAGCAACTCTGCGCGCGCTCGTCCAGCTAAGGCTAAAGCCGAAGAAGCCCCGCGGGCAGGGCGCTTTTGAGCGCAACTTTACGCACGCCCCTTGCGCGGCGCCCATTGGCTGGCCCGGCTGGGCAAGTGAGTGGGTGGGTAGGGGGGTGGGTAGGGGAGGTGGGAAGGATCAGGCGAGCGCAGCCCCAACTTAGCCTGGGGCTGCATTCCGTCTTCTTGGTTGCTTTTTATAGCTGGGATGAATGGGGAAGAGTCCTGGGCGCTGCCTCGCCTTCTCAACTCTCAAAGCAGAATCCAGGGGAAAAATCTAAACGTTGGTTTCAGTATGTCCTAGCCAGACCCAAAACAAATCAGAGCCCAGCTCAGTGGAGGGGCAAAATTCTGCTAGGCATGTTTGTGGTTCAGACCCGGTGCACCATCCTATGCCAGGAATAGAGGCTTCTGGATGGGCCAGTCACCAGATGACACAGTTCCTGGGAGATGCTTCATTAGATAAATTAGTAATCCCCATCTTTTCTTTTTTTTTACCTGTGGGTTTTTTTAAAAACGTATTTTCTTATTTCGGTTTTTTTCTTTTGGGGGGGGGTATGCTAAGTGGTTTGTGGTGTCCGGGGTGCTCTCAGAGCTTGGCGGTTTTCTTGCAGACGTTTCATTACCCCACTAGGCAACGTCATCAGTGCTAGTAGGATTTGCTCCTTAGTTGTTGATGTTGCCTAGTGGGGTAATGAAACGTCAGCAAGAAAACCGCCAAGCTCAGAGAGCACCAAGAACCTCACAGTTTAACTCTGAGCTACAAATGTTCTCTTCTGTCAGTAAATGGTTTGTTTTTATTTTAGATTTTTAATATAGGTCTATTTGAAAATGGATCAATAAAGGCATTTGGTTTGGGGGGAAGAATGGTGAGTGGGTTGGGTTCGGTTGGGTTGGGTTGGGTTGGGTTGACTTGGGTTTGGCTTTAGCTTTGAAAGCTAAGGTAAAGGTAAAGGCAAAAGTTTCCCCTGTCCAGCCATGTCCGACTTTAGGGATTCATTTCTGTTTCCTAGCTGAGGGAGCCAGCATTCTCTTCCATAGTCATGTAGCTGGCTTGACTCTACTCCGAGGGGCACAGAATGCTGTTACCTTCCCACCGAAGTGGTACCTATTTATCTACTTGCATTAGAAAGGCTGAGCACCAAAGAATTGAGGCCTTTGAACTCTGGTGCTGGAGAAGACTCCTGTGAGTCCCCTGAACTGCAAGGCGATCAAACCAGTCAGTCCTAGAGGAGATCAACCCCGACTGCTCTTTAGAAGGCCAGATCCTGAAGTTGAAACTCAGGTACTTTGGCCACCTAATGAGAAGGAAGGACTCACTGGAGAAGAGCCTGATGCTGGGAAAGATTGAGGGCAATAGAAGAAGGGGACGACAGAGAATGAGGTGGCTGGATGGAGTCGCTGAAGCAGGAGGCGTGAGCTTCAATGGACTCCAAAAGATGGTAGAGGACAGGAAGGCCTGGAGGAACGTTGTCCATGGGTTTGCGATGGGTCGGACATGACTTCGCAACTAACAACAACAACATTTGCATGCTTTTGAACTGCTGGATGGGCAGGAGTTCACGGATGTAATGATGCTATTTTGCTTTGGGTGCTCTGCACCTTGAAAGAAGGAGTGGCACGTTTTCACTTCTGTCCTAGAAGACAAAATGTCTCACCCTGGTGATGTTTGTGGAAAGGCGAGATCAGAGGATCATCCGTGAAAATATCGCGTAGAAACTACATCTCTGACCACTGAGGACCATCGGCTTCTCTGCCCTCCCTTTTGCTCTTTCCTCAGAGAGAAGATGAAGAAGCCTTTTTTTTCCCAGTCCTCCTCTCAATCTTTCAGAGGTGCCTTGGATTTTTTGCCAGGTATGTTTTGATACTTTGGCTTGACATTCACTTCACTCTCCTGTTATTCTGGAAGACAGTCCAGGTGAGGGAAGCTGGGAACAAAGCCAGGAAAAGCTGACAAGAGCTTGGCTAGTTTGTGCACCTCCAGGCATAATTGAATTCCAGGGACAGCAGAAGACTGGGGTTGAATTAGATTTAAATGAACCCGCTTTGGTTTAGCACAGTGGTTCTCAACCTGTGGATCGGGACCCCATTTCACGGGGGTCGCCAAACAATGCAGTCCGCCATTTTTTCCCCCTTTTCCTTAGCTGTGCTACTCCCTTTTATTCTATTGGCTTTTGAAAGCCAATAGAATAGACTCTCTTGAATAGAGTCTAATTTATTGGCTTTCAAAAGCCAATAGGAATTGTCCAGGCTGTCTCTGCCCTGCTGAGCCCGCCAAAAGTCCCATTCTGCAAACGGTGCTGCACCAGTTGAGTAGTCCTCGACTTATGACCGGTTGAGTAGTCCTCGGCTTACGACCGGTTGGGGGTCGCGGCATTAAAAAGGTTGAGAACCACTGGTTTAGCAAGTCCTGGTGAAAGTAGGCAATGGGTCAGCAGGAGGAAAGACTGGCAGAGGGGTCCCCAGAGATCCTTGGTGCTCACTAAGCATTGTTGTTTTCTTGCAGATGTTTCATTACCCAAACCAAGATGGAGTTACCTAGTTTGGGTAATGATAGGTACTCAGAGGGTTAAAAAAAAAGTTTTTCTCATCCTTCATGGGCAGATCCAGGGATCTTTAGATAAACTTCAGCTCCTGCCTTGTGTGTAACATTTGGAATCCCATGTAGGGTTTCTCCAAATTAACCCAGGTTCTTTTAAGGAGGCAGACTAAATGAATGAGGCTACAGATCCATCGAAGTCCTGGTTTTGTCACCAATGACATCTCTCCAAGGTTTCAGCCCAAGGGGGGCTTTCCTTCATTCTATTTAGAGGTGCTGAAGATTGATGAGGCCACGTTCTGCATGCCCAGAAGACGGCCTCCTCCTGGTTCCCAAATGGCTGATCCTCATTTCCGAGTAGATGTGCTTTGGGCCTTGAACCAGGACTGACACCTTACACCCTGCTATTCCGTAAAGGCAGCCGTGACCCCTGAATAGCACGGCCAATTGAGCAAGCCATCTTTGGGGGTAGATTTCATTCATACCAAGCTTCTCCAGAAAGCTCAATGCAGGCAGCCTGGGAAGGCGAGGGACACATCAACCGTGATCTCTTAACAGCTCATCCTGCAGGCGTAATGTTGTCCCTTGAGGCGCTTATGCTGTGCAAAACACTTCTGGTATTAATGCAAAATAGACAACTTTGAGTAGTTTTGGTAGAGATTTGAAGGTGGCTCGGTATTATGTGCCTTAGGATCAATTTATCCATAATAAGGTCAAGGACCAACATTATAATGTAGTACCGTCAAAAATCCCACGAGATTTAGTAGAGAGAAGCTGTCAGCTGATTTTATCTTGCTGGACGCTAAGCAGGATCAAGCTGGGTTAGTATCTGATTGGACACTACCAGAACTGGGACGGTTAACAAAAGCTATGTAGGGTTAGATCTGGTTTCTTGGATGGGTAACCACCAGAAAAGCTTTGCACTTTTAGCAAAGCTGAGATATGGACATCTCGGAGTCTATGAGGTGGTAGATGTGGCATCACATTTGAAGCTCCGCCTTTTCAGGTATGTGTGTGATGTTGCTACATAACCTGGTGGCCTAGTGGTAAAGACACTCAGCTCTCATTCAATAGGCTGAGAGTTCAATCCTAAGTAGCAGCAGATGTTTCTCTCTTCTAGGGCGCAAAGAAAAAAAATTCTGCTGTGAACTCCGCGTAGGTGTCAGGAAGGGCATCTGACCTGTAAACGCTCAGCTCCATCCAGTCACCCTGACTCTACTCCAAATAGGGTCTACAGGATTCTAAAAAGGGAATAGCTGCATAGCTAAAATGAAAGGGGCTTCACTCATGACATTGCACTCTTCTAACATGTACGTTTTGACACACACACACACACACACACACACACACACACACACACACACGTACGCACACATATCCTGGCATAGAGAACTTGGATTGAGATGATAAAGGTTATCTTATTAGTAAGGGATGAGGTATTAGGATGAGAAATAGAACATGTTCGTGAAATAAAGTAAGAAGCTATCTGAGTAAATAATAAATGTTCTTTAGACATGACAATTATTTTGTAATGAACTAAGGGAACTTTGGGTTACCCGAAATCTAAAGACTATGGATATTAAGTTAACTGGAATACTGTAACTGAAATTAGGCAAAATTCAAAACAGGATACGAAGGCGTACAAGACAAAATATACTGATAAATGTCTTAACTGAGTTATAACTAGCAGTGTATTAATTTGAATGTGATACAATAACTAAGGGAAACAGAGAGGAAATTTCTGATGATGTAACCTGACATATGCGTGGAAGAGCTTGTTATTTGATTATGGACTACCCAATCACCATGTTGCTTCCTTAACACTTGGAGCTTTGTAAAATTGGAAAATTAATAACACTTGTTTTAAAAAAAAATATGACTTGAGTTCCACGATTCGTTGAAATTTGCCTGTTGCTAAAACTCAGTAGAATCCCTGTTGGGTGTTGAAGAATCTTCTCAAGACAGCAGGAGAGAATTGTAACCTCCCCAGGAAAAGAGGGTGAAGACTTCTCATCAGGAATCTAGTCCAACTACATGCCACACAGACACTACATGACAGCCCACAAATGCCTTCATGAGGTGGGACAGTTACTGGAGTTAGCACAATCTCTCCCTGCAGCTGGAAGGCTACAGGTTGGCCCTTTTTCTTCTAAACTCACTGGCTCTGCATCATCACAATCTCTCTCCCAATTGCATGTTAATAAATAACCACACATATTTTTAGCTTCCTGGGGTCTCCAGGATATGCGGGGACATTCCAGTCAAACTAATTAAGGAAGAAAAGAGAAAAGAAGAAGAAGAGTTTGAGAATGTCAGAAAAGGACAAGCCATAAACTTTTACTTGAACGGTGCGGACTTTATTGGCTTCTTTAAAAATGTGATGTTCAGACAGGAAAAGCAGAGAGAAAAGGCATATGATTACCACTACCACCCCTTATAAATGAATTGATATTAGTTTTAGACACGGGTTTATATTGTATTTCATAACTGAATTGCTAATATTTAACTGAGATGGGATAATAATAGAGAAAGGTGAGAAATTAAACATATCTTCCAACATTTGCAAACATTCTTCCGTTCAAACATTCTTGACCATAAAATGTTAGTTGAAATGTAGTAAAGCAGATACAATCTTGAGATTACGGCATTGCTGATAAAGGATGTTTTTTCCACCCTTGTAGAACTAGTATCGGTTCTTTCATGGTAATAAAACTGCACTCCCATCCATTCTATTGTTTTGCTTGTTCCCAAACCCCTATTATACGGAGCAATTCCAAAGACCAGCTAAATCCTCCAGAATGAAACTGAGGTGTATAGTAGCTCCTCTCCAAAAGAACACATTTATAGTATCCAACTGTGGTTTGAACCCATGTTGCATGGGTTCTTAGGCCCAGTATGTGAAGTATTAGTACCACTTTATACTAACTTTAGTAAGACCACACTGGGAATACTGCATCCAGTTTTGCTCACCACGTTACAAAAAAAGATGTTGAGACTTTGGAAAAAGTGCAGAGAAGAGCAACTAAGATGCTAAAAGGCCTGGAGACTAAAATATGTGAAGAGCGATTGCAGGATTTGGGTATAGGTAGTCTGGAGAAGAGAAAGACTAGGGGTGTCATGATAGCAGTGTTTCAGTATTTGAGGAGCTGCCACAAAGAAGAGGGCATCAAATTATTCTCTAAAGCACCAGAAGGCAAGACAAGAAACAACGGTTGGAAACTGACCAAAGAGAGGAGCAACCTGGAATTAAGGAGAAACTTCCTGAGGACAATCAACCAGTGGAATTCCTTGCCTCCAGAAATCGTGGGAGCTCCATTACTGGAGATTTGTAAGAAGAGACTAGACAGTCACTTGTCTGAGATGGTATAGGTTCTCCTGCTTGAGAAGGGGGCTAGACTAGAAGACCTCCAAGGTCCCTTCCAGATCTATTCTGAAGTTGCATTTGCATCTGGAGCATTCTGCAATTTGCAAACTGATGACCACCATTGGTTAAGTGGTTGAAAAGTATTCCAGGTACCTCACTCCACCTGCTTTCCAACTTGTTTGCTTTTATGTACAACTGGTGCTCTACTTACAACTATTCATTTAGCGACTCTTCCAAGTTAACAACATCACCGAGAGATTATTAGGTTATAATGCAATTCTGCATAGCTAACCAAAAAGGTTTCGATGAAACTTCTTCTGAATACTTGTGCACATGATTGAGCTATAGATATTTTCCAGACACCGATATTATTGCAGAAAGCAAAAATCTGCTGATCAGCAACAAATCAGGCCCATGAAACAGAAACTTGATTGTTGGTAAATATTATCCCCTCTCCTGTACCAGCTGCAATCTACGGCATGCAGCGTATCATAATCCTTGACCTACTGTAAAAATAAAAATAAAAAAGGCATGCAATACAGTGTCATTCCTGTTCAGGCCAAAAATAGAGAGAGAAACCAAAGAAAGACCTTCCACAAAAGCTGGCTTGCAAACAGAGGGTATGATTGATAAAAGCTTGCTGGCACACCACAATTCATTAATGCTTGGCTGGCTGTAAGTACACATCAGATCAACCATGTAACCTTCACCGTAGCTGAATTAACCTCACTCAATAAGAGAGTCTCAAATCTAATCATATTTAGAGACCCACCCAATTCCATAAGTTGTTGGCTTTTAGAAGTAGTCTAGACTAGAACTGAGATATCACAGTATAATATTCCCTCTAGTGGTCATCTCACAGTCTCGCAAAGCAGCCATCAATAGGGCATGCTTTCTATCTTTCATTTTTTTTTCATTATTATAGTTTTATTAAATATTTTGACACAGAAAAGAAAATAGAAATAAAAAAGAGAAAAAGAAGCAGGGAGTTTACAAGCATTATAGAATTAAAAAGAACTAGGCTTGTTAGGCATGAGTTTTCCGTATTCCAGTATCTTAACGCTGTTTTTAAAATTGCAGGACATTTTAAGATGCAAGTAATAAATAGATATCCACAGCAGAGTATAAACCATAAAATAAGGAATTAGTGTAATTTATGTGCAAACAGTGACAAATCTATCTTTAACAGATCACTGAAAGTTAGAATATCAAGATTATGTTCAGGAAAATGCAAGATTTAGAAAAGTATGAGCCCATATATAATGTCAGTATAGTTTTCAAGAATTAAATTCTGTGCTAGATTTACTTTTCTACAGTCACCTTTCAATTAAATCCATTAGAGTTTGTCAGCTGTAGTTTATTACTGCAGCTAGTGTGTGCATCTAGACCAGGGGAGGCAACCTTGGCTCTTTTATGACTCGTGGATTTCAACTCCCAGAATTGTTGAAGTCCATGAGTCATAAAAGAGCCAAGGTTGCCTACCCCTGATCTAGACAATTGTGATTTCACCAAAACAAGGCTTAGCATGTTGTGTGAATGCAGAAGTCTCATGACCAACATGTCCAGAAATACGCCCTGCTATCCTCACTACGCAACCTGGCATGAATGTAATTGTAATTGTGATTGCAGAAGTCCAGTGGTCAGGTGCTATTCATTGCGTAAGTTGCAGCAATCAGAGGTGCTGGCAGGGACTCCAAAAAGTCAAGATGACAGCTGCAACACAGACACACACATGCACGCGCGCGCACACAAAGGGATGGGTCTTGAATCATGTGGTCATGACTTGCACTCCTGCCAGTAACCCATTTCAGGTCAACCAGTCAAGTAACCACCACCCATCAAAGAATTGGCTATAGGAACTGTATTTCTGCAATCAACCGCCTTGCAGAACAGGATCGTCCAAAGTGATCCACAACAGACCTTCTGCAACAGATGGAGCCCAGAAGTCCACCAACCCAACAGCAAAAGATATGTTTGCAAAAGATGATCCACATGGAATGTCTGGTGTCATCCTAAGACAGGAACATCACTCCACACTGGAGAGCCCACCTTAGGGATCGGTCCAGTGGGACCGATCATTTGGGGAAGCCATTTTGGGAACATCACCAAGTGACAGCTGCACCCACGAGGCCTTCAGGTCAAGACCTTCTCACTTCGAGGGGCCACCAGGCTCTCGCTCCTCTAGGGAAAGGCAAAAGGGGAAGTTGGGGGACAGATTAAGAAGAGAAAGCTGAAGAAGCTTCTTGGAGGAGAAGCGAAACGTCTTCAAAGAAAGCCAAGAAAGTCCAGTTGCCTAGACTGAAAAAAGCATCTTTGGGACATTAAGAAGAGAATCTTTCTCTCGCGGCGGATACCCGGCTGGAAAGCCAGCCGTCGCGGAAAGCGCTCCAAGAGGCTCGGTTGCGCGCACTTTGCGCCTCTTTCTGCGCGTCCTGGCGAGGGGGGGGAGAGAAGAGGGGGAGGGACGCGGGCTGGACACGCCCCCCCCCGGGTGCACAGGGACCGGGCCCGCCCCTCCTTCGATGCCACTGGGTCCCCCGGGCGCCCGGTGGCTTCTTGCGCGCGCCTGTTGCACCGGTCATGTCCTCGGGCCTCTGGACGGCGCTGGCGGGGCTGCTGCTCCTGCCGCTGCTGGCCAGGCTGGCGTGCCCCTATTTCTTCCAGGACTTGTGCTTCTTCTTGAAGCTGCTGGCCGTGGGGTGGCGGGCCAGGCAGGGCGCGAGGCGGCGCCCCCCGCGCACCTTGCTGGAGGTGTTCGGGCAGCAGGCGCGCCGGGCGCCGGAGAAGCCGCTGCTGCTCTTCCGAGACGAGGTCTACACCTATCGGCAGGTGGAGCGGCGCAGCAACCAGGTGGCGCGGGCTCTGCGGGAGCAAGCCGGGCTCCGGCAGGGCGACTGCGTGGCCCTTTACCTGGCCAACCAGCCAGCCTACCTCTGGATCTGGCTGGGCTGCGCCAAGCTGGGCTGCGCCCTGGCCTGCCTCAACTGCAACGTCCGAGGACGGCCGCTAGTGCACAGCTTCCAAGCTAGTGGGGCCAAGGTCTTGCTGGCCGACCCAGGTGAGGAGGGGCGTCCCTGCCCCGCCCCGGGTCTGGGTTCTCCATCCGCCAAGCCCAGCTAGGTGTGTGGTGGTGGGTGGTGGGGTTGAGGTGTCGGGAAAGGCTGGAGGGGACGAGGTGATGGAGAGAGATCTGCTGGGTTCCTAGCCAGTCCCCAGTTCTGAGGACTGGGAAGGAGGATCAGGGGAGCCTCCATCTCTCAGCAGCTTTGAAACCCTTCCGAATCAGAGAATGAGAACTTCGTGGCGCCTTCTCCCCGTCCTTGCTGTCCGTGGTCCCAGAATCGTCCCAATAGAAAGGGAAATGTATCAAAGGGAGAACTTCCAAGTCTACACCCTCAACTTGGGATTTTCAGAATAGCAGAACAACAGAGTTTGGAAGGGGTCTTGGAGGTCATCTAGTCCAACCCCCTGCTCAAGCAGGAAAGCCAGTACCATTTCGGACAAGTGGCTGTCCAGTCTCTTCTTAAAAACTTCCAGTGTTGGAGCATTCACCACTTCTGGAGGCAGGTTGTTCCACTGGTTAATTGTTGTGTCAGGAAATTCCTCCTTAGTTCCAGGTTGCTTCTCTCCTGGATTAGTTTCCACCCGTTGCTTCTTGTCCTGCCTTCAGGCGCTTTGGAGAATAGCTTGACTCCCTCTTCTCTGCGGCAACCTCTGAGATATTGGAACACCATAGCGTCCTTCTTTTCATCAAACTAGACACACCCAATTGCAGCAACCATTCTTTATATGTTTTAGCCTCCAGTCCTCTAATCAAGGCCTTAACTCTTGATTAAGAGTTAACTCTTCAAGGCCTTCCAAAATCCTAGGAAATGGGGCTGCCAGATCTAAGGGGAAAGTCACTCTACGGACCAGGGGCTGTTACGGAAAAGGAAAGGTTCTCAGTTCCCAATGGATCACATTTAAAAGAAGCAACCTGGAGCGAATTCACTCTATGTGACTTGGCAAGACAGGCAGATACACTCAGGGAGAGTCAGCCCCACAAATGACCTGGACTCATGCCATTTCGGGCTTTCAAAGTGATAACCAGGCCTTTGAAGCGCAGATTGAATTGAAGTTGCCAGACTTGAGAGATTTGTACCTTGACTTTAAAGTTTCCAAGAAAGGCAAGCATCCTTTTCACCTGCAAGTCAGACTCCTGGTTCTGAAACCTGATGCGATTCAGGTGTTTGGATCACTTTGGAAAGAAATACCGTGTGCAGAAGTACTTGAATCCATCAGAATATTTTTGGAGGCATCCCATGTTATTCAGTGGGTTCATATTCACAGTTTGGAGGACTAGTTTGATTCAGAGATTTTATTTTGGTTTATAGTTTGTCTTCTTTTGCAATTTTTTTTTACGTGTGGAAAGAAAGAAAGAAAGAAAGAAAGAAAGAAAGAAAGAAAGAAAGAAAGAAAGAAAGGAGAGAGAGAAAAAGAAAGAGAGAAAAAGAGTAAAGGAGAAAGAAAGAGAGAGAGAGAGAGAGAAAGAAAGAAAGAGAAAGAAAGAGGAAAAGAGAGAGAAAAAAGAAAGAGAAAAAGAGTAAAGGAGAGAGAAAGAAAGAAGAAAGAAAGAAAGAAAGAAAGAAAGAGGAATAGAGAGAGAAAAAGAGTAAATGAGAAAGAGAGAGAGAGAAAGAGAAAGAGAGAAAGAGTAAAGGAGAAAGAAAGAAAGAAAGAAAGAAAGAGAAAGAGAGAGAGAAAGAAAAAGAGAGAAAAAAGAGAAAGAGAGAGAAAGAGTAAAGGAGAAAGAAAGAAAGAGAGAGAGAGAGAGAGAGAGAGAGAGAGAAAAGGAAAGAGAAAGAGAGAAAGAAAGAAAGATTCTGTTCAAATCACTTTCCTGTTATAAAATCACAGCCCATAGCTCTCTGTCCTGTTATATGGGAAAAAGGGGCTCTGTCTGAGACAGCCCCATTATGCCACTAATTTAGCTTACTATATCTTTGCCTGGAGGCTGGAGAGAAGAATTCATCCTAGATTTATTTTGGACATCTGCAATGAACAGACAGGTAAACAACTCTTTTGTGGTAATAGGCTACCAGATATTTTCCAGCCGCATTATGACAACAACATTCATGCCATTGGTCAAGTCATATTGGGGCTTATAGGAATTGTAGTCCCCAAATCTGGAGGCCGGCAGCTTATCCCAGACCCAGCCCAACCACGGCACTCAAGAGGGATCCTGCTATTTTTTGCATATTCTATCTATCAGATCGGAACCTGCAGTATTTAAACCGTGATACGTCTGGCTTGGCAACTGTTGGCCTTGATTGATTTACACAAGCTGCAGTGTATTATTAATGACTTATTCTCTTGGTAAAGCGTTCCAAAAAGAGAACAATGCCACAGTGGCTTTCTTGGCAATCTTTCATGAGACGTAGAACCGAAGCGCACAAATAATCCGCAGAATTATTGTTCGTGTCATTATAGGAGTCTTTATAATTAAAAAAAAAAACGTGCCTTGAAAGAACAAGGAAATTCCCTGGGATATTTAATCACCCTCACCTAGGAAATAGCTGAGCTCACTTAGAGATGGGTAAGGCGGGGGGGGGGAGCAGAGCAGCCCTCCCTCTCCAGAAAGAACACAAAGGCCTTCCCCCCCCCGTACATCAAAGACGAGGCGTTATGCAACTTCAATGGCTGATACTGCTCCAACCGTATCATCAAAATAAGTAGAATTAGAAAAATGGCAAATGTTATTATGGGAGAGAAACTACAAATTAGCAGTCAACTTCCTACAAAGAAAATCTGTATAAAATGTTTTAGAGATGGCACCTGCCGCCAGCAAGATTAGCAAAAATGTTTAAAAATATGTCAGATAGATGTTGGAAATGTAAACATAACATAGGCACGTACTATCACATTTGGTGGACGTGTGGTAAGGCAAAGGCCTATTGGAGAAAGATACATACTGTGGTTAGAAAGAATATTGGGTGAACAAGTGGATTTTAAACCTGAACTTTTTTTACTAGGTATTATGCCTGAAAAGACTAATAAGCAGAAATTATATTTAATCTTACACATTACTACAGCAGCGAGAATAATTTTTGCATAATACTGGAAGAATGAAGATTGCCATCGGAAGAAGAAATAATCAGGAAAATATTGGAATGTGCAGAGATGGACAGATTAACTATGAGTTTGAAAGATAAAGAAGATACAGACTATTATCAAATTTGGGACCTATTTTATTGTTGGCTAGAGGAAAGAATGAAGGATTAGGAATTGAACATGTATTAGCCTAGCAAACTCCAGACAACTTGTTGATTCGAAAAATTAACATTTGTTGATGAAAAAAACCCAATAAAATCATATATATATATATATATATATATATATATAAAAGCATCCATTCCCTGCTTCATAGCTTATGGTAGTAGAGCATTGTTAGGGAACCACCCAGCTTTAATTGGGATGCTATCTTGATAAATCAGTCTTTGACTTTTGTTTTCATTCTGTTTTTTTTCCACATGCCTGCACTTTATCACCAGTGAGTATGTGAGGCACACTCCACCCAACCGTATGGATGTAAGGAGGAACTGATGTTGTTATTTAGCCAAATAATTCATGAATGAGAGTAACTGGCCTTAGAAGGATATTTAGCACCGAAAAAAAGGGTGGATGGCAAAGCTAATGGAATTGGCTGATTCCGATTAAAGAAAAGATTTGGTCTAACTTCCTTGTTAGAGAGCCAAAGAAGTGAACATTTAATTTTGGGATTTGACCATGAGAACTGTACGATTATAGAAATAGTGTGTCTTATTGTTGATTTTAGATGAAGAGGTTAATGTATTTTATACCTGTAGCTGCATCGAAGGAAGTTGGAAGTGATTCTTCCTTTTTTTTCCCCTTTCTCTTTTTTCCCCTATTTTCTTTCCATGTGGATTCCTGATTTTGCTCTTTTTGACTTCACTTTTCCCTAATCACTTCTTTTCCGCCTCTTTTGCATTTTGCCTTTTGCTGACTCTTAACAGAAACATTAAAAAGTCATGATCTTTGTGAAGTTCTTGCCTTTAATCATGCATGATTGAATAAACCACAGTTGGCTAGGCTTACAACTTGGTGCTAAGCCATAAACCATGCTTTCAGCTGAAGTCACATATTGCCAAGCCAAATCCCCCATAAGAGCTTCCAAAATGCCTACCCATGACCTGTCAATCCAGGCAATTCTTTTGATGACAGGACCATCTAACGAAAGAAAGCACAAGTACCAATGAATGAATCAGTTCCATATTTCCTTCTTCTTGTGATCACTTCTCTTCTTCTCTTCAAAGACTTCAAAGGGATCATTGAAGACATATTGCCAACCCTGAAGCAAGAAAATGTGCTTGCTTATTTCTTAAGTAGAACGTCTGACACTGAAGGGGTCGACAGTTTCCTTGACAAGATAGAAGCTGCTTCAGATGAGGCTGTTCCAGAGTCTTGGAGATCAGATATTACTTGCCAAAGCCCCGCCATGTACATTTATACCTCTGGAACTACAGGTAGAGTAAAAGAAGCGTCACTAGATTGGTTCCTGTTTTGTTAAGAATTGGACAGGGTGTTTGGGGATGAGGGAAGATATCCACCATGTTTGGCAGAACATCATCTTGATGAAAGCTAGCTGAGAAGCAGGACTTGCAAGACAGCCCTTCACACATATTTTACTGAGAAGTTCAATTGAACATTGTACCCAATAAGTTAAATTCATGTGTGATTTGGAAAGTACAGAAATATTGAAGATTGCATGGATGGATGGATGGATGGATGGATGGATGGATGGATGGGTAGGTAGGGATGGATAGATAGATAGATAGATAGATAGATAGATAGATAGATAGATAGATAGATAGATAGATATGGATGGATAGGTAGGTAGGTAGGGATGGATGGATGGATGGATGGATGGATAGATGGATGGATAGTTAGATAGATAGATAGATAGATAGATAGATAGATAGATAGATAGATAGATAGATAAGATTTATCTCCGATTTGTTAGCTTTTTACATTAGAATCATTCCCTTTAACATGGTAAAGTGCTTTTTCATGTATAAAGATTCTTTTGAAAATATACATATAAAGAAGATATACAACAGATGAATTAAACTCTCCCTATTAAATGATAAATATTGCAGTGCACAGATACTACTGTATTACGTCTCTAAAGGAACAACTGTTCACATGCTTGGAAAGTCAACTAACCTTTTTTTTTCACCTAGGTCTCCCCAAAGCTGCAGTGATTACTCATCTCCGTGTATTATTGGGTTGTGGTTTGATCATGCTCAGTGGTGTCACTTCAGAGGACATTATTTACACCACTCTGCCATTATATCACAGCTCTGCCCTCTTGCTTGGAGTAAATGGTTGCATCATGCAAGGTAAGAAGTCTAAATAAAAGCGTGTTTTAGACCATCCTGACAACTACATGGTCTTAAACACCTCATGGAAAAGCATACTGATTGTTCAAAAGTTATGCTACTTTTATCTATCTATTTCCAATCCGAGTACTGGGCAAATCTAGAATCTTCTTCTGTGGAGGTTCTTAATGAATTATATGAAAATATTTCATTGCGGATCAGATGTGCCCCAGATTTGCTTCTTGGCACCCATTTTTACTCAGATAGGAAGGAAGCAAAATTGTCGATCTGCTCCTCGCTTTTCCTGCCTATTAATCTTCCTTATAAATTCTACAACCCAAAATCTAGGAAATTCTGAAAGGTCATAAAAGGGGACAAAACTCACTGAACAATTGTCTTGCTTAGCAGTGGCAATTTTAGGCTCAATTGTGGTCATACGTTGTAAGTCCTCACAGCTATTACTATCTCTAGGGCTAATTGCTACCTTTCCATGTAGAGCACCATTGCTTCGTATTTCAGACCCACTGAATCTGTTCTGTCAAAAAATTTGAGATCCATTGCCTCAGTGCCCCAAACATGCCCAATGGTTAGAGCTGGTCGTTGTTTGTCTTGGGGCTCACACAAGGCTTCGCCATTTTGGATTCTGTACTCAACCGATTTTCACAAAAGGTTGCTTTCTTCTTGATTCTTCTGCTTGGTTTTCAGTCAGCTTGGGAAAAAGACAGCGGTTATCAATCTTAGACAACCTGGCTTCTCAGTGAGGTGACTTCAGAAGGGCCTCAAGGAACACTGTCCTTCCCCTCCACACTCACAATGTGGATGGTCTGAACGGAGCACCGTTTTAACACCGGCATTGTAACTCTATCTAACTTTCATTGGAGCGAAATTTAATTCCCGACTTTCCATATTATCAGAAAGAATCAGAGTCATATCGTAATCTAAGATCAACGATCTGATTACATTTGATTGTTCTACCCTTTTGTATAGTTTGGTATGCAGACCTAACAATTATCCTACGGCCAAAGTGGCTGGGCTGGTTTAATGAGGAGCAAGATTGCTTTCTTTTTCGGCTGATGTCTTTTTCTGAAAGAAAGTAGCCACATTTTACACAATTGGTATTGCCAGTAAGGGATTCATGGTTTAGATTTTAAAATAATTATATTATAAACACTTATTTGTTTCATGCCATGAATGAGAGTCACCAGTAATTTTCTTTCTCTTCCTTTCTTTCTTTCTTTTTCTTTTTCTTTCTTTCTTTCTTTCTTTCTTCCTTCCTTCCTTCCTTCCTTCCTTCCTTTTCCTTCCTTTTCTTTCTTTCTCTTTCTTTCTTTCTTTCTTTCTTTCTTTCATCATCTATTATCTCTATGTCTATCTATTTATCTATCTATTCTATCATATATCCTATATCACCCATCTCTATCTGCCATCTGTCTGTCTGTGTCTGTCTTTCTATCTATCATTTATTCTGTTCGCCTGTATTCTATTTCACCTAACTCTTCCTTGGTTTTTCTCTCGTTTTCTTCCTTTAGATTGCACATTTGTTGATTTATGGCCTCAGACTTTATTCATATGGAGTAATTTAAAACAAAATCACCAAGACTGTGCATTTGCAATAGCTTATGCAGGAACACAAAATCTCACCGAAGAGACACCAAAATCTTGTATAACTTGGCAAGCTGGCAAACTTCGAACCATGTTCAAAGCATGAAGGTGTTTGATCATGTAGCAGTGTCCCTCAGCAATCATAAGCACCATGCTGCAGACTCTTGTTCTACCATGGGGTAGAGTTGCTCAGCGGATAGATATTGAGCTGAATGCACACTTTAGAACAGGGGTCTTCAAACTTGGCCCTTTGATGATTTGTGGACTTCAACTCCCAGAATTCCTCAGCCAGGCACGCTGGCTGAGGAATTCTGGGAGTTGAGATCCACAAATCATCAATGGGCCAAGTTTGAAGACTCCTGCTTTGGAAATTGGCCTCCTATCAAACCCGGAGGTATCTACCCAAATAGACAACGAAGAGGATGATGGATAGACCTTTTTTCTTCAGCAGTAGGTTTAAGAACACGTCAATGCACAGATAGAGATTTCATCTATTTCCCATTTTCCCTTCATCCACAGGTGCTACCCTAGTATTACGCTCAAAATTCTCTGCTTCTCAGTTTTGGGATGATTGTAGAAAGTACAAGGTGACTGTCATACAGTACATTGGAGAGGTGCTACGTTATTTATGCCACGTGCCCAAGGTAACCCTTCTTTAACCTCTCTCCTCTTGTCTCTGTTGGATACGTCGTGCCCGTTCGCCAAACCGATTACTTCCACAGGCAGAATAGGGGTCATGGGTGGTCTCTTCACTTGGTTCTTTTCTTTCAGACATTTCACTAGCAAACTAGATAACATTATTAGCGCACTTCATTAGCTAGCAAACCGGAGGAAGAGCAGGAGGCCTAAAACCACTGGAGAGAAAGTATTTTAAAAGATTTTTTTTTTTCCCCAAGAGGTCAGGAAGGAAAACAGGAATAATTTCCGTTGATCGCTGAACATTGAATTTCCCCAATTAGGCTTTAATTGTCTGATGTCAAGCCAAATAGATGGCTTTGCCTTTGTTGGCTCTTTGAGATGATCTAGAGAAGAGGTGCAAAACTCGCATTTACACTACATTTAGGGCAAGGTTGCATTAACAGAACAATTTTCCAATTGGATCTAAAAGCAAATTGCAAGTCTGAAGGCATTTTCTCCTTCCTTGGACTTCCTAGAAAACTAAGGAGAGTGCCTTCTGAAATGCTTGTCACAGCTCTTTTCCATCTATGGCAGGGGTGTCAAACTCAATTTCATTGAGGGCCGCATCAGCATTGCGGTTGCCCGTGGGGGGGGGCGGGGTGTGTGTGGCCAGGGTGGGTGCTACCTACTGAGTGGGCGTGGATGGAGTAGGTGTGGCCTACTGGATGGGCATGGCCATTTCTACATCGTTCGCGTCAAGGGCGCCTGTGGGGGCCTGGGCAGGAGTGGGACAGATCTGAGGGTCTCTGGCAGAAGGGGGGGGGGACCGGGGCAAGCGCCAAGGGATGGTCCATTTCTTCATTCCTCACAAAGGGTGACACCTCCCCAGCATGCACCCAGGGGTCGGGGCCGACACGGCAGGGGCTGGTTCCTCGGTGTTTCTAGACAGCCTTGTGGAGCTAAGACTGAATGTGTTTCAGCACAGATGGCCACCATAAAATTTACATTGGCTCCCGGCCGGCTTGGGCCAGGGCCAAGGCAGTGGGGGCCGTTCCCTCACTGTTTCCAGGATGGCTTCGCGGGCCACATGAAACCACTTTGCGGGCCGCATCCGGCCCCCAGGCCTTGTGTTTGACATGTCTGATCTATGAGCTAAGATACCTTTTTCATGAGAGTTGTCTAGTCTACAGCTCTTTCTACAATGATACCACAATGATAGTAATCCTTCCTACAATCCGTTACAGAAGTTTCATATGGTACATATTTGTCTTGGGAAAACCAATGAAGGTTATGTTTGACCAGATTATGTGCACGGAAGACTGTTTTACAACAAAAACACCCTTAATAAAAGATAAATAGACTGCTCTTTTGGCCAAATGGATCCCAATACTGAAGATGTAATAATGTTTGAACAGTAGTTCACCCTTTTGTTAAGAGTACAATGGTTGCATAAACCAAGGAAATGCTCACAAGACTGAGTAACACATATTTGTGATAATGGGGGGATAATATGATCCAAGGAGACATTTAATGGTGGAAGCTGCTTAGCCTGAAGGTGTTATAAATCCATACCACTAAAGATTTTGTTGTCTGGCAATTAAACTGGGAGGCATATTGCTCGATTTCTATTATAGTAACAGGAAAAACAGGATTTTTGGCATCTTCTCAAGTATCCATGCATGAATGCTGAGTGTATGAAACATACTATTAGTTTGCTACCACCTCTGAATAAATGGATATGAATTTCTCAGGGCAGAGTTACACATAAATGAACAATATCTCTTGTACAGATGTTTATTTGCAGCAACAAATCTAAGCCATTTTATTCCACACTTTCTTTCTCTCTGGCATAATTTTACAGTGTGCTTCTTTTGTGGTTATTTACAGGCCAGTTTTAATGGCAGCTGCTTTTATTTTTCTCCTTAACACATAAAAGGATTAATGAGAAACAAAAGGACAAACAGCAGAACTGGAGGTTGATAATAGTCTGTTTCCCCTAGAGAAACTTTACTAGGTGGAAAAATAAATCTCAGAGGTCCACAATCAAAGAAGAAAAGGGGGCGAAACAAAGCAGGGACAAAAATTGTCAAGCCAACGGAAAGATTCATCTCTTAAATATACCCGATTATTTAGAACTAGCCACTTTACCAGTTTGGGTAACGCCGGGAAAATTTGATGAACCAAAACAATGCAAAGCTTTTGAACTCTCACTGGTGTGTAAGAAAGTGTCATGGAACACACAAATCTACAAGGCTTCCCAGGAGCTTAAACTCAGCACATTAATGCACATTTAGTGACGTGTGCTTAGCTCCACATTTTGTGGCTGCACGGATTGAGTTAAAGCGTTTTTCCTGATGGCATAGGAAGAGGATTCCCGTCTAATTCAACCTTTTTGCATGCATACATCAAGTTTATCAGAAGATGTCTTATATTGAATCAGGTGTCTCCCAGCTCTGATGGAACTGATTGGCAGAGTTCTGAAGAGATTCTGATGGAGATGTCAGGAGCTAATCTTGCAACCTTTCACATTCAGCTCCACTACTCAACTTCATCAATGTACAGACAATGTTCTGTACAGTCCGTTCCATTGGCTGTAGATGATTAACTAGTTATTCTTCATGCCTGGTTTACTGTTTCCCTACTTTGACCCCTAGATGAGGGGTCCTTGCTACTCTCTGAGCTTGGTGTTTTCTTGATGATGTTACCTAGTTTGGGTAATGAAACGTCTGCAAGAAAACGACCAAGCTCAGAGAGCACCAAGGACCCCCTCATTTCAACCCTGAGCTACAAATATTCTCCTTGATTGGTAATTCTAGATGAGTTGAGATCAACTCCAACAGCTCTTAGCTCTTCTTACCTTGGTCACTGTTGAGAATTCTGAGAGTTAACTCAAGACATCTGGAAGTCACACAGCTTGTGAAATAGTGGGCTGGATTCAGTAGGACAGCATTCTTCTCTTCCTAAATAAAGGTTCATTTCCTACATGGTAAACCAGGATGGGGATGCTTTTGTAACTATGAAACGGAAAGCCCTCTGATTTGTTCGTTCTCTCCCGAGGAGTCTTTTATGCTCTTCTGGAATTGTGCTTTGTTTCTTTCTAGAAAGACAATGATCAGAACCACATGGTAAGACTTGCTATAGGTAATGGGTTACGGCCTGATATTTGGAGGGAAGTCATCAGAAGATTTGGAGACATACGTATCTTTGAGTTTTATGCAGCCACCGAAGCCAATGTTGGATTTGTTAATTACAGTGGAAAAATCGGAGCTGTGGGAAGATCGAATTACTTCCACAAGGTATGAAAAAGTAAAGATGTATGTCTTTTTAATTTGTATTTGCCAATTGTTTTTTTTTTCCCTAGCATCCATCAGTGGTCAACCATGAACCACCTTTGAAAAATAATTTGTATGGGGCTTTCCTAAAAATGTAATTATTGTATATGGGTCTCTGTTATCTATTATCCAGATTATCAGAAGCTACATCCACAGTTAAATAAAAAAACGAAGGAGTGAATGAACTCCTCTTTATAAAATAATTCAAATAAAAGCTATACATTTGGGGGCACTTTGATTTGGAACAAAGAATTGGGTTGAAGGACCTATATGTTTCCCTCAGTTCCATAATTTAGCAATCTTATGTGTCAAGGAAGGGTAGGACAACCTAGAGAGATGAAGTTCAATTTCCTTGCTAAATTGGAGAAATAGAAGAAATGGTATATATTGCTTGAGGACCCCAGCCCCAGCTGAACACTGAGGTTAAAACTAGTTTTTCATTCCCAATTTTACATATATGCAAAATTTCAAGCAATCAGTTAACAAATAAAATAAATGCCTAAGTTGTTTATGCCTTCCTTCACTTCAAATCAGCTTGAGTTAACCCTGTATCGTATTTCTCTGTGATTATGGGAAGCCAAACCCAGTTCCTTAGCTGTTGTGGATGAACGAACTAAAGCCAAGTATTCATAACCTATTGGACATTTTCTAGTTCATTTTAGAAGTTCATGGCCAACATCTCTGGATTGACTAGAGGATTGGACAATAATAAACAAAGTATAATCCTGGAGACTACCATCAAATCATGCATCCCTGCAAAAACAATAACAAATTGGTCTTAAACTAATTTTTATGTCTCCTTAAAAAAACAAATTTTAGTTTATTCATTGATTCCATTTGAATACCAAACTAAACCCAGAATATATCTCAATCAACATGTCAATGCAATACATTTTTCAGTTCCTTATGCCTACAGCAAGCAGAATTAGAGATATAATCCTTAAAGAGGCAAGGAAGATATCTCAACATCAGTATATATTCTGTCTATATAAGATGAAAAGGGAATCAAGTTTATTGATGCTGTATTTATGGGCTCTATTTCTTAAATGACCATAGATAGATAGATAACCTTTATTGTCATTTTTTATTGTGGGTACAATAGCACACGTTAAAAATGAAATTTAGTGGCTTGCTCTCAAAGTGTACACATACATAACACATATTTAAACATACTATATACAACATATACATAGACCTACACCCTTACATATGAGTAACATTAATATAAATATTAATCACTGTCCATCTTGAATACATAGCGGAAGGAGGAAGCTTTAGAGTTCACAAAATTAATACTGTATGGAACAAAATCTTGACTGAATCTGGATCTTCTGCTTCGGCTACCATGAAGCCTCCTTCTGGAAGGTAATAAGAAAAACAGGTCATGAGGAGGATGTGTAGTGTCCCAGACAATCTTGCAGACCCTGCTCAAGCAACGCTTCTGTGCCATGTCCTGGATGGGAGGAAGGGAACTGCCAATAATCTTTTCTGCCATCCTCACCACTCTCTGCATCACCGTCCTGTCTGAAGCCATTTTTAAAATGTTCTAAGATCACAGCACTTAAATCTCTCTGGAGGGACCACAAATGTTCAAAGAAAAAGCATTTGAACCTCTGTTTTAAACACATAATATACAGTCTTATGCTTTCCGTAGAAAATGATACAATACAGCCTCATTAAGTATGATGTGGAGAAAGATGAACCGGTCAGAGATGAAAATGGCTACTGTATAAAAGTTCCTAAAGGTAACTATGATTTGATATCTTTAATTGCCACTAAAATTCAGCACCAAATAGCATGCTTCGAAGAAGACACAATGCTTTTAGGAAGAAATGGTGCTCTATAGTCCATTTGGAAAAAAACAGGTAAAATAAAAACTATTGCTTAAATATCCAGACTCTAAAAGTCAATCACACCTTTAGGAATACGCAACAGGAGGAGTCCTGTCATTCAGGGCTCAACAATAGATTGTTTCCATCATTTATAGTCTTATATAATAGTCCAGAAACTTTCCTGTCATCTTCTGGAGTTTGAAGCAAAACTACCCATGTGAAAGCCAGCCCAAAATACCTACAGCAGGGAAGAACTTAGATCTAAGATAGGGGTCTCCAAACGTGGCAACTTTAAGACTTGTGGACCTCAACTCCCAGAATTCCTCAACTAGCTGGCTGGGAATTCTGGGAGTTGAAGTTCACAAGTCTTAAAGTTGCCAAGTTTGGAGGCCCCTGTAGTGCCACCACAGATCAAGGTTTCTATAATGTTGTACAAACAAGTCTTGCCCTCAAGAAGCGAGTTCATGCTGCACTTCAACATTGAGCTATGCTCAAGGAGATGCTTAAATATCTAGAGTTCCTGGATGTCTCCTGATTTAGGTTAGTGCAGATCAGACCTAAAAGTAAAAACTGGATTACTTGGAAACGATGGTCTATTCCTGAATAGACTTTTACTTCCAAGTGGATGTTGCTTATGTGTATATCCAGCATGTGTACAAGTTCTTTAAATCTGTCCTGGGATTTATGTGAACCTCCTCAAAATCTCGGAACTTCAATTGAAAATATTAAATTAGTTTTGGAGTATTGCACATGCCACGTGGAGTATGTTAACTTTGGGAGGGGGCGGGAAGAAAAAGTTCACTTTGATATTAAAATCGACTTAGATTTGAGATATTCATTGTTGTTGCTATGTTTTTCTTAGTTACAGAGCTTTTGCAGGGAACCCTGCAATGGATTCAGGTAGTCAGTATTACTATTCAGCAGTCATTTCATTTGAGTTTATCATTTCATTTGAGTTTTGTGTTCCCTCTAGGTGAAGTGGGACTGTTAGTTTGCAAAATCACCCAGTTGGCTCCATTTAGTGGTTACGCGGGATCAAAGAGCCTGACGGAAAAAAAGAAGCTAAGAAATGTTTTCCAGAATGGTGACGTGTATTTCAACAGCGGAGATCTTTTAATGATTGATCGTGACAACTTTATTTATTTCCATGATCGAGTCGGAGATACATTCCGGTTTGTTTTTTTTCTCTCTCTCTTCCCCCCCCCCCCCCCGGTCTCTGTCTCTATTTTGTCTTCCTGACAGCAGGAAATAAGTATAGATAGATCATTATATTTTGAAATGTGGCAGTTATGTTTCAGCATTGAAGTTGTAGTTTAATGTTTAAGGAGTCAGGAGATTAATTGCCCAGTCAGTCAATTCCAGCGTGCTGAAAGAGCACTATGAATTTGTAGTCAAATGGTCTAAGATATTACATTGGAGGCTACTTTTGCTAAATATTGATCTTGCACATGGCAGCACCACGTGATGGCACCCCAAAGCTGTAGTTTGGACTAGACTTCTTAGCAATAGCATCCTCTGAAGCTGCTCTTCAAGAATGAATGAATCTACCACGACCTGAGGCTGCATTTCTTTTCCTGGTTGAGTTGCATCTTCTGGATAGTTCATCGACCCTAGACCATGAATTGATAGTCTTCCTCCATTCTGGTTCCCCTGATACAATTCTTAAATTTGCGTTTCCCTCTCCAGCAGCCACTTCAATTCATTTGTGACAATAGTTGCTTTAGACTGTGGTTTTTAAAACAAATTATGTTCCGTAGATGGAAAGGAGAAAACGTGGCTACGACAGAAGTTGCCGATATTTTAGGACTGATCAACTTTATTCAGGAGGTGAATGTGTATGGTGTATCTGTGCCAGGTATAGAGCAAAGATGGAATGTCTTCCAGTGAGGGAGGGAGGAAGGAGATGAGGGAGGGAAGGAAGGAAGGAAAGTAGGAAGGAAGGAGATGAGGGAGGGAAGGAAGGAGATGAGGAAGCAAGGAAGGAAGGAAGGAGATGATGGAGGGAAGAAAGGAAGGAAATGAGGAAAGAAGGAAGGAGATGAAAGAGGGAAGGAAGGAAATGAGGGAGGGAAGGAAAGAGATGAAGGAAGGAAGGAGGGAGGGAGGGAGGAGGGAAGGGAGGGAAGGAAGAAAGGAAAGTAGGAAGGAAGGAGATGAGGAAGCAAGGAAGGAAGGAAGGAGATGATGGAGGGAAGAAAGGAAGGAAATGAGGAAAGAAGAAGGAGATGAAAGAGGGAGGGAAGGAAATGAGGAAGGAAGGATCAGGCAGAATTTCAACTGCATCATTATGGATGGTATCTTGACTTTTTTTATAAACCATATTATATGAACATCCCTGAGAAGATTCTTGCTTTCTAGTCCATTTGCCTAAATTTTCCTCTTTGATTTTGAAAAATTATTTTCCATTCTTAGGAGAGCTATAAGTGTACCCACCTACATTTAACAGGGATGTAAACATACCATGTACTCTAAATTGAAAAACTACTTAGTGCAGTGAATGATTTAATCTCTTCAGAAGGATTTTTTTAAATTTGATCCACCCTTATAATCAGGTCTTTTAATGTTAAGTTACTGGCCAGTAACCATTATAGTTAATACAATACCAAAAAAATGGGTTTCATAAACTGAGTAGGAAACAGTTGAGAGAAGTCAATATTAAGAGTAATTCTCCTGCAGGTCACGAAGGCCGAATAGGCATGGCATCCCTACGACTAGCAGAAAATTGTAATTTTGGTGGGGAAATTCTCTACAAGCATGCAACAGATTACTTGCCACTTTATGCAAGACCGTATTTCGTGAGGATCCAGGTAGGTGATCTTCCATCCATACCCATCTCACAATTGGTTAGAAAGTGGTGGTCTTTGCATTAGAAGAGAACCACAATTTTCATGGAGGATGCTGTGTTCCCTTGTTTGAAAGATCTCAGAACTTGTGTCTCTCCCATTGTGTTGTAATACAGGGGGTCCTCAACTTATAATCATTCATTGGGTGACCATTCAAAGTTTACAACAGCTTATCGCTGCTGGCCAATGATTCCCCAAGGCTTCTTCTCACCCATGCTAGATCAGTCTTTCTCAACCTCAGCAACTTTAAGATGTATGGACTTCAACTTCCAGAATTCTCCAGCTAGCATGCTGGCTGGGGAATTCTGGGAGTTGAAATCCACACATCTTGAAGTTGCTGAGAATGAGAAATGCTGTCCTAAATAGTTCAACTTCCAGTATCTCTGAAGGATGCCACCTTCAAGGAGACTTCTTTTTATATATATATATATACATAAATACTTTATTGGTTTTTAACTATAACAATCTCCAGTGCCTGGTGTACAACGTGTTGTCTTGGTTTATATTTTAACAAGAAAAAAAAGACAATAATTATTAATCAACAGTCTATAATGACTAAGTTTGATAATTCCATAATTAGTATATTAATTAATAATATATTTCTTTGATCTTCCCTTCTCCCATTTATATTCTCCTTCATTCTTAACCAAAATATAATTCTTAATATATTCAATTTATAAATGATGAGATATAGGCATTTTTTTATATTTATACAAATAATAATAATCTTCAAGGAGACTTCTGCAGGTCCATCCCAAAAATCCTTTCCAGAGGTCAAAAATAGCCTTTCACTGAGCATGGGCTTGGGACTATTCTTTAATGATGGGTTATTATTTGATTAGTTGCATAAAGGGGAAATAAAAATCCTTAAGTTTAGAAAGAAAAAATAGAGTCATTACACAACTTATCATTGCTATGCTGTTTCTTCTTGTTTTACTAGGATGCTATTGAGATCACCGGAACATTTAAATACCGGAAAGTACAGTTAGCAGAAGAAGGATTCAATCCAGCAGTTGTCAGGGACGCCTTATATTTTTTGGATGATAAAGAGAAGACCTACCTACCCTTGACAGAAGACATCTATAACTCAATATGTAGCAACAGATGGAAACTATAGTGCTCCTGAATTTGTTACTATTTTTTTAAAAAAAATTATATTGTTCAATAATTTTAGAAAGTGATGGAAAATTGATCTTCAGTCCAATTGCACATATATGTCTAGATTTTGAAATAGTCATGCCTTACTTATTTTGTCAATATTTTAGAGATAGTGCTGATGACTTTGGAACAAAGCTCTTCATCCACCTCCAGACTGATCTGCTAATATTATATTCTCCATGTTTTGGAATATTTAAAAGTTAATAGCTTGTGTAACTATAGACTGGGAGCTGTCGGAATGGTTCCCATTTGGATAGGATAGGATAGGATAGAATAGGATAGGATAGAATAGAATAGAATAGAATAGAATAGAATAGAATAGAATAGAATAGAATATCAGAGTTGGAAGTCTTCTTCTACTTCTGAAACACATCATGTTTGCCAACTTCTTAATTCACCACATTCATGCATCCTCTACCATGACAGAATGACTGTTTACTTGCTATGTAAGCTGAAGATCTCTGTGTAGGTCAGAAAGAGGTGCACTTTGTATATTATTCAAAAGTCACTCTGGATGCATCTCTAATCTCAACTTCCTCCGAAATGGTCCCATAAAAATGTTCTGCCAATTTTTATTATGCCAGTGAGACCACAAGTAGTTTAATCAACACTCTTCTATCTCATTAATCTTTGCAGTGTCTATTATGCTTGAACATCTCTTGTTCTTTCCATCCCTTTTTCTAGAGTAATCTTGGGATGTCTGCAGGTATGATAAAAAAAAAATTAAGATGGTGATGGTGGTACAGTCAAAGTGCCTATTTTTTATGTTTTCCATTTGCACTGTCATGGTTATCGTCTTCATTTTTTTAGCCACACTCTTTGGACACCCCTGTTGAGGGTAATTATTAATAGTTATTCCAAACTGATTACATGTCTCACTCAAAGGAAGACAATGGGTAGTATCTATTGAATGTTCGTATTTGCCGTGATTTGTGGCTTAGCTTGAATTTGATTAGGAGGGAGGTATTCAATAAAAACATCTCTCAACATATCGGTGGATCAAGTCAATATGAGAAAGCGACCGTCTGAAATGAAAACTGAAACTCTAGATGACAAGATTAAATATTTTATTTATGTTATGAACTTACTCGGTATACAGCAAGGCTTTTCAACCAGTGGTACATTGGCACCTGGCAGGTGGTACGCGACCATCCTAGAAAAGTGGTAGCGGGGAAGGGGAATGAGCTGAACCGGTGGCAGCACCGCACAAACCTGAGCGAGAGATGGCTGGAGCTGCAGGGCTGTCAGGGCTCAGCGGAAGCGCCTGGATCAGCGCCAGTGCTCCCTGGAAAGCAGCACTGATCCTGGCACTTCTGCTGAGCCTAGAAGAAGCGCCGATCAGCTGGAATGTTGCAGCCTCTCCAGGGTCTTGTGATTTACATTCAGATGCTTGGCAACTGATTCATATTTATGACGGTCACAGTGTCCCAGGGTCATGTGAAGTGACCAAAACCTGCTGCAACCACCCAGCAGACGGGGGAATAAAAACCATAAAAACCACCCCACCTCCACTGCCAATCCTCAACAGAAATGCTCACAACAATGAAAACCTCGCACAGGAGGAAGAGCGCCGACGGGTGGGCAGGCAGGTGTCTTGCTCGGCTGTGCCTTGGGGGGGGCACTTTTTTCAGTGCCATTGTAACTTCGAACAGTCACTAAGTCAACTGTTGTAAGTCGAGGACTACCTGTGCTTTTTTCCCTTTTTTTTTGGTGATCAAGTTTTTGACACCTTGCTAGGTGACTGGTGGTCCTCGGATGTTCCCATATCCTAAAAGTGGCACAATGGGTGAAAAGGTTGAAAAGCCCTGGTATACAGGTTCTTTTTTAAAAAAATAAGATCTGCAATTAGGCTATTTCTGGGCCATAAGTTATTACATTGCATAAAAATAATCTGACGTTGGTTGTCATTCTGTGGAGGAAAGAAGCTCTAAAAAGCTAAATAATAGTCTGAAGAGGACAACATGGCAACTGGAGACCGCACTGAATGGAGCATTCCGGAAAACTAGGCATGTGGTAAAACTGGGGTGGTTTCTTCAGATCTTCTTTCTTGATCATCAGGAGATCTTTGGGCAATCTGGAAAGGAATTTCTTGCCAGCACAAAGCCTGTTCTCCACAGGGCTGTCCAAGCTGAAGGAACGGACCTTTTTTTTCTTGTTTGGAGATGATAAACTCGGGACAATAGGCAAGTCACAGCTGGTCAGACGTCGGCCATTTTCTGTCAAGCACTCATGCAAATGAGGCTCTTTAGCCATTGGGATGTATTCGTTCAACAGTGACAAAGAAGAGTTGAGGGACCCTCTCCGAGGCTGGGTAGTTATCCTGTTGAAAGGGAAAATGTTGCCTTTTTCTTTCTCTGTGAAAATAGGAGGAGTGGCACTTGCTGCTTTTGAACTGGAGCTGATTAATTGCCTGGGGATTTGGGCCTTCTCCTCCGGGATGAGGAGAGATTGACTGGAGACATTCACTGCAGTCCGTTGGATGAAAGCCCAGTCTTGTTGAATATCCTCTCGAGTGGTGAACTGAGAAGTTACAGAGAAGCGAATGATCAACTTCTCCTGAACTGATGCTGGGATGACAAACAGCTTTCCTGATTTGTTCAGGTCTTTTAAGAGCTTCTCGGTCATCCAGTTGGGGCCCTGTTTGTAAAAGACGGAGCTTTTCATGACAGCCATTGAGAAAGAAACTTTCGAAGATACAAACGCACGTCCCGCTGAAAGACATTACTCATCCTGCTTTGTCTTCTTGCCATTTCCACCGTCATTCCATCAAACACTGACGGTTAGGGGACGTTCTCTTTTCCCTTGCTAAGGTCAAAATGTCCATCAACCATCGAGTTAAGCTTCAGGGTCCAAATGGGTCTGCTCGCATTTCAATGCAAACTTGTTATAATTTTGCCCTTTTGAGACCCAACATCTCAACAAAACTTTCCCAAATTCCCAGTTCCCCAAAGTTTGCCATTCAGTTTTCCAATCGTGCCTTTTTAAAAGGGTATATATTAGGGAAAGGCACACAAACAAAATGTTTAGCTTTTTTAATCCCAACACTGATGTACCGCTCCAGTCAAATTATTCTGGGTGGTGAAGAAAAGAATCTTAAAACATCTGTTACCCTCAGACAAGAAGTAAAAACAACATCTAGCCTGAAAGCCAAATCAAAAAGCACATGACACTAAAATTTGCAAAAATATTGTTAACCAAACGTGATGCTAATTTAATGGGTTTTTTAATTTTTAAAAAAACCCTCATACTTGATAAACTAATACTGACCTATGAGCAAATATCAGAGCTGAAAAAACACAGATTAGCCCATTTCTAGTTTGCAATTACTGTATATGTTTCATTGCATCTGCCCATAGTTCACTAAACTTGTCCGTTTTCCTCCCATTTCAGCCTCAACCAAGTGTGACAGTCCAGCTGTCCAGATTTGAGGCAACGGCCGCTTTTCCCTGTACTTATTCCTCGCAGTTTCCAAGCACATAAGCCAACTCTCAACTTGACGCCATTCTGATGAGCTGGAATTCAGTGCCCATCATTCTCCACTAGCATGCTGGAGGAGAATGATGGGGATTGAAGTCCAATGCGCAGAGAAGGAAGCCCATTACGAGAGAATGGTGTAAGTTATAGTAAAATATGATAGGAAAACGTCACCTTTAGACGAAAAACAACTAGTCCCAGATGCCTCTTCGCAGGGATTTCAAACAAGGGGTCGCTCCTGAGCAGTGATTCAAAATATTTGGCCATTTCAGTGCCCTGGGGTTTTCAAAGACAAAGGCAATAGTTATTCCCAACAGCACAGCTATGGTGACAATCTTTGAACAGTCTAGGGCTGCATGTAATTGAAGGAGAGCAAACAGGGTTGAGCAGATTGCTCCAAATTTTGTAGGACTTTAAAAAAGTTTCCCCTTAGAGCTTATCTTACAACTAGAGTCTCTCCCATCTAAAGATAATGTCCAATCTGTGGTGAGATGGACGAATTAACAAAAGAGATAAAAGAAAAGGAAGACACAGAGTATTATATAACATGGAACAAATGGTATGTCTGGTTGGAGACTAGAAATAATAGAGGAGAATAAATATGGAAAGGTCAAAAGTGAAAATATCTGTATAATAATGTATAATAATAATAATATGAATTATTCTTAGTAAGAAGTAGAACATGAAGGAAGAAAAATGTAAATAAGAAATAACGGGGCAATAAGGACAAATATTCTAAAGAAGAATAAGGGGGGAAATGTAAATAACAGATTACCGTTACGTAATCGCTGTAAAAAAAAAGGGAGAGGGGTATATATATTGTATGTGTATGTGTGTTATGTTTTGCTTTGTTTTGTTTTGTTGGTTAAAAAAAAATAAAGATAATGTCCAATGATTTTTGCCTAATCCAACCTCAAAATTCAGCAGGATTGACAGATCAAAGACTGGTCCACCAACTGCGCTGATCAAAGTTGATCCTCAAACATCCTTTGCCCAAATCTCCTGTTGTGCAGTAGAGCGCAGTTAACTATTGAGGGCATCAGCAAGATTTATGTTTATTCTTCTAATTCACCTACGTGTCTGACATGCTCCTGAAGCTTTTTCACACCGAACGAGCGAATCACAAACCAAAGTTTTAGCGAGCGGAACCTTCGGCTCAGCGGGATTTGCCAGTGCTGTAAAGAAAAACATAATACACGTCTTCTAATAATTATATGTTGTTAGGTTTAATAATAAAAAAATGGCACAGGGTTTCCTGCTTGAGCAGTGGGTTGGACTGGAAGACCTTTAAGGTCCCTTCCAATTCTGCTGTTCTGTTAAATGGGTCAGATGAAAGGAAAGAGGTGGGCAACTGAGTGGAATTTACTGTTGGCTTGAAGGATTGTATGGCAAGGTTCACAGGCTGATCCCAATCATGGTTTCTTCAACCCTGGTTGATTTTAAGAACAATTGCCTAACTGCATAGTAATTCAACACACAAGTAAGCTACCTTATCATTTAGCAGCGGTTCTGAACCAACTGGCATGAAATAACCGCAAAGCTGGTGAAGGGTTTTGTTAAAAATCACATATTAATTGAAAGCATTAAACAAAATGCTCAACTTGACCTGCTTTAGGCATTCTGCTAATTTCTATTGTATCCCTTTCAACCTGACAATTGGACTCTGTGTGTTTTGTACAGCCACCCCCCTTCAGTTTGAATCTCGTACAATAACAGATCCATAGATTATTTCGAATAGTAAAATAAGCCAGCTGGCCATTTCTCAAGGGGGGAAATGAGCTAGGAAAATGCCACAAGTCCACTTCACAAATTCCATTCTCCTCTGAATCCCATTCTGATTCCCTTCATTGCTGGGGGGGGGGGAAGGATTTCTGTGGCCTATTCCTGCCTATGGATAAGCTGAATGTTCTCACCATGAAATCAGTTGCTGATCCAGAATTGGGATGTCTGAGGTAGAGGGGGTTGACACTGAAAGTTTGCTGGAGCTTGAATTTATCTTTAACCCTTTTAAAAGATGAACAGAAAACAAGACAAGCTGATTGGGAAGAGCTCCAGAGATTGAGAAAGGTCAGGCAGAAAAAGGATGGAGAAAGTTTGGAGCCTCACCAGAATGCCGTGCAATCAAAGTGAACCATCATCCATTTGGAAGGATTGAAGGTAAACGAATCAGCATATTCAATTCCCGTGAGAAAAGATCTGTATTCTGGACACAGAAAGGCTGTTCCAGCATAGGCAGCATCAACGTGAAGCCAAAGATTCTCCTTAGCACCTGGAGAGAAATCCACGTGAAAAAGTTCCTTTTTATTGGATGGTTGATCCTATACAAAACCCCAACGTACATTACATTTATTGGTTGGTTTGTTAAATTTATTTCCTGCCTGTCTCACTGTGAGGCTATTCTCGACAACTTACAATAACAGAAAGCAAGAACATGGAAAAAGTGTAAACAGAACAGAAGCACGATAATAGAACAATAAAATAAGCAACGAAAATGAACACTGTGAGAATACATCCATAATGATAACCAAAACGATGGACAGGTGGAATTCTGGGAATTGAAGTCCACAAGTCATAAAGTTGTCATAGTTGCCCACTCTGATCTACAGTATCTAAGCAAGGGATGGCTGAAGGAAGGAGCTGCACTGAGAAATCCCTCTGAAAGATCCCGAAACATTTTAGCATTCCACTTTCCTGATCCGCCCTGCGAGATCAGGGATCTGAGAATACTTGGAGGAGAAGCAGACTTAAGACAACAAACGGATTTTCCAGGAAAGACCTTTTAGGTAAGTGGTGTATAACTACTTACATATTGGACCTAGTTCTGAAAGGCTGTCAAAAGCGCACACACCAGTTGTTCCAAGAGTTGCACAAACCTAGACAAAACCAGAGATTTATTAAAATATTTTAAAAGAAATAAATTAGAAACTTATACAAAAGGAGGAGAGTTGGTAAAAAAAGTGTCTTCCTTCCCTCCCTCCCTCCCTCCCTTCCTCTCTTCCTTCCTTCCTTTCTTTCTTTTTCTTTCTTTCTTTCTTTCATTCTCTCGCTCTCTCTTTCTTTCTTTCTTTCCTTTCTTCTTGTTTTTGGATGCACTAGGCTGTAGAACTCTTTGGCTCAAAACATCTTTAGAATAGAATAGAATAAAGCTGGAAGGGACCTTGGAGGTCTTCTAGTCCAACCTCCTACTCAAGCTGGAGAACCTACACCATCTCAGACAGATGACTGTCTAGCATTTTCTTAAAAATCTTCAGTGATGGCGTGCCCACGATTTCTGGGGGTAAGCTGTTCCACTGGTTGATTGTCTTCACTGTCAGGAAGTTTCTCCTTAATTCCAGGTGATCTAATTATAATCTAATTATCTATATAGACTTACATTTCATAACTGATTAAAGACTTTTCAGTCTGTCTTGGTGTGATTAGCTCTTCCCATACTCATTATCAGTTTTTTTTTCCTTTTTTTTGTACCTTAGTTTTCTGTTGGCTGATATACATACTTGCTCATATCAGCTGCCTATGTTATTGCAATTTGAAAAAGGGAAAGGGTTTTTTTTTAGGAATTAAACTTAATCAAAACAATGATATCTATTGGTTAAATGTACTGACCCATCAGCAAATGGCCATAAATGTAGGTGGTGTCTTTTTTTTTTTTTTGTAACTTTGAAAGGTCCTAAGTCAGTGGTTCTCAACCTTTTTAATGCCGCGACCCCCAACCGGTCATAAGTCGAGGACTACTCAACTGGTGCAGCACCGTTTGCAGAATGGGACTTTTGGCGGGCTCAGCAGAGCAGAGACCCACAGGTTGAGAACCACTGTCCTAAGTAGTGGACAGGGTGGAAGGAGGGCTCTGCTGCTTTTCAGATGTGATGGAGCAATATCGTATCACCGAAAGAGAGAGAGAGAACAAGCAACACACTTACAAAGATAGGTACCAAGCCACGGTTTCGGTCCTCCTGCACAGCTTTGCCCAGCGTTTCACCTCTCAAGGCGAAATTCTCGTCAACCGGCAGAAACCTGACTTTCACGAGGGAAATCAATCCTGCCTTTTCAACAGAGGAATGAGCCTGGATAAACAAGACCCAGATTGGAGACAATCAGTGGATGATTACAGAATGCAGAATAACAGAATTGGAAGGGAACTAGAGGTCATCTTGTCCAACCCCCTGCTCAGTCTCCCCTGCCCAGTCTCTTCTTAAAAACTTCCATTGTTGGAGCACCCACAACTTCTGAAGGAGCAAGCCATTCCACTGATGAATTGTTCCAACTGTCAGGAAATTCCTCCTTAGTTCCAGGTTGCTTCTCTCCTTGATTTGTTCCCATCCATTGCTTCTTGTCCTGCCTTCAGGCACTTTGGAGATTGTTGAGAACACACCATAAGAATAAATGGGTTGGCAGTCCAATTAAAGGCAAGATATGCATGCTGGTGGTAGGTAAATGTAAGGAACTGATGACAACGTGTGAGGTTTTTTTTTTTCCACATGAGCTCCAGCATAACACTGCATCTCAGCTGCCTGAAGTCTATCTTTCCTAGGCAAGACTGTCCCCTGCTGTTCAAAAAGTATATGTAAGGCAGTTGCACAACAATAAAAAGCGCCAGAATTTACAAGTTGGTTAGCTAAACCTGTTGGTTAGCTAAACCTGTTGCCTTCTGAAAACAAAGCTGCATGAAAAGCCTGTGTTCCAGGCATTGATATATTGGCTCAAAGGCTTGTGTGACAGGGATGACATGCATGTGATAGATATGAAAAAGAACTGGGAAGTAAAGGAAGCTTAGCAAAGTGCGATCCAACCAGGAATTAAGAAGAAAGCTCCTGACAATGAGAACAATTACTCAGTGGAACAGCTTGCCTCCAGTCGTTGTGGATGCTCCATCATGGGAGGTTTTCAAGAAAAGATTGGACATCCATTTGTCCAGAATGGTATAGAGCAGACATGTCAAACACAAAGATGCAGCCCGCGAAGTGGTTTCATGTGGCCCGCGAAGCCATCCTGGAAACAGTGAGGGAACAGCCCCCACTGCCTTGGCCCTGGCCAAGGCCAGTTGGGAGCCAATGTACAATTTTGTGGTGGCCATCTTGGCACTTGCCCCGGTGGACCATGCCTTGGCACTTGCCCCAGTCCCACCCCCTTCTGCCAGAGACCCTCAGATCTGTCCCACTCCTGCCCAGGTCCCCACAAGCACCCTTGATGCAAACGATGTAGAGTTGGCCATGCTCACCCAGTAGGCCACACCCATTCCATCCACGCCCACCCAGTAGGCTGCACCCACTCTAGCCATACACACACACTCCAGGGCAACCACAATGCTGATGCGGCCCTCAGTGAAATTGAGTTTGACACCCCTGGTATAGAATCTCCTGGTTGAACAGGAGGTTGCACTAGAAGACTTCCAAGGTCCCTTCCAGTGCTGTCATTCTGTATTTGATTCTATTTCTATGGCACCGTCATGGCCACCATCTTTTTTTGTCTTCTGTACCCTGCAGATGCCTCCGTTGACCATGAGTTTTTTTTCAAATTGGGTTCCATAGGTAATAATAACTTAAAAATTCACTCATAGTTATATGAAGAACTCACCTGATCAGAAGCATATGCGATGAGGCGAGAATTCAGAATGGAATCATCTACATTTGGCTCCGATGTTTTCATTTCAAGAATTTTATTCTTTCTGGCTGCTAGCAGAGCGACCAAGGTTGATTCACTAACTGTGCTCTGTAGGGAGAAGGGTTAAAAAAAAAAACCCTCTAACAATAGTTTATGTTTGATATGAAAAATCTCCTAGTTCCTCCATATGCCAAGATGAATCTGACACCATGTCCGTAGATCATAATCCTTCCCATTTTTTTCATCAAAAGATTGCTGACTTTCTAACTGCAGTGGACCATAGCCCTTCGCCATTGCCATGCAGAATTGAAAACTAAAACATCTGGGGAACATCAGACTGCATCTTTTCTCTCATTCCAATGACAGTCTATTAGTCACAAACAATAATATTTAGTTCTCCAAGCACTCTTGTTTGTATTATATTTGTGGTTTCTGCAAGGATGTGATTAGGCAATCTTATTGCAGAAGGGCAGATGACACCAATAGTTCCTACTGAAGGAAGATTTATGACTTCCTGCAAAGCAATCTCTAGTGTAATCAGCTAATTTCAGGTAGTCCTCAACTTACAATCACAACTGGGACCAGAATTAGCATTGCTAAGCCAGGTGCTAAAATGAATAAACTTCTACTGAAATTTGAAAATGAACAACAAGTGAAAGAATGTATGATTAACATGGGCTAAAAAAATATTCAGTTATAGTATGCAGATACAGTGCTACCTCGGATCCATCGTAAACTGGTGCAATGAATACCAAAAATGATGAGTACCAAATAATTTTTTCCCATAAGGAATTATGTAGTGAGTCACAAGGCAGCTGAACACCAGCAAGTCCTAGCCTGTGTGTGGAGTACCAAACAAATGGTCAGTACTGGGACAAAATGTTCATGTCAAAATGTGTTGAGTACCAAATCCGATGGGTTTCGAAGCGGTTGAGTACCAAGGTACCACCGTAGAACAATGGGAAAATATGTGACTGAAAGAATTGAAATTTATATTGTGTGACAGTCGTACAGAGAACTGTTATAAAACGATATATTTGGGGTATATGACACCAGAAATTTTTTTCCAGAATGTATATAGGCATTTTAAGTTTGGGTTGGAACTGGAGAGTAGATGACCTCTAAAGGCCTTTCCAATTCCATGTTTCTATGATTCCCAACCTTCTTGGATGTTTTGGAATCTGTAGCTCCAACATATTTAGAGAGCACCATATTGGCCAAAGGAGTACCAGATACAGCTACCTATTCTAAGCATGCTCAGTTTGACAACAATGAACCTGCAGAATCAATCACATGGTAAATGGATGGCTATGAACATTAAAACCCTCCCTCGGTCAATCAATTAATCCACTCATTTACCTGCAAGATGCCACCACCTTTGCTGCTAGGATGATAATGTAAGAATGTTTCCGGAAGCCCCATCATTTGAGCCAACCAATCCATCACATTCATTTCCAGTTCTGTGCAAGCTGGACTGGATGCCTGAGAGTTGTAGGGGAAGGAAACACAGTGGGTAAAACAGCACCCCATTGGATGAAGGAGGGGAAATTCTTAATGTAGCCATGCTTAATGGGTTTTTTTCCCCACAGCAAATTGCACAGGGTTGTGTGGTCAAAACCTGGCTCACTTAAAGCAACCAAATCCCTTCAAAGAGGCAACGTTGTTTTATTTGCATGCAAATCAATAACACAAAACATAGATACTGTATACTGGGCTCCCAGCAAAGCTTTGCACTTTGCAGAACAGCCATGAGCAAAAGAAAATCCGAGCTTGTGCTCTTTGGGCCCACAACATCGCAAAGGGAAGACAAAGAAAAAGGCAGACACATGACATTGGAATATTTCAGATAAACCCATCTCCTTGACCTTATTATTTATCTCTTGTGCCTACTAAGTCAGCTTGCTAGCTATGTTATCTCTGATATATGGCAGGTAAATGGAAACAATTCAGTTTACTGGGCCATAAGTTCCTGGCTGAGTTTTCTCTCCATTGCTGCTCAGGATTAGTTTGGGTGCTCTGAATGTTTTCTTACAAGGGCATTTTAAGGTGTTTGTCTGTCTAGGAGGCATCTCACAGGTTTATACACTGAAGCAATCATTCAGTTGATCAGCTCTGCAGTGAATGGAATGGAATGGAATGGAATGGAACAGAACAGAACAGAACAGAACAGAACAGAACAGAACAGAACAGAATAGAATAGAATAGAATAGAATAGAATATGGAATGGAGAATAGAATAGAATAGAATAGAATAGAATAGAATAGAATAGAATAGAATAGAATAGAATAGAATAGAATAGAATAGAATAGAAAGGGACCTTGGAGGTCTTCTAGTCCAACCCCCTGCTCAGGTAGGAAACCCTATACTATTTCAGACAAATGGTTGTACAATCTCTTCTTAAAAACTTCCAGTGATGGAGCATTCAAAACTTCTGGAATCAAGGAGTTCCTCTGGTTAATTGTCCTCACTGCCAGGAAGTTTCTCCTTCATTCCAGGTTGCTTCTCTCCTTGATCAGTTTCCAACCATTGTTTCTGGTCTTTTCCTCTGGGGCTCTGGTGAACAACCTGGCCTCCCTCTGCCTTGGGGCAGCCCCTCAGATACTGGAACACTGCTATCATGTCTCCCCTATTTCTTCTTTTCTTTAGACTAGCCAAACCCAAGTCCCGTAGCCGTTCTTTGTATGTTTTAGCCTCCAGACCTTTGATCATCTTAGTTGCTCTTCTGTGTTATTTCTATGTTTTTTTTACTTCTATGTTATTTAATTCTGATGTTGTTGTGGACCAAACCTGGACCAAACCAGGCTTCACACAGAACTGCGCTGCAATACTCTCACTGGGGCCTCTGTGATACAAGCCACGTGCTCCGCATTTTAGCTCTTTTCTTATTATTGTCTCCGTGAGTCTCCTGTACACACAGGGCATTGCAGTTCTATTTTGGGCACAGGTCCCACCACAACTCTTCCTCACAGGCAGACAGACCCTCAATGTTTACTGCAATCATAGTCATCGGTGGCCTTTGTGGAGCACAGGCGGTCCTTGACTTACAACAATGGAGCCCAACATTTCTGTGGTTAAATGAGTCATTTGTTAAGTTCATTTTGTCCCATTTTGTGACCTTTCTGGCCGCAGTTGTTAAGCGGATCACTGCCGTTGTTAAAGTGAGCCTTCCCCCTTGACTTTGCTTGTCAGCAAGTCGCAAAGGGGGACACTGTGACCGTCGTAAATATGAGTCAGCTGTCAAGCGTCTGAATTTTGATCACTTTGACCCCATGGGGATGCTGCCACGGTCATAAGTGTGAAAAATGGACGTAAGTCATTTTTTTCATGCCGTTGTAATTTCGAACGGTCACTAAACAAACTGTTGTAAGTCGAGGACTACCTGTGCAGATATTGTCACAGGTGAGAACGAGCTTTGAATGTGTCACAGGTCTGGTAGAGAATACAGCCTACGTGTATAGGGGGGAGGGGAAGGATAATGTTGTCACTGCATGAGACAGAAGCATCTCACAACTCAAAGTGCTTCCCCATTTGCAGGCATTTCTTTTTCCGGGAAAGAAACTGCATGTCATGTCATGCCCCCTCTTGTTACCAGCCTTCATTCCTAGCTAGCCTTTCATTTCCTTCTCCTCGGCCTCTGAATAAGCTCTGGAATTTTGCTATCTTTGCCATTTTCGCAGGCTTTCCTGTCACGTAACACATAACTCCAGGGTAACCCCATTCACTGGTCTTGCTAAACATCTCGTGACTTGGCAAGCAGAAATTAATCTTCTAGTGGGACCATTTTCTGACAGCTGGTTAGGGAGAATGATTTGCAGACAAATGTTCTCGGCTGAGCAAGCCAGATATGGCTTCTCTATTTATTCAGGTGGGAGTTTCTGGAAAAAGCACCCAGGTTTTGAGTCAGCTTGAAACCAAAAGCAAAGGCAGAACATCTGGCATTCTCTACACCTGAACTGCTGACCGACTCAGTGTTTTTCAAACGTATGTGAACTTCAATTTCCAGAATCCCCCAGTTACTATGCTTTAAGCATTATCTCTTTTCAGCCAGCCTTCAGACGATTCTCTCTTTTTTTCTTATTTAATTTAACCACATGGAGCGTTTAAGGCAGAGGTCCTGAACCTTTGGGGCACCAGGAACCAGTTCCATGGAAAAAGGTTTTTCCACGGACTGGAGAGTGCATGGTTTTATGGGCTGCCTGCATCCCGCGGATGGGGCTTTGCTTGTTTGTGCGGACCGGTTGCTGGCATGGCACAGCCCAGTACCGGTCCACGGACTGGAGGTTGGGGACCACTGGTTGAAGGGATGTTATAATATAGGCAATTGGTCAATCCATAGTGTTTGTATATTATGACTATCTAGGCCAGTGGTTCTCAACCTGTGGGTTGGGACCCCATTTGGGGTCGAACGACCATTTCACGGGGGTCGCCAAACAACGCAGTCCTCCCTTTTTTTCCCCTTTTCCTTAGCTGTGCTACTCCCTTTTATTCTATTGGCTTTTGAAAGCCAATAGAACAGACTCTCTTGAATAGAGTCTAATTCTATTGGCTTTCAAAAGCCAATAGGAATTGTCCAGGCTGTCTCTGCCCTGCTGAGCCCGCCAAAAGTCCCCTTTTGCAAACGGTGCTGCACCAGTTGAGTAGTCCTCGACTTACGACCGGTTGAGTAGTCCTCAACTTACGACCGGTTGGGGGGGGTCGCGGCATTAAAAAGGTTGAGAACCACTGCTCTAGGCTCTGAACAGGTGCAAATTGACCTTAATCATTATATTGCATTACCTACTACAAGTACCAATTCTTTGATCATTTGAGATGCTGGGATTTTGAACGGAAGATTTTAAAGCTGGAGTTACTTACCCAAGTAAATCCCAAACAGTTAATAGCATCTGCTAACATGTCTCCAAGGAGTGAAGGCCAGGAAGTCAGAGCTGGGAAATAGGCGTGCATTTGTGGGCTCTGCCAATGGACGACCTAAGCAAAGACAGGAGCACAGAAAAATAGGATGAGCTGTTCCAGCATGAAATGAAGAGGATGGGAAGAAAGGCAGGACAACGAAAACAAATTGTCCAGGTAAAAGGAAGGAGAGTTTCTCCGGATTTTTATTTTCCTATCCCCCTCCCCCCCGCCGGTAATGGAAACATTGCTTGAACAGCTGGCAGTCCTAACCATGCTCTGAATTAAACCCGGCTGTGTCAGACCTCTTGTCAAGGATCACAAGAAAATTGGAACCCATCCTAAATGAAGACCACAGCGCAGGGCGTCCGTAATGCTGCTAAGAAAATTACATAGACATGAGGTCAGCTTGAAGGAGATATTGCCTTTAATCACAAAGGTAAATTGTGATGCAGCAGGAAATGTACAACTATCAGGTCTCGTAGCCAATGACACTACAAATCCTCACGTGGGGTGTGAGTAGCATCTATCTATCTATCTATCTATCTATCTATCTATCTATCTATCTATCTGTCTGTCTGTCTATCCATCCATCCATCCATCCATCCATCCATCTATCTATCTATCTATCTATCAACCTATCTATTTATCATCTATCTAATCTATCTAATTTATCTATCTATCTATCTATCTGTCTGTCTGTCTGTCTATCTATCTATCTATCTATCTATCTATCTATCAACCTATCTATTTATCATCTATCTAATCTATCTAATTTATCTATCTATCTATCTATCTATCTATCTTCTATCTATCAACCTATCAATTTATCCATCCATCCATCCATCCATCCATCCATCCATCCATCCATCTATCAACCTATCAAGCTATCATCTATCTAATCTATCTAATTTATCCATCTATCTATCTATCTATCTATCTATCTATCTATCTATCTATCTATCTATCTATCTATCTATCTAATCTATCTAATTTATCCATCTATCTATCTATCTATCTATCTTCTATCTATCAACCTATCAATTTATCCATCCATCCATCCATCTATCAACCTATCAAGCTATCATCTATCTAATCTATCTAATTTATCCATCCATCTATCTATCTATCTATCTATCTATCAGCCTATCAACCTATCAACCTATCTATCTATCTTCCAATAAGGACATCTTTATGTTTGGAGAAATATTATCTAATGTGAATCTTCTCCAGATGTGCATTTGGGAGTTCTTCCATGACATCTGGAGGACATCTAGTTGGGAAGGATGACTTTGAAAACCAGTAAAGATGGCTAATTGGGTGTAACTAAATGATAGTTACACTTGTTTAAGCAGGACACTTATCTCAATCAGACAAACTCATGGCCTTGTATGGTAAAGAGGAAACAGCTCTTAGTTTTGCTTTGTTCTATCTAATGAGGGAGGGCATTTAGAATTTCTCAAGAAAGAGACCGTTATTTGTCATTGTTATCAAAACATATCTGACGCTCTGTGCTGTGCTGAGTGGGTACTGGCATTCAGATCTGCTGTATGAAGATGTTCTCTTTGAGATGAAAGAGATAGCTTAAGAAAATCACCAGGATTTTTCTTCTCCGTTTTAAAAGACCCTCGAGGAATTAGACTGTCCTTCTCAATTCAAGTACTACTCTTAGAGGTGAATTGCCAAGGCATAAATCTGTAGTTCTTACTTTGAAACCAGCAGGATACATATTGGCAGCTAGATCCTTCATTTTACTTCGCTTAGAATTTCTCTTCTCCCTCAGATTTCTGGGATATATGTTGCTAATGATCATCTGTGCAGCAACAGAAGAACAGAGTTGGAAGAGACCTGGGAGGTCTTCTAGTCTGACCCCCTGCTCAAGCAAGAGTACCATTTTAGCCAAATGGTTTTCCAATCTCTCCTTAAAAACAAAACAGCAACTGGCTTGAATTAGGAATGGGAAATGTGCCACCTTTCAAAAAATTGTACTGTGACTCCCATCATCCCTGATCATGGGGCCATGCTTGCAAATCGGTGAGAATCGCGATCCAATGTCTGGGTCCACCACATTTGTTGGTTAAACAAGTCACTGATTTCTGCTTGTTGACTGTATATGTACATGATATGTGTGTGTATAATACAGCGGTGGGATTCAAATATGTGAACAACCGGTTCTGTGTGTGGATGCCACTTCCGGAAGTCTATTCTGGGCCTGGGCAACAAAACATTAGCTACCGGTTCTGCCAAAGTGGTGCAAACCGGCTGAATCCCACCACTGGTATAATACATAGGCATAGTAAGGTTCTCCAGTTCTCCAGACATCTCTAGACATTCACCTGTCTGAGACTGTATAGGTTCTCCTGCTTGAGCAGGGGGCTGGACTAGAAAACCTCCAAGATCCCTTCCAGCTTCTATTCTATTCTATTCTATTCTATTCTATTCTATTCTATTCTATTCTATTCTATTCTATTCCAAATTCTATTCTATTCTGTTCCAAATTCTATTCTATTCCAAATTCTGTTCTATTCTATTCCAAATTCTATTCTATTCCAAATTCTATTCCAAATTCTATTCTATTCTATTCTATTCTATTTTACTCTACTCTACTCTATTCTATTCCAAATTCTATTTTATTCCAAATTCTATTCTATTCTATTCCAAATTCTATTCTATTCCAAATTCTATTCTATTCTATTCTATTCCAAATTCTATTCTATTCTATTCTATTCTATATTTTCTATTCTATTCTATTCTATTCTATTCTATTCTATTCTATTCTATTCTATTCTATTCCAAATTCTATTCTATTCTGAATTCTACTCTACTCTACTCTACTCTACTCTACTCTACTCTATCCTCTCCATTCTGCCTATTGGCCCTGCTGGTGAGGATTCTAAGAGCTGAAATCACATCATATCAAGAGAATGCTAGGTGGGAGACAATTCCTTTACATGTACCTCTTTTTTTTTCATATCGTGTACACCCTGTCCTTACCCCAGGCATAATGATGTTCTCTATATCTCTGAAGATATTGTCCCAGTTTTCCGGCTCCAAAGGGGCTCCATCGGGCAATTGATCTCTCATGTAACCTGGTTCCACATCAGGATATACCCGCCTTTCCCGGATGTTGGTGAGGTATTGGCAAATGTAGTCCACCATCTCCTTCCCTAGAAAACGGTAGCAAGGAGAGCTCACAAACACCATTCCTGCCCATCGAGGACATTTTACACATCCATGTTATGACTGCCATAGTTTGCCCATATAGCATTATCAGCATCGGTAGAATCTCTCTAGGCAGCTTGCCCACTGCTGTGCAAAGAGCTGCCCAAACAGGAAATGAGTAGGCTGCAATCTTTAGGCACACACGCTAAAATGTGTAGAGAGGTTTATTTCTGAGTAAATCCACCTACATCTAGAAAGTGTCCAGTCCCATGTGCAGCCAACCACAGCAGCTAATGAATGAAAAAGAATTTACCTATAAGGAATCATGCAAAAATAAAGAAGAGAAGATCCTTGATCTTTCAAGAGTTGGTGGAATCTGATTCCCATCAACTCCAGCTAGTATGGCAAGGAGCTGCAATCAGGTGATGTATGGCAACATCTGAGGATCATATATCTCTGTGTCTTGGCCAGTGGTAGAGTAAGGCAGAAATAAGTAATACAGTTCCCTTCTTAAATGGATTTTCGGAGTCCTTTTTTTTTTTTTAGAGTCCCTCTCCGTTATCTGTTTTAGCTGGTGCTGATGGCATTTGAGATCCAAAACCTCTGGAGGACACACAATGAGCTCTTTGGGTGAAGGCAAGGCTATCATAAGATGCTCCTATAAATGTGCAGGTAAACTAATAAAAGCAGCAGCTTCCTTCTCTTAGACCCTGTTTGTACCTGTTTTTGATAGATACCCTACTTTTAAACATGGACTTTTCATTTCTGCAACTGACAATAGCTATTGGGACTTACCTGATCCTGTTCAAAAAGTGGAAATGAGCTGAAAGCATCACCCGCACAAATGGGAAATCCATTGTCCAGATCTCCTCCTTCCCACTCACCTCTCCATCTGTATTCTTCGTGATCCATGTGGTCTCCTGCAAAGACGGCTTCTTTCTCTAATAGTTATCCGTGGACCGCAGGTAGCTATTTGCTCAGCTGAATTGCCTTCATCCTGCAGCCTTTTATATCTTCTATCTGCCAGGCCTATCAAACTTTACGTCAGCAAATTATTAGGAAATCAGCCTCTGATGACACGTCCCCGATGTTATTCTCTTCCTGGAGCTTGTTCAGAGATCTTTGATATTCAGCAAATTGGAGTCCCATTCATTTTATTATTACAGAAGGAAACAATATACAGGATGGCCAAAAACAAATAACAAATAATGGTAAATAACAATAAAGGTAAAGCTAATTATTTGACACACAAAGACACCACAGAAGACATCACATTTGGACACTGTCTGTGTCCAAATGTTTGGTTTTTTTTTATTATTATTATTATTATTATTATTATTACAAATACTTAATATTTCATCAGCAACATATTGTCTGTGTTCCAACCTTTAACTTACTAATACATGTTAAATTCCTTTTTCTCTACCTCGTTTTTCTAGCCATTGATAAAAGGTATCCCATGTTCTAAAGTATACTGAATCTTCTTTCTCTTTCATTTTCCTTGTCAATCTATCCATTTCTGCACAATCTAAAAAATGTTTAATTAACTCTTCCTCCGTTGGTAAATCTTCATTTTTCCAATGTTGAGCAAATACAATTCTCGCTGCAGTTAATACATGTAAAATTAGATATAAGCGCTCTTTCTCATAATTTCCTACAATTATGCCTAACAAAAATAATTCTGCCTTAAAATCTATATGTTTTTAGTCATTTTCTCTAACCATATGTGTATTCTTGACCAGAATCTTTTGGCTTTGGGGCATGTCCACCAAAGACGGTAATAAGTGACTGGTTTTTATCTACATTTCAACAATTGCTAGGTATGTTTTTAAACATTTTTGTTTGGTTATTAAAAATAAATTCAATGATTGTCTTTTACGAAAATGCTTTATAATTAAACCATGGAAGACTTTGGCTTTAGCTGATGCCATGTTTGGTAGTGAGACAGAGAAAGTAAAATACCAAGGAAGATTGACTGAAGATCATTCAAAACAGAATCAAGAAGGTGCCCAAACTTGTGAAAATATACACATGGTCAGATAAAGGAAGAAATCCTGTGAGCCCACTAAACCCAGTGTCTAAAAATATCCATCACACATGAGGAAACAGCAATCTAGATGAGGTTATATCACAAGTAAATACATTGTCAATATCTCTCAGGATCTCAACAGCATTTTAGTATCTTAAAACATGACATGGATACAATGCTAAAAATGAGTTTTGAGATATGACCACATTTATTATTCCAACATCTTACTACATATTGCTCTTTCCACTTACCTTGGCCCTCAAGACACCTATTCTGGCAGGAACAGACACTGTTTCCTTCTTACAATACGAGAACAAAAGAAGAATTTTCAGGTGAAGAGACCCAAAATATATTTTCATATCTCACACAAGAGGCCAGCCGCATCTAACTTAAATTTCTTCTAGAAACAGATGACAATCTCAGCTCTCTTCCTGTTGCTTCTGCAGCAGGGCTGGCCGGGGAATTCTGGGAGTTTAATTTATTTATTTAGCGTATAGTGTACAACGTCAGAGAAATCTAGACACACAATGTAGTCCTGACAGCCTAAATTACTAGTTCATTCTATTCGGCACTTGCGCACCTATCTTCGGTCACTGTGTGGAAGCAAACTAGCTTACACCAGAGTTCAGTTCTGGGAGTTGAAGTCCACAATCTTAAAGTTGTCAAGTTTGGAGAGCCTTGTTCTAGAGCGTGCAAAGGATAAATGCCTTTTGTCAACCGTCCCAATTGGGTCAGTTAGAAAAGAGAGACTCTCGGTCCATAGTTAGCCAAAGGGACACCTGACTAAAGCCAAGTGGTTACAGAAGAAGCAAAGCTGGATCTGAGATTTTCGCACCCAAAACATATGGTTAACTTTCCCTTGTTCCCATCCAACCCTCTGGTTATCAACGAGTGTCCAGTTAGGTGCTAACAAATGGTTTGGGTAACAGTCCCGGCCACCGGCTCTTATGGGATGGCACGACGCATAGTTTCGTTTCCTCACACTAACCCTCCCCTTATCCCACCCGGCCGATCCCCCTCCTTGTTGATCATGGCAGGCTGGATGGTAGACCTGACACTTTCCTTCCAGAGGCTCCATTTATCTCCAATGTGTCTTTAGAGAAGTGCATTAAATTTCTGTTCCCAAAAAAGAGATGAAATTTACCCTTTGGTGTGAAATCACAGCTCAATCGTTTTATTTGTAAACGAAGCGCTCATCTTTGATCGATTTTATCCTTCCTACTTTTGCTTAGCATCCTCTTATCTCACCCATATGACTAATCCTTCTGAGGACTCTAGGTTGGACCAAAAAATGAGACAGGAATCAAGCACATAAGTAAAGCACATGCAAAGCAGTGAATTTCATAAATAAAGCTTTATGAAATTCGTGCTCTAAGAAGCATAAAGATGAGTAATAGATTGCAACATTGCCACTTACATTCCTGGCATTATTCTGACGGATTTAGCCCTTCTTCTGTCACATGACACGTCCAGTGGCAAAGGGAGATTTTTTTTTTAATGAATCTAGATTCTTAGAATACAACGTTCTCGTTGCAACACAAGCAAATTGAAAAAGCCAAAGAGTAGACACTGTCCATCCAAACAACATTAGCAAATGTGTACACAATCACTGGGGTCTAGGACAACTTGCCCCAACCAACCTGCCACGGCCAACTCACCACAGCCAACTTTCCACAGTCAACTTGCTCCACACAACTCACCATGGCCAACTCGTTGTGGGACAATTGGCCATGGAACAAGAGTTACACTAATGTTGAAGGAATGGTGGAACAGAATCATTAAAGAAAGGATACCAAAAGAGGGACAAAATGAAATGTGAATGACAAGAGGGAAATAATTACATCGAATTGTTGAATTGTCCTATGCCAAGTTGTCCCATGGCCACAGCAATCCACAGTCACTGTTTCTCAATCTGGTCAACTTTAAGCTGCCTGGACTTCCCAGCATAGCTGGCTGGAGATTTCTGGGAGTTGAGGTCCAGGCAACACAAAGTTGCCAAGGTTGAGAAACACTGATTTAAACTATTCGGTGTGTACATTTGCACGCTGCTTCACACAATCACAAAGCCAACCAATTCAACACCTCTCAGTCAAGCAGTGACTTAACACAATCTGTTAACTCAGCCTCAGACAGAAATCTTGAGTCTAAGGACCCTTCTGATGAACTAGTTTTCCAAATCTGGAGAGCTCATATTTTTGGATTTATGCATGTGAGAGTTAAACAGCAAGGTTTATTGTAGATTTCTATTCTGATGTCTGCAGATCAAAAATGGTGAACTTCTTGAATTCTAGCCAAGAAGCTAAGCTTTGAGTTCACGTGTAAGAGAGGGTAAATTGCACATTTATTTATAACGTGTCCGCTGGCGTCTGGGCAAGGAACACAGCTCCACACACATACATGCATTGTGCTATGGAAAAAAAGAGGAGAGTGTGTGTGTGTGAGAGAGAGATAATACATATCTATCATTACAGACTTCTGTTTTTTTTTAGATACTCAGCAAGTGACAATTGATAAGCCTCTTAGGCAGCAAATTGTACCATGTGATTATCATGGTACCATAATATGGTGATCTTGAAAACAGAAGGGTGGAAGTCCCAAAGGTGCTTTTTTGTTTTGCTTGAAGACATTTTGCTTCTCATCCAAGAAGTTTCTTCAGTTCTGGCTGAATGGAGGAGGATGGAAGGGTTTACATTCCTTGCAGTTATTTTTCTGAGAGTCGTTGAGGCCACTTGGAGGTTTATCTGTGTCCCATGAATCCTATAATCTGCATTTTTTCTCCATGAAAATCCATTATACTCCACACCATTCAAAGGATGTTCATTCCAAAGTGCCATGGACAATTGTGACCTGGATGACTGAGGATCTCCATAGACCAGTGGTTCTCAACCTGTGAGTCGGGACCCCATTTGGGGTCGAATGACCATTTCATGGGGGTCGCCAAACAACGCAGTCTGCCATTTTTTTTCCCCTTTTCCTTAGCTGTGCTACTCCCTTTTATTCTATTGGCTTTTGAAAGCCGATAGAATAGACTCTCTTGAATAGAGTCTAATTCTATTGGCTTTCAAAAGCCAATAGGAATTGTCCAGGCTGTCTCTGCCCTGCTGAGCCCGCCAAAAGCCCCATTCTGCAAACAGTGCTGCCCCAATTGAGTAGTCCTCGACTTACGACTGGTTGAGTAGTCCTCGACTTACGACCAGTTAGGGGTCACGGCATTAAAAAGGTTGAGAACCACTGCCATACACAGACGAGGGAAGAAGAAAAGCAGCAGAAAAGCAGTCTACCCTTGAAATGAGAGTTTTCTGTTTCACTTTTAGACTGATATTATTTTTTTAAAAAACGGAACTTGCTTTTTATCAGTGGGCTTTGTAACATGCTCTGCACAAATAGAAATCAGGTGGAAAATTCCAGGGAAGACGGAGTCCCACTTGCAAGCGACATACACACAAGGTGATCCAACATGCATTGACTTATGCACCGATACGTTTAATTAGGACAGTGATGGCGAACCTTTTAGAGACCGAGTGCCCAAACTGCAACCCAAAACCCACTTATTTATCGCCGGATGCCAGGTGGGCGCGGCTGTGGTGGTCATGGCAGATTGGGTGGGTGTGACCAATGTGGGTGTGATCACCTCGATGTTGCTTGTGGGGAGGGATGCCTGTGGGGGCTGGGCAGGGTTGGGGGAGATCCAGGGGGTCTCTGCCAGGTGGGGAAGAGGGAACAAGGTTGGCGCAACAGTCTAAAATCCACTTCCAAAATTCAGAACTGATCGCTGAAAGTACTTCAGGCTTAAACCAGCTTCCTCTTAGTCCTTTCAAAAGGTTTCGAAATGGAAGTCATAGATCCATCCAATTTACTATTCATCTTGCCTCTCTAGTTCCGAAATGGCACACTAATTGAAGAGGTGAGCAAACACACTCCAAACGGTGTTCAGACAGGAAACAAAGCACTTGGGAGCACCTGAAATGGCAGAGTGAGCAAATATGATTTGATGCAAATGACTCCTTTGTTATATAGTTCCCTTCCTCTTGCACCCAGTGGGTATCAAACTAAAGTGAAAATATATTTACCTGCAGGAAACGGAATGAATAGGAATAGTATGTTGGTTAAGGGCTAAGAGAAGCCATGTCGTCACAACCGTGGGAAAAACACCATGTGTCACAAATGGCTCAACCTCTCTGGGTAAATAGGTATTCGTTGGTCTAAATCATTACTGAATCAACCCTCTCATTTCTGGCGGATTTGATAAATTTTCCTTTCCGTTTCAGAAATGGTTGTAGCGCTGAAGGAGGTTGTGATGCTGAACCTGGAGGACATTATGGGTTGGTAGCTGAAGTTCTGATTAATTAAGGTATATTAATCCCCCAAAGCTGAACTTATGAGAGTTAACAGATACAGACGTTCCAAAACCATAACTAATGATTGGCAGGCAGGTTAAACTTGTTCTGACTAGCTACCTATTTGTTGAAATTGTGAGTTTTTTTTTTTAAATGCTTAGGCAACTTAGCTTTATTTTAGGTTAGAAGTTGAAAGGAAAGTTCTCTTTCACCCACATGGATCCACTATTTAAACTTAATTGCTATGCCCAACAAAACTTACCTGGCCTTTTTTTTTTTTTCAAACCCTACTCCTTCAATTTGGTATCTTTTGAACATCTGCTGACAAAGGAGAAGAAAAACCTGGCTTGATTTTGCAGGGGCTATTCTTGTTACTCAGAAGCTGTTCAAGTTTCTTCTGGAAATGGAGTACTATGTAAGTAATAAATCAATTCTGGAAAATATCTTTTTCATTTCACCGATCCCTGTGGCTAAATATGTTCCTTATTCTTAAATACATGGGCTGCTTCAACATTTGTAGCTGACACAACATCAAGAAGATTCCATTTCAACATCCTTCCCACGTGCGGATACTTTTGATGGCAACATCAAGTTGAAATGTTTCAATGACTTCCTTCATTTTGTGCATTTTTATTATGGCTATTATTCAAGTGATGGGCTTGGAATGGGAAAAAAAGTGCAACTATTGTTAGAATCAACAAAATCCTCTGTTGAAATGGATTGACCTAAAGTTGTGAGAGACTGGAACATGGGCCTTTTCAAGCTATTCCCAAACTTTTCACATTTTTGAGTCTCCGTGCTAAATTCAGCAATTGATTTTCTAGTTTAAAATAATGCTGATATTATAAAATATCAAATTATGACACCTTATTCAAAGAACCATTTTGTCCTTCAACAACTTAAGACTGGAAATCTCCAATGTAGAACCCATCGCTAGATAAATATTAAAGTCTGTCAAAGTTAAAACTAGATAAATATTAAAGGCAACGCATAGTTCAGATGAGCACATGTATCTTCTGGACAAACCCAGGGACTCTCTGTATGCAAAGATAACTTTTGAAACTGTTCTAATACTGATGCTGATGCAGCTATGGCCCAGCCCATGTATTTCTCTACATGTTTCTAAGGCATTCTTAAAAACCCAAGTGGCCATCTAGCTACCTTTTATAACAATTTGCGCTATCGAAGAAACCACCCAGGTGGTGATAACGTTTTACCAAATAAGTGAATCAACCCTGCATCTGTGGAAAAGATATTTAATTGTAAATAGAAAAGGTAGGCCAAAGACAGTTTTAAGGGCAATTCTTCTGTATAGGTAATCTAAATGATTTATAAAGATATACGTTTCATAAAAGCACTGAAAGATAAAACACAGCAAAGCACTAATCAAAATACAAGGTATAGGTGGAAATAAAGGAGATGCACAGAAGTCTGAACAAAGCGTAAAGCATTGTAGCACTTGGTAATCTTTAAGGCAGTATGGTCTGTGAGTTATTTGAAAGTCAACACGTGTCTGAAAGTTCGTGGCCCCGTGTTAAGTCAACATTTGCAGCAGGCAAGATAGACCCAACTATATCAACTGTGACTGAGAAGTAAGGAAATAACATTTTTATACATATTCCCTTACGTTTGCCTGAGTGCAAGTACAAAGCTCACACAAGGCAAGGGGTTTATGTGTGTGTGTGGAGGGGGGGGGGAATCCATTTCTTTTCTCTTTGTATTCAAATCCCATTTACAATTGTATCTACCTTTCATTCCTTTCCATCTGCAGAGCAGATCTCGGCTATGAAATCTTTATTCTGCCCTGAAGTCCGGTAGGGACTAAGTGCTTACTTACCTATTTTTTTAAGGATGTACTAAAGTTTAGGGCCTAAAACAAACTTATTTCTTTTAACAGTGAACTTTTCATCTGTAATGGTATTTAGGATTGCCCTCCAATTCCTTGGTATATTATCACAATACCGTACAGACCTAAATCACTCCTTCACAATTCAATGTAATTCAATCATGACAGACTTCGAATTCTGCATAAATCTCCAGCAGATATAACTGCTGATCACGCTGGTTAGCAAATGTGGACGCTGAATGCCAACAAACCTGGATGGGGTGGGAGGAGAGAGATAGACACTTAAACGGAGGGATTTAAAACACCATTCGCTGGAAATGCTAAGAACCGGAAGACCACGCAAATCAAAACATAATCAGAGTTGTCCAAAATAACAGAGAGCAACAACCAAACGGCCACACAAAGCTGCCTCTAGAGGTCAGTCATGATTCGGACAATCTTAAATTTTGTGCAGCTAAAACAAGTGAAAATTATGTGCATCTATCTGTGTATCAGTTGGATTGTTGAGACTGAGACGATGGGCACAAGTATGAACAAGGAGCGTTTCTTCTGTAAAGCTTTGTTGGAAGAAGAAAGGGCAAAGGTCACAGGAGCGGCGGAAGAGCAGGAACACAAGAGAAGGGGGACTTCACTTAGGTGGCTCTAGATAAAACGCATGCAAGGACGTCCGACTTTCCTGTGACTCCTGTCCGTTTTGCAGCCAGCGTGGGAACACTGTGAAAGAGTAATAGTGCCCAACTTTCTTACGTTTTAGGCTATGGATATACAACAGCCACAATCTTCAAAAGGAGGAGTGCGAAGAGTCACTTAGAAAGCTTGTTGCCCAATTCCCTCTCTCCGGTCTCATGACCTTCAGACTTGAAGGATGTCCCCTCGGAGAAGTGTGGTGAGATGCCATTTCCAGATCTATGTCTTCAAGTTATCTCCTTCCACGCTCTTTTTGACCAGTACTAGCAGGCGATAAAACCTTTTGTTGGTCAGGTATCCTGTACTATTTCAGGAGGTCTGATCATCAGCACCTGCTGTCGTTGGTCAGTCAGATTAAAGGAATTGTGAGAGATGGACACTTAATGGTGCCATTTACCTACAAATTTCTTGAAGGGCAGTCTGGACTCCAATTCCAGATATCAGCCTATTATCTTTACGGCATCTTATGTTCGCATTGGGGGGGGAGGGATGCTGTGATGTGAATGTTAACATCCTGTCCAGCAGGTAGTAGCATAGTAGGGGAAAGATTAAGCCTAAAAGTTTTGGGAAAAGAACTTGAAATGTGTTCTCCATCTGCAGAATTATCCCAGCCCAGCTTGGGCTGGTCACCTTGAAAATATGATTGGCTGCGCTAAGGGTAATATTTTCATATAGTTAATATATTACATAAATACTGGTTTTTGTTTTCTTTTTTCTTCTCCCAAGTTACATCCCTCTAAGAAATGTGGTTCCCAATATAAAAAAAAACACTCGACCCACAGTTATTCACCGGCTTCTTCGTCTATCCCCTAGCCCCATGACAACTAGAGCAGGGCTGGGCATCTATAGCAACTTTATGACCTGTGGACCTCAACTCCCAGAATTCCTGAGCCTGGCTCAGGAGTTCTGGGAGTTGAAGTCCACAAGTCGTAAAGTTGCCGTAGCTGTCTGCTCCTGGCCTAGAGGTTAAATATTTTTTTTCTCATAATTTTTCCATCCTCTTTCCTGAAAAATACGTATGGAAGATGTATATAGAAATCATAAAAAAACATGCAGCATATGTACAAACTGAAAATTTTTAAAAATATCAGCTTCATATACATGTCAATCTACTTGAATATATATCAGGAATTAAATATAAAAAATTACACTTTTTTTCCCTAAAAAGGGGGGGGGCATTGTTCAGAGGCCTTGGCCAACTCCTTAAAGCTGTACAAAGGATAATAATCAGGAAATGAGTTTAGTCAGAGATCTAATTCATAGCTTTCAAGCTGGTTTCTATCACATAATTCATTTACATAGCGCAGTTTAAATCAACAATTATCCTCCTTAAAACTGTTCTGCATCTCAGAAGATTCATAGTAAAATAAAAAAAAGTCACAAAAACATTGGCATTGTAGATTTGTAGATCCCTTCCAAAAAGATTAAACAATTAATTTTGGAACTGTAAAAAAAAACTATTTACAGTATTTCTTTTTTTAAATATTTTGCACAAAATGTCTAAATTCTGAGGGTTTTTTTTTTTATGATACAGGAAAATCACCAGAGCTCATGGCTTAAGTCCAGTAGCATCTTCTTTGACAAAGGACTCAGTTCTGCACACCTATGCATTGCGCAGACCCAGATTGTACTGCAGTTTTCTTAACCTGTAATGTAACAGAATGCTCACTTCATCCACTCAAACAGCTTCTTTGTTAGTCTGGAGGCGGGTCATTGCCTCCAACTTCTGCCTATAAGCTTCTGCTTCTTGCTCTTTCTTCAGAAGTTGCTGGCGATATTTCTGGGCTTCCCGGTTGGCCTCATCCAGCTGTTTTTGTAATGTCTCTCTTTCCTACGAAAGTCAAAAACGAACAACACAAACATCGTGTCATCTCAAAGTCAATGACAGTTTTATAACTGTCTTTAAAAAAAATTCTCAACGGGTGAAAAAATAAGATGCAAGAACTTTGGGACGGAGCAAATTAGATGTTCTTGGAGTCGTGACGTAGAAATTTAATGTGTTGTACAAAAACAATGCCTGCATTAAAAATCAAGTACCACTTGTATAAATGCCACATGGAAACACGAGATTCTGAGATGTCCTAAAGTTGTTATATTCTGGGAAGAAATAATTGCACGTTTTATTTTGACCTTGAGAGGTAGATTATATTTGGACAATTACAAAGAAATATGCTTGTTTTTTGAAACTCTATGGTAAGATTTTTCCATTTGTGTGTGTGTGTGTGTGTGTGTGTGTGTGTGTGTGTGTGTGTTAGAAATCCTTGTTTTGCTTTTTTTCCCTTAAGTTTTGTTTAATAAAGATGTACAGTAGGAGAATACATACACACACACTAGCTAAATATTATACTTTACTACAATTTTATTCTAATAAGTATACACAGCAAGAAGTCTTCTTCTAAGTATAGTCTCAGTGCCTCCAAACTAAGAAAATAAAATTAACAACTACCAATCAAGTCAAAATAAAAGGCATTGTTGTTTTAAATTATTAACATTTTCTAGTCCGAACTTGGGTTATTATCAAGGTTTACTTTTCCAGATTCTCTAAAAATGGAAGTAAAGCAGTTGTATACAAGGGCACAAAGGTAATTCCACTTTCTGCCAGTTAAAGGCTACCATGTTTTGGCTGCAAAAATCCATGGCAGTAGTGAGTTTTCCATTTCTTCAAACCAAGTATGGTAACTCCTCAACTTATTAAAACAAGATAGGCTCACGGGGTAAGTTCCAGAAGGAAACCTGCAGTTTTAAGAACTGGAGAGCAACATAAATATTAAACTTCAATTCTAATAAGGAAAATTGAATCATGTATACACATTCTGTTTCTTGGAATAAGATTTATATCAGTAAAACATCTGAGAGAAGAGAGACTACTCATAGAATATATCATTGGTGTGGGACTATACATTGTATTTTCAAAGGATGCTGCTAGAATTTGACTTAAAAAAAAAGGCAAAATCATCTAGTGTTTTTATTTGATGAATCAGAACAACTTTGTAGTTAAAAAAAGAAAAACAAATTGAGTTCAAAGCAAGTGATTTATTTCCTTCTTCTGAAGCACTTTAAATAAACTGATGTAAAAAGCAGCATACCTGCTTTATTAAAATAATTATCTCAGCAATCACTTTGTTCTGACCTTTACACAGCAAAGGCTTTTTTTAAAAAACCTCCATGCTTTCACTAACCAATGAATGTTAGTCCTTCCACAGATAGTACTAAAAGCATCGTCCATGGCTTTACTGCAACGAAATAGGGGGGCAAAAACTCAATCTCTCTTACTTTCTCTTAATGCACAATACTAACCATGTTCCAAGCCTAACTGAGTTTAACAGGATTTCCATCTACCTAAATATCTTGTTACTGTTCTTAAAAAGGGTTTTTTTTTCCAGCCCATTATTTCAAATTCTTTCATACATATGTTCAAATTATCCCAGCCAAACGGCACTAATACTAAAAGAAGAACAGGCAGCGCCTGGGGCTAGAGTCAAAACAGGAATTAGCCTGGAATTGTTACGTTCTCACAAAAGGTCTAAAAGTCCAACCTGTCCTGAATTCTGTTAACTCTTATCTAGTACTGGTTTAATGCTGCTGACCACTAGTTGACTAGATTCTTGTGTATAGGCACAAAAGTATTCTGTACTTGTCTTCAAGTACCAAAAAGAAAATCACAATTATAAAGCAAGACAACCAAAAAAAACATTCAGTTTAGAACAGTGGTTCTCAACCTGTGGGTCGGGACCCCATTTGGGGTCGAACGACCATTTCATGGGGGTCGCCAAACAACGCAGTCCACCATTTCCCCCCCCCTTTTCCAGGTTGTCTCTGCCCTGCTGAGCCCGCCAAAAGCCCCATTCTGCAAATGGTGCTGCACCAGTTGAGTAGTCCTCGACTTACGATGGGTTGAGTAGTCCTCGACTGACGACCGGTTGGGGGTCGCGGCATTAAAAAGGTTGAGAACCACTGGACTAGATTCTTGTGTATAGGCACAAAATTATTGCGTAGTTGTCTTCAAGTACCAAAAAGAAAATCACAATTACAAAGCAAGACAACCCAAAAAAAAAAAACATTCAGTTTAGAAAATCAGAATCAAACATCTCGACAAACAGATTCCTTACTTCTATTTCTGCCGATTCCACCCGACTTTCAACGATCTCAATACATGGTCTCTTGAGTGGAGGCTCTTCGCTGATTACTGTTTCCTCTGCAATGTCTGTGGCTGGTACTGTAAGTACTTGAATTGAAATAAGTTTGGATCAAAAACTATAGAAGTTAACAGTGGATGCATTTGGATGCTGGGATAGAAGGAGATCAAGTAATTAAAAGTGTTTATTGAATATATCACTTGGAAGAAAACTTGCCATCCAGCCTAACTCTCTTGCTAAAGTCAACTCCCATCCTTCATCATTTTTAAGGGTTGCATTAACGGCCCGGCCGCACTGTCTTAAGTCGGTTCATTAAAGCAGCCCCATCTTTTTTTTCAGGCTCCAGGTGGGCAATTTGAGGCCAGTCATTCTCTCTCAGCCCAAATCACTTCACAGGGTAGTTGTTATGGGGAAAACAGGAGGAGGAAGGAGCATTAGACAGGTTCTCCACCTTAAGTTATTGTTAAAAAAAATAATAAAACCATTAAAAGATGTGGCTATTTTAATGAACAAAGAGAGGGGATATGATTCAGGAAATTCTGAAGCAACTCTTCAGAATAATGTTTAAGTTGTGATAGCCCTTTTAAATAATAATAATAATAATAATAATAATAATAATAATAATAATAATAATAATAATAATAGAGAAAGAACTGGAGAAGATAACAAAATACAAAGACCTACAAATGAAAATAGAAAGACTGTGGCAAAAGCAAGCAAGGGTAGTACCAATAGTAATAGGCTCCTTGGGCGCAATCCCAAAACAACTGGAGCACCACTTGAACACCACTGGCATTGACAAATTCGCTATTAGTCAAATGCGAAAGGCGGCCTTACTAGGAACTGCTTTCATCCTGCAATGATACCTGTAATACCATCAAACATCCACATCTGCCTATCCCAGGTCCTGGGTAAGGACTCGATAGGTAGACAAAATGCCAAATCTAGTCTGAACATCTGGCTGACTGTGCAATGATCCATAATAATAATAAAGTTGGAAGAGGCCTTGGAGGTTATCTAGTCCAATCCCCTGCTCAGGCAGGAAACCCTATACCATTTCAGACAAATGACTGTCCAGTCTCTTCTTAAAAATTTCCAGTGTTGGAGCATTCACAGCTTCTGGAGGCAGATTATTCCACTGGTTAATTGTTCTAACCGTCAGGAAATTTCTCCTTAGTTTTAGGTTGCTTCTCCCCTTGATTAGTTTCCATCCATTGCTTCTTGTCCTGCCTAGTTTTGTTATGTCACGATTCCATGGGCAGAAATGTGATTGTAAAATGTGGAGCTCTTCCCCGCCCCCCCATTCTGGAAACTGAGTCTAAGACATATCCATAAGTGTCCTCCACATTACTTTACACTCCATCCAATCCTATTCTTCATTATCTGTTTTCTCTAAATTGCTTTCATAAATATTAAGTTTAACTTAACTAACAAAGTAGGACAAGGAAGAATTATTAGATACATTTTGCCACCTTGAGTTGTCTATATAAATAATAACGGCAGGATATAAAATAATTAAATTACAATATATGTTTTTCAGGGAAAAAAAGGTCTTAAAAGTTCTATTCCTGGTTTCTACTTACCTTGCTGCCCATCTGGCATGGTCACTATAATGGGTTGACCCATTCCGCTGGTGGGAATGGAATGAAGATTTCCAAGCTGTATCCCGTCTGTTACTATGGTAATAACCTGCTGGCCTCCAGAACTAACTACTTGTTGAATTGCACCATCCACAGATTCAGCGGTCACCACTTCTTCTGTGGCCACAACTTTCAAACAAACAAACAAATAAATAAAACACATATAAGCAAGTTTGCTTTTAAAAAAATATTAGAGGTAGGATCTTATGAAAATGTGGCAGCATGGGCTGTTCTTTGTTCATTATTCCAATGGAGTCAGGATTAGTACCTTTTATAAGAGATCCCATTCTATTCCATTTTTTTTCCCCTCAGCACACTGAAAGCCAGTCCATCTTCTATGCAACTGTGCGTGCTCATCCTCATGAGCTTTTGGGGAAGAATCTCTTCCCCATCTTTTCTCTGCTAAATTATTTCACTTCTGCAAAAGTTGTGAGTTTACTGCTTTGCAAAAATAGCCCTAACAATCACGTCAATCTTATACCTTAGTGTTTCCTTTCTGATTACTTATGCAATATTCTTGGGTATCTCTAGAAGTTCCAAAAATTAAATTCCTTTAACCCAGCAAATTCTTTACCAGTAAAATACAAGTTGCACAAATTGATAAAGAGTTTAACAGAAAAACAAATAATGTTATTTGACTTTCAGATACCACATTAACGCTCATTATTAATTTTCCTCTGGCTCTGGGAATTTATACTCTAATTTGTTGAGTTCATTTTTGCTGCTTCTCTGAGGTTTTAACGCAAGGAACCTAAAATATAAAGTACATCACTACCGGTATCAGTTCAAGAGCTACATCTCTATGCATGCAATATTATATTAAGAACAAGCCTTTGAAGTTTATTAACAATCAGATGGACAATAAAAAAGCTTTATTTCAAAAGCTATGGCATATGATTTGTGACAGAAATGTCAGACATCGCATAAAATTTGGACGCTTTCATCTTTGCCATGATTGCTTCCTTACTTACAGTGATGTTATTACTCAATCGCGGTCTGCAATTCTTGCTTGCGGCATATTTCTACCATTATTGAAAGAATAATGGTAAACTCAGGATTTTATGAAAAACAAAGTTATGCCATAGCGGAGACACATATAAATGGGCTTGCTATGGCTGACTCCCAGAACCTCAGAGAACCTCTTGGTGTTAACACGGCCAACAAAGTCAATTAGTCCTTTCTACCAAATCTGGAAAGTAAATGATCATAAAGAAGTATTCCCAGTTGCACCATGATTTACTAGAGGGAATTATGGGCTTGCAGGAGTGTTCATTAGCTTTGTCTGCCTTGTCCTTGCCTCAACAGTCACCTGGCAGCAGCTTCTGCCATCAGGGTACAAAAAAGGGACATGCATGAAACACAACAGGCTGTGTTGAAGAATCAGTTCCTTTACCTCCTTGGAGTATTTCCATTTTAGCCAATCATTCTGTATACAGGCTTGTTTTTCTCATTTCTCTAAGCCTGTTTGCAGGGACTGTCCTGTATTTATTGACCTCGTGTCAGCCACTCAGGAGCAGACGATACAGAAGCTTTCAATGAATTAAGGTCAGGAATATTTTCAAGAGGAAAGGCCCCCCACATGGCACTGTGATCTTTACACAGAGGAAACAATCCTCCATAAATGCCGCAATCAACATGTCACAAACATTTGTGTACAAAACATGATTCAGGTTTTCTCCTTTAACCCAAGGGGTCAATCTCAAATTATAGAGAGATATCTAAGACCTCATTTTAAAAACAAAACAAAGACAATGCTTTGTCCCTCTCCGAAAGCTTCCAGAGAAAGAGAGAACAGTCAACTGATATATTTCTTTACAACAAATAGGGATCCAAGCCAAGGCAGTTGGCTTTCCTGCTCTGCGTAGAAGTCTGATCTCCCTTCCTACAGATCAGACTGCAGAAGAAGGCAACGCTGCTTAAGGAAGCAAATTCAGAGGTCACAACAATATCAGGGCTTATTTGTCTTAAAAAGAACTCAACTGACAATCCACTAACGTTCTTCATGGAAATAAAAAAATATCTTCTTCATTTTCATTTAATTTTATTCTTTTTGTTACTGGTTTAAAAAAAATTGATTGCTTAAGTCTGTTTTATGCCACGAGAGAAAAAACATCAAGCTTAAAAAATAAATTTGCAATGAAATACGGTATTACATCAATGCTGAAAACTGGGCTGTAAACCAAACATGATTTTTTTTTTTTACCATGAATCCTTATTTTGTATTTTTGGAACCATATTATTTTTCCTCACCTGGTGTTTCTGACGAGTTGGACAGTGGAGCTGAGGCTTCTGCTAAGGCAGCCAGCGTTGCCAGAACGGAAGTTGAGGAATTACCAAACTGGACAGCAGACATTCCACTGTCATCTATAAATACACAATCCATAAAAATCACATCAGAAAGTCACATAAATCTACTCGCCCATTACATTTGAAATGAGAATGATACCCTCCTTAAATTCTTGATCAAACAGACCCCATTCAGCTCAATAGCAAGCACAGATTTATTCTTCTTCAGGAGGCAAAAGTAGTCCGGAGTGAAATAAATGGAGTGGCACCAGCAGAATTCCCACAACCAACCAAATAGGGAAAGTGCTTTGACATCAAACTATGGGCCCAAAGCTAAACTTTAGACACTGTTAAAATCATCCCATGCAGCTTGAGCCTACACGAACAATCCAGGAGATGAAAACAGCAGCAAAAGGAAGGACATATTTGATACAGTTTTAGCACAATCTAGGAGCACAACAAGGAGCTACCAGCCAGCTTGTATGGAAATTGCGAAATAAAACTGCAATCTGGGTAGGAAGATCAAAGGACAATGTAAGAAAAAGGGCTTCCCTATAAAAGGTACTCTGTGTGAGTGTGGAGAAGAACAATCCATCTTACCCATGGGAGGGTGCCTATGATGTCCTTCAACATGTACAGAGGAAGACCTCATGCGGGCAAGAGAAAATGCTGTTGATGTGGCCCAATACTGGACAAATGTCATTTAAATTTAATCCTATGCATTTTACCTACTACTACTACTACTACTACTACTACTACTACTACTACTACTACTACTTCTTCTTCTTCTTCTTCTTCTTCTTCTTCTTCTTCTTCTTCTTCTTCTTCTTCTTCTCTTCTTCTTCTTCCTCCACCTCCTCCTCTTCCTCTTCTTCTTCTTCCATATCCATTATCGGACGTTGGCGATCATGCTGGCGATCCTGTTTTTATCAGCAGCCGCACAAAAAACTGCTGCCGAGTCATGATATATTTCTATGACCTATTTTATACTTATTTTACTTGCTCAGTATTGAACGTTGTATGTCTATAATTTTACAGTGCTTCTGACATGGATAAAGCACAACCTTATTCCCAATTTAATAGAGTGAGAAGGCAATTTGCAATCCTTGGTGCATGTGACTCTCTGCTGTATGCGATACGAATTCCTACCTGTTAGATTCACAACGCCACCAGGTCCAATGATGAACTGAGGGGTGGCTGCATGAATCGTCACTGTGTCGGGGCTTTCTGGATTCGTGTTGATTTGGTTCTGCATTGCGATCTATGAGCAAAAAAACAATGGTGCTTTGTTTTGACACTTATTTGAGGGGGGTGGGGGGGAAAGAAGGGGAATTAATTTTAAGGTGAATATAGTACAGAGCAGATGTTCAGAAATTACACACATTAAATTTCAGACAGAGTAGCAATCAACAGCTTATTGTAACCTATAGCTCATGCACAGTGCATTGCTATTAATATATATTCAACATGGAAAAATATCTGGCAGACAGTCTTCGGAATAATTGCATTAGCTTCAAGGTGCAGAGAAAGAGGGAAGATAGTATGTCAGGGGTCTCCAAACCTTGCCCTTTTATGACTTGTGGACTTCAACTCCCAGAATTCCTCAGCCAGGCATGTAGTATGATGATAAACAAAAAATGATTGAGGGCCATGGAATCAATCATATATAAAACCACAGCCTAAAGATTAAGCTACAAGATTCTGGGAAAAGCCTCACTGGAGTGAGTTTTGAGTTACCTGTAGAATTTCTGCCATGTCTTCATATCCGTTGTCTATGGCAATGTCTAACGCAGTCTTGCAAAATTTACTTTGGGTATGGACATCTGCTCCGTACTTTATTAAGAGTTCCACTACTTCTTGATGACTGTGTTCCGTGGCCCAATGCAGAGCAGTCATTTTCAGCATGTCTTTTGCATTTACATCTGCACCGTGCTACAAAACATACTCAATTAAATTTCTTTCAAAATGGAATGAGGCAGTCAAAGTTAATGTTAGAGTCAGCATTGCTTGGAATATATATTTTTAAAACTGTGTCCTTCCTTTTAAACTTTGTTTATGCTGTCAGTTTCCCCCCTCCAAGACGATATACTGCAGAAAATTAATTTAATTAATGAATTCATTATTGCCATGAGCTATTGGGCAGACACATTCTCAAAACAGCTGATCTTAGAAAGTAAACAACAGAAGATAAAAATCTGGTGTGCAATGACTCGTGTGCCTCTCTCAGCATGACTTCAGTCATTTTTTTCGCTTCAGAAATAAATCTCTTCATCTAAAAATAACGTTGATAAGAATTCAAGTACTATTATTAATCTGATAACATAAAGGAAAGTCTAAAATTTTCAGTGCAAGCAATTTTTTAAAAGGATTTTGGACTGCTGCTGTAGAATTTTCAGAAAGTGAAATAGAAGGAAGGCCTTGAAACAGGAAATGGGTGGGCAGTTTCATGAAAAATTATTTTGGTTAGAAAAGGCAATTGTCAAACCATAACTTAGAGAAATTAAGCTGTCCTTTTTTAGATTATATTCTTTATACTTGTTTTTTTTCCTGTTATAGAAAACTTATTTGAACATAACTGTCAAATTGTCGATCGTGGCTTTTAATGTAAAGGTGTTTTAATACGCCATATAGGATTTAAATCATATTGTTCCTATGGTTTGATTTTAGGCAGCGTACCTACAAATGGAAACCACTTTGTACATACACCAAATGGTGCTATTGATTCTCCTACATCATTCATTTGATATTTAAAAAAAAAATATCTTCCCATGTGCCCGGAAATATTCTAAAAAACTAACTCCTTTAGATACTGGAGAAAAAAGAATTTTCAGTCTATTAGCAATCACAGTCGTAGTAATCATCTTGGTACTCAACTGCTTTGAAACTCATCTAATTTGACACGAAAATTTTATCAACGTACAAAGTAGAACTTGTCAGTGTCAGCTGCCTTGTGACTCACTACATCAGGGGTCCCCAACTCCAGGTCTGTGGACCAGTACCAGGCCACAGCATGGTAGCAACCGGTCCACACAAACAAGCAAAGCCCCATCCACGGGATGCAGGCAGCACACAAAACTACGCACCCTCCGGTCCGTGGAAAAACCTCTCTCCATGGAATTGGTCCCTGGTGCCCAAAACGTTGGGAACCTCTGTACTACATTATTCCTTATCAGAAAAAAAAAAAAATAGCTTGCCTCCCAGAACCAATTAACGATGAATGTCAAGGTACCACCGTATGTCCTGTTTCAACTCTGGTGTAGGTGATAATAAATGGAAACCTTTTTTTTTTTTTTTTTACCTTAAGCAAAACTTCTACAATGCTTGCATGGCCTTCTGAAGCTGCCATGTGAAGTGGCGTCCGATCCACTTTGGTCCTTGCATCTCGACTTACTCCTGCTCGTAATAACACTTCCGTAGTTGAATAGTGTCCATACTGTGCTGCTAGATGAAGTGGAGAGGTCCCCAGCTGCAGCGTAAGACGTGAAATAGGATATTTGCACATAATTATCCCCTTATTTAACAACACATTAAAAAATACCATATTCACTTTTGAGTACCATTATTATTATTATTTTAAAAAAACAATCTTATGGAAATTCTGATGCATTACGCTGTTTTTATCTTTCTTATTTCCCTAACTTTTTGCTTTGAAGTCACTAATCTTTGCTCTACATAATCGTCTAATCCTTTCCCATAATCTTTCCTTTCGTCCTAAATTAGAAAGGAACTGCTAACTCTTCTTTATTAGAGCGTTTTGCCCAATCTCACAAATATCCAGTTCTAAAGGAAAGTTGTGTTTTCTTTTAATTAAACGTAGTATTGTAGTCATCAGGCAAGCAATAAAACCATCATGATTTTATGGTGAAAATCTCACATTCTAACCCAGCCATTTTTACATGCTCATCCAAACCAAAAGCCAACATTTTGAAAAATTATGCTGCATTCTACATATTGTCCTTTTTGGGTTTTTTCCTACTGGATTTGATTCCCAAAATAGAAGCAGAAAAGGTTGAGTACTTATTCCTTTGCCCCCCCCCCCGCCGCCAAAGGGCTGGACTATGTCAGGAGTTCCTACGTAGTACTATGCTTTTTCTTAGCAAAAACTAAATAATGAGGGCAATTGGATAATATGTTCCAGCAACTTGGTTCATGAGCAGTAAATCTGGCTTCTTTGTTATCAAAGCCCATGACCAATACTTCCACACACATACATGACCAATCTAAGAGAAAAAACGATCAACTGAAATGTGGAATGTCATCAATATTTCAACAATGAATAAACTTATTGGACATCAACTTAATCGTGTTTAACAATTAATGAGAGCAAGAGGCACTTATATGACATAAGACACTCTGGCTGTGTTTTGTAATTTCCATGATTGTGTTATTCAAATATGAAAAGAGTTTCAGGGAGGTGAGATAGTGTAGCCTGCGGGCTAAGAACCCAATCTTTGGATGAAAGAACCACGTACTTTTAGCAAGCCTCTACCTACTGCAGATACTCATCTACAACAAATAACAAACTAACTCATTTTACTGGACCTGTTCACCTCACAGTTCGTGCACTGAGCTGAACTCATACCTACTATTAAACATTCAAATTTAAACAATTTTCTTAAGAAGAAGACACGGAGATTCCCTTGAATCACACTTGCCTCCTAAGGACAACGTGCATTCATCTGCGTCGTTTCCTTGACAGCAATATGAACAATGCCAACAAAACAAATAGTGCAAACACAAACCACCAAACATGTAATTTTAGGGTTTTTTAAATAGTGTTTTTACCCAATCTGTAGTAAAAGGTGCTCCATTGGCCATCAGAATGCGAACTTCATCATCCTGGCCGGCTCGAGCAGCTTCTAAAAGCTTCTTTCCCAAATCTACCAGGGACATCTAAAAAATATTTGAGATTTAAAAGAATTGTTGAACGTCGATAATTCATAAAAGGAGCAAATACTATGTCCTTCTCGCAGCAAAATGTATTAGCTTTCTGCAGCAGCTAAAAAAAAATAGGTACAGTAAATTAAAACTTAATGTAAAGTTTAAGTAAAAAAAAAAACCTTAACTTAAAACTTAAACTAGAACTTCTACATGAAACAGAACATACCGTAGCCAAAGCGTGCCAGCAATCTTGCCAGGACAGGTCCTATAAAACAAATAACTTGATAACATTTTTTCTAGTTTTGCTTGCTTTAAAACATTTCATGCTGACTCCCTAATTTATATTGACCTAACTGGTAGGAGACAGACAAGTGGATAGTTCGGTGGTGCAACAATACAATACTAACGAAGATCAGCACCTTAATCATAGTAACTACAGCAGAATGTCTTCCAGTTTCTAGCCTGGTGGTCCACCATTGCACCACACTATTTATTTACTTAAATCAGGGGTCCCCAACACCCGGTCCGTGGACCAGTACCGGGCTGCAGCATGCAGGCAACCAGTCCGCGCAAACAAGTAAAGCCCCATCTGCGGGATGCAGGCAGCACACAAAACCACGCACTTTCCGGTCCGTGGAAAAACCTTTCTCCACGGAACTGGTCCCTGGTGCCCCAAAAGCTGGGGACCTCTGATTTAAATCTCTTGATTTTTAGAAATGTATCTTTGTAACATTTAAGATACCTTTATACATATAACCCTTCATCATATGGGATTATAAAATAGATTTGATCAATTTGAGGCGAAAGTGCGTATTTGTAGAGCTTTCTTTCTGTTCTTGTCATCCCCTGATCAGCTTAGATTTGTAAACTGGGCACAATTTCTGCATGACTAATGGAATGTTGGGTTGTTGTCTACTCAACCAGTGACTGACTTCCTGAGTACAGTCACTTAAACTGAGTGTTCCACGGAAGTGTGTACTTACAGCCACAAGTGCCATTTACAAAAACACACGGAGAAAATGAAAAACCAGTTTACTTGTTAGGATGCCAATGTAAACATATTTAGGTCTAAGCCCCAACGAACTTAGGCTTCAGCTACGTAAGTGCTGTGCAAGCAATTAGTTAAATGTTTGCATTACTAAGCCTAAAAGACTATATAGTGAACACAGAAAACTGCCACATTCAATATCTTAACATGCTACTAAATTCTGCTAAACATCTATAGTTCACCGGCAATACTCAAATCTCATTTTTCTTTCTTTTCAGATAGATCCAAACTCTCAAAGCTTTTATTGAGTTACAGTGAAGCTTTGAATGAAAATTTTAATGGCATAAGCACTTAGAAATTCCAACTGTTCCTGCTCAGATTCAGAGCTCTAGAATGCTCTTGAATACTGTGATTATTGTTAGTAGGAACATTTTTCCACCTATTCTATTCCTCTAACTTCAGAGGCTTTCTGTTCTAGTTCGAATCCAGTGACAACTGTGCTTCATCTTGTAAATTCGTGGCTAGATAACAAATCTGGAAATTTAGAATGGAGCAACATATAACAATCGCAAATACTGTCTTTCCTTTGTATATTGCCCTGAACAGCTTTCAAGAATCCACAGTATTTTTATTTGTGCTGATTTGTAACAACTCAGGTACCAATGTAAAAACTTTGGTGAAAAGTTTATGGTGAAATTCCTAAATGTTTATTAGGGCTATTTGAATATCCATTTCTCTTCCTCCACAGGAATGCCAAACTGCAAAGACCAAGCAGAAAATATTTCATGCGCTTCAAAATCCACTTCAGCCCTAGTCCCTCTTCCTAAAGTGATTAATAGCTAGTTTCTTATTTATTAAAATTAGGTTTTCTTGAATACTATAAAAAGTAACGGGGGGGGGCATTTAGTGGAGAATTACTTTGCCGAAGTGTGTTACAGCAATGCAACACTAACACCATAGCAACCAATTGTAAAGATTGTTTTTTTCTCATGATTTGGAATGTATTTACGTATCTTTTGTTTATTTATTAACTTGTTTTATTTTGTAACCCTTTTGAGCCTCAGAGAGAATCTGGGAAGAATATAAACGGGAAGGGAAACTTCAACCAATATTCACCAACTAGTTGCTGGATGTTATTACTGTATCTTTGATATTTGAATAGAGGATTTCCTCCCCTTAAACGACTACAGAATTGCAATGACTTTCCCCACCGTCACCACTGTATTGTTTTTAATATAACTTTATATAACATCCTCAGCTTTTTCCTGGAGGCCCTCAAATTGTAGTGCTAAAAGGGACATGTGTTTTTTTTTTTATCTGAAAGGACTATGGACTTCGTATTTTAAATGTCTATCTTGTTGGGTCCTGGGAGTATTAACAAGATGCAAAGTGCTGTAGATTCTGTAAGTATACCCTCCACTGATGTCTGCAGGTCCCCTTGACACCCTGGGTATTCTGGCAGACTTCACATGCTGAAGTTGATTGATTTCAGAGATGAATTGGCTGGACTCCCGTTTGGGGGGGGGGGGAGAAACACTGCAATTCTGCAGCATTTCCTTTGGAGCTGCAGGACAGGAAGTTTTCCTTTGGCTGGACTCATCCCTTCTCCTGGTCCCCTATGGTTACCCTGCACCTCTTGAAATGAAGCGGTGCCTTGCTATTCTTCCTGTTTTCTGACTAGAATAAAGGTTGGTTTTGAATAACCACCCACTAGCAAATGCAGAAAAAAAAGAAGAAAAAGGAAAGAGCAGGGTGCCAGCTAAGGACCATCTCAAAAACATCTATTTACCAGCTGGAGGGAATACTGGCCAGAGAAGGGGAAGGGAAACCACTTGCACTCCCAGTGGAAAGATAAGGGAGAATGACATTTTAGTAAATAAATACCCACACTCAATGGACGGACAAGGATATACCACCACAAAACTGGAAAAAATCCTCATCAGAGTTATTTTCAAATTTTACTTAGTAATATGGTAGCAATATTAATTACTTAGTACTAAGTAACTATTAAGTACTTTTAGTAATATGTTTTCGCAGTAATGTTAATCAATCCAGAGCCGTTTGCTTGTTTACTTGTTAATGTTACTGTTTTAATAGGATTTAACTGCAATCATATTGAGGAGCCAACTTCACTGATTTCAACTGGGTTTATTTTGAATCAATATTGGTTAATTTCACTGTTTTAACAGCCTCTTGAAAGTGAATACATGAGATCATCTTTGAGTGAATCATATGAATTAGGGGGGAAAGTCTGAAAAAAAGGTGTGTGTGTGTGTGTGTGTATGCAACTTCTTAGATACAATTCAAAAACCTCTATAGACAAATATAAAAATGTCTCTTAAATTCAATTTGCTGATGCCTGAAAAACTAGTCTCAAATTTTTATCACAGGAATAGCTTTATTAAAAACAATGAGGCTACAGGAAATATCTAAACATTACTGTTCAAGGAACTCAACAAAGATCTGAGATGTATACCCAAGCCAAAACAAGCCAATTTGATGCAGTAATAATAAACATAAATGGGACTTGCACAACCCTGAGTATCACACACAAATTTAGGGACTTCAGAAATCATGGCTTCTATTCTGAATATATAAAAGAAATGGGACTGACATTCTAATTCAAAAGCACACCAGAAGGGTGAATTTACCATTATGTGTGGGTTCAAAAAAAGATAATTAGGCTCTTTGACCCTTAAATTACTTTCAAGGGCTCCGATCAGATTTAAATTAAATCTTATGGTAAAGTTAAGTAAACTAAATATATAAACTTTCTTCTGAGAGCGGACAACAGAATTTCATTTTTTAATGTGAATTAGTGTGCTCATAGTAAAAAATGACAATAAAGGTTATCTGATCTTAAAAGGCAAATAAGTGTACTTAGTTGAGCAACCTGACCCATAAACCACAGCTCAACAAACCAGGGTTTAATTCAACAGGAAGAAGAGAGAACGATCTCTTAATTACAGGGGAGAAGAGACCACAGATGGGAAGCTGTGAGTTACAGACAGTGACAAAGGAGGAGAGAGAGGAAGGATTGTATTTAGAGAGCGTCCAGGGCAGCCAAAACACGGGTCTGGTGGGAATCATTCCTTGGGCTTCCTGGAATGGGAGGATTTGGAAGACAACTCCAAAGAGGCCAAAGGTTACCCTTTATTGCAGCCCACACAAACCAAGTTTGGAAGCAGCCAGCATCCCTCCCTCCCTCCCAAAGAAGGAACAGGCATCACAGGCCATCCAGGGGTCTTGAAGAGGTTGACAACCCCACCCCAGGAGACCCACTTCCTGGCTTAGAATAGAACCACAGAGTTGCAAGGGGGACCTTGGAGGTCTTCTAGCCCAACCCCACCCCAGGAGACCCACTTCCTGGCTTAGAACAGAACCACAGAGTTGCAAGGGGGACCTTGGAGGTCTTCTAGCCCAACCCCACCCCAGGAGACCCACTTCCTGGCTTAGAATAGAACCACAGAGTTGCAAGGGGGACCTCGGAGGTCTTCTAGCCCAACCCCCTGCTCAGGCAGGAAACCCTATACCAGGAGTAGCCCTCGGTTGTGGTTGTTGTTTTTCTGAGCTTGGTTTCCTTGCAAACCTTTCATTACATTAGGGGTCTTCAAAGGTGGCCCTTGAGGAATTCTGGGAATCCACAAGTCCCAAAAGGGCCAAGTCTGAAGACCCCTGCATTACAACCACTAGGCAACATCCCCCTATCGACACCCTATCAGACAAGCGGCCGTCCAGTTCCTTTTTAAAAACGCCCTTCTTCCCGGCGAAGCCCCCGGCCCCATCCCTCCCACCCACCCGCCTTGGACCCTCCCCACGGCCTAAGCACCCCCACCCCTCAACCTGGAAGACCGGATCAAGCCCGCCACCCGAGGAGAGGGGGGGGGAAGAGAAGGGCGCCCGGGAGCGCAGGGTTGGCGAGCGAGCGGCGGGCAGCGCATGCTCTAGGAGCGGGAGGGGGGGAAGGGGACGAGCCCGACCCGCGTCGGCGGAGGGGGGGGCACGTGTGAACGCCTGGGGGAGAACCAGGACGGGGGTCACCCCCCCCTTCCCCTCCTCCCCCCCCCTCGGCTCCTTCCCGCCGGGAGCGCGGCCTCCCTGCCCGGCCCGCGCCCTGCCCTCCCCCGCCCCGCTCCTTCGCCAAGCGGCGGCCCCCGAGCGCCAGATCCCCGGAAGGCCTCTCCCGTCCCCGCTTTTCCCCGACAGGAAATCCTGGCTGGGTTGGGCGCTGGAAGGAGCGGAGGGAGCCGCGGTAAGCGCCGGGTTCCGGGGGAAGTGGAATTATTTTTTACCAGCGAAGAAGAGATCAACTTCCACATCCGGTAACAAGGGGCCCCCTCTACAAAAAAGGCGCAGACTGACCTGGAAAAGCTTGGCCGGCCCGACGGCCATCGGAGGTGAGGCGGGGGAGGAAAAGGAAGGGAGGGAGGGAGGAAGCGCGGCGGAGGGAGGCGGCCTCCCCTTACCGTGTCGCCCGCGCCCGGCTGACCGACGAGCAGGGCCGCCGGAGGAGCCCGCCGAGCCGCTTCTCATAGGCGCCCGAAAGCCCCGCCAAAGAGTCCCCCGCTCGCGCGCGGCGGAGGGACACGGGCGGCCGCGCTCGCGAGCGCTGAGGCGAGGAAGGAAGGAGAGGCCCGCAGGGGAAGAGCGGCGGCGGCAGCAGCGGCGGGAGGAGGAGTTGGAACAGCGCGGGGCCAGGCGGGCGGCGGTAGTGGCTGCGCCGCGGTCCTCTCGGAGCGGCACCCCGACCTGAGGGGCGCTGCTCCCCTCATGGGGGGCGCGGGGATGGTCGGGTCGCCCCCAACGGGCGCTGCCAAAAGAAAAAACGGGGTGTGTGTGTGGGGGGCGGGGGGGGGGGAAAGGGAAGAAAACTCGGCGGAGGGATACGGCTACCTGAGAGTCCGACTGCGCAGGCGCGGAGATCGGGAGACGGGGGAGAGCCGAGGCGAAAGAGAGAGCCGCCATTTTCTGCCGAAGCCTTTTTTTTTCCCGCTCGAAAGGGGGAGGGGAGCGGTGGAGGGGAGCCGCCGGCGCGCCTGCGCGTTGTGGAGCGCGCGAGAGGCGCCTGGAGTTGTTATTTGATGCGCGTGTTGACACGCAGGAGTGCAAACGAGTGGGAACTGGGCACGACCCCCCCCACCGTCCTGTTTGGGCTCCAGTGGGGGGGGTGAAATGCAGGACTTAAACCGTGCAAAGTCCCTTCAGACTCTTGAACGCATCCCCACTTATGTCCAAATTAGACATTTTTTTTTAATTTCCAGTCTGCAAAAAAAAAAAAAGTATTTAAATTGCAGGAGCTTTTTACTCCTCCATGAATAGCTGTCAATTGTTTTGGGCTGCAGTCTGGGGCTTCTGGACTTTGGAAGCCAACCCAAGAGTTTAATGCATCTTGATTGTGCAGAAAGACAAGAGATTGGAGCTAGGAAAGTGCATGTGCAGAGGTGTCCAGTCTTCTGGAAGCAGGCTTTATGTCCAAGGGTTACTTAAAACTAAAAATCAGCCTGGTATTATGGTTTGTTGCACAGTCAGCGAGATGTTTAGACTGAATTTGGCTTTTTTGTCCACCTATAGAGGCCTTCCCAAGAGCCCAGGATATACAGATGGTAAATAATATTAAACATTGCAGAGGATGTCAGCTCTTCCAAGTAAAGCTGCCTTTTGCAATTGACCAGTGGTGAGTTTATCAGTGCCGATGGTGTAATCAAGTAGTGCTCCAGATGTTTTAGATTGCATCCAAGACACCTATTACTCTTGGTACTGTCTTAGGACATGTTTATTTTACTTCTATTTGCAGGCCTTTATATTTAGTGATTTTCCCCAGTGTTTTCTGCTGTATTGCAATGTCCATTGTCCAGAGATTTCTTTTGATTATATGGCAGATGTTTGTCTGCTTGAATTCTAAAGACTCAGCAGTTTAGCTTCATTTTCTAGTCACCAGGAGCCAATGCTGACTTGAAAGTACAAAATTATTATAACTGCATCGTGATGTACATTAATATATATATCAGATAACTATAACACTAACTAGTCTTTGTTTTTGTTTCAGGCAACTTATTACTTGAGACAAAACTGAAACAATTTGAAGATAAAAAGGGTGTTCATCTCTTTACATAAGAGGATCCTGTATTTACTGATGGATCATTTTGGATAAATCCCAAAGGCCATCCAGTTAGTAGATGGAACAATGGCTAACTTATCATGAAGATGCTCAAGTAAGAAAACATATCCCGTTGATTGATGTAGGGAAACAACTTAAGAGTTGACATAACTGGATTATATACAGAAGTTCTGTGACTTACAATACAATCTGAGCTTCATTTAAATCCTATCAGTAGATAAAGAGATTCTGATTAAACAACATATCAAACAGTATACTGTGTTGTGTCTTTATTAAGCACATTGAATTAATATTCAGTCTTTGTTGGCAGAATTATGTGAAGCATGAATAAGTTAAATTACATGTTCTATTACAGTTATGCCTCTTCCCAACAACTCACTGATAGTTTTATACTGTATTGCATGAATAGTTCATTTCAAGTCATACCATATTTTGGTTGGTTTAAAATCAGTAGTATCTTGGCCATTCAAACACTTTTTTTTCTGGTTAAGCTATCAATTGTAAATTTATTGTGGGTTTAGGAATGTTGTGCTACATAGCCCATGCTCATTTAATATTCAGTTTCCAGACAGATACCCTGAAATTCAGTACAATTTCCTAATATGCTCCAGATTCCATTTTGGATATAACACAGTATATTGTTTTGTGTATTATTTGTGTAATCAAAATATTTTTGTTAACAGAACTTAGATAAAAGAAGGAAGAAATGAAATTTATGAATGCATTTACATGTTCAATGACGAGAAAATCTGAAAAGCAAGGAGGCTCTACAAATGAGAACTACTTAAACTATATGCTCCTGTGTTTAAAAAAGACAATTCAATTTCCAGTTGGGACATTGTTATGTCCCATTAGTGGCTATCCTCCTATAATAAATTTGCAAGTTTTAACAGAAAAAAGGAAGTGAGATAAATAATAAAAACTTTCAAGAAGACATTTTTATAGGAAGCTTGAAATGGTTAAATCTGATTTCTGAAAAGTTGATTGTTAGGCTGATGCACTGGATGGAACATAAAAGTGTGTAAACTAACATGCTGCAATATCAAAAAGTCATTGGGACTTAAAACACAGTTCTATTAGCAAGCTGGAAGACAGAATCCTGCAACTACTGTTACTTTGAGCTCCTGGTGAAAAGATGGAAAATAAGTGCTATCAGTAATTATAATAAATAGGATCTATACAATATGTGCCACTGCAGTATAACCTTGAATAATAAGCCTTCTCCCCCTTAGAATCTACCATCCATTGTTCATTGTTTTCTGTCTTTAATAAAACCATATTCTCAAATGTTTGCAGATTGGAATGAAACTGATTTTTAAGTCACTTGCCTTCTCTAATCATAACATTCCACTTATTTCTGTAGAATATTTATACATCCCAAGACGTTTAATTTTTTTTCTAATTTGTGATAGTTTGTAAAATCTAGTTTTGCCCCCTCGTTCTGTATTACATAGCACAGGGTCAGTTATATTAATAGCGTTGAGTAGGTTCACATAGCCCGCTAAGTTAAAACACAATGAGCTGGTTTATAATTCAATATATTGCCTAAATCCAGACATTTAGATTCAAAAACCTAATTCAATAAGTCATGGATAACATGTATAAGTGTGGTAATATTTTATTGGGGCTTTTACATGTCATTTAACTATAATTGCTTATAGCAAGCAAGATTAGTTACATTCTGTAGTAAAGAATTACAGAATTCTTGTAAGGAGTACTGTACCTCACAAACTGTAGAATAAATAACTGTCAAGATTAAGGGATATTAATTTCTTAACATACTATTAAGAACATAGCCTCCACCACCGATTTGCTAAAATTAAGAATAATAATAAAGGACTTCTCCCTTCCAGAACCCAATTCCTAATATTACCCTGTTGCATTTATTGGGAGATTATAGGGTTGTTTTTTTACTTGCATGGCCTTTTATTAAAAAACAAAAAACAAACTGATGAGGACCCCCAAGTCTTCCATTGTACTGCTGTTCATATCATACGCAAAATAGACAGTTTAAATTCCATTACAATCACTAAGTGATCTAATCTTCTAAGTGTCCTCATTGATTTTGCAATCCAAGGCTATTACGTATGTGTACAATCAATTTGACATTCCATAGGGTTCTCACTTTAGATACATATAACTGTCAGCATATTCATATTCAGCACTTTGAGATCTTCATTATTTAGACATCATTTTTAAAATGCGCCTCCAAGTTAATTCATAACGTATTAAAGCACAAAGCATCTCCATATATGTACAGTACTGTAATTAAATGACTACAGTTGTGAAGTAGCAGATACAGGCAGGTGTTCCAAGTCATATTAGCCTCTGTGGGCTAGAAGGGTGAGTCCTTCGCTCATGCAAGTACATGTAGTGTGCAAATGTCTCACCTGTTTCGGCTAACAGGTAAACTGGTTTCAAACACAGAATTAACTACCCTTCCTTTCCCCATTGGCGCTTGCAGAAAAGTCTGAGAGCCCCCCCCCCCCCTTATTACATTCTCCAGAAATCCCCCAAATGGAGAGAAGCAGAATTGCTTAAGTTGCAGCAACCAAAAACTGTGGGTAAAATAAAACGCCAAATAATTAAAAAAAATGTTTTCTGCAAGAACAGAACATTAGAACTTGCAATAAAATGCATTATTCTTTCAGAATACACCATTCAAAAGCCAATTTACACCTAATTGGGTTATGCATATTTGCTGACCGAGGAATGTGGTTGTCTAGAGAACTCTCACTGCCTACTCCTACACAATGATGTTTTCAAGGTTCCAGCCACGGCTGGCACAAAATAGTCTCTTAACAGCGTAACTAATAGGATAACTGCCTATGGAGAGTCTCAATCATCCAGGTCATGGTTGTCCCAAAGGTGCTTTTTTTTTTTTTTTCAAAAAGGCAACTGGATGTTGCTGTGTTTCCTCCCCCCCCCCCCCAGGACTGGCTGACTGCAAAGAATCTAAATCCTTCCATTCCCCACCAGTTAGTTAGAACTGAAAAAGCTTCTTGAATGAGAAGGGAAACCTTTTGAAAGTACATAAACAAACAAGACACCCAGTTGCCTTTTTGGAGAGGGGGGGGAAGCACCTTTGGGATCGTTGGGTGACTTGGATCTGGCCCTTCTTTTGTTGTGTCCGACCCCATGGACCACGTTCCTCCAGGCCTTCCTGTCCTCTACCATCTTCTGGAGTCCATTTCAGCTCACGCCTCCTGCTTCAGGGACTCCATCCAGCCACCTCCTTCTCTGTCGTCCCCTTCTTCTCTTGCCCTCCATCTTTCCCAGCATCAGGCTCTTCTCCAGTGAGTCCTTCCTTCTCATTAGGCCTTCCAGGAGCTTCTGCAACAGAGCCGTAGAAAGCAAAACCACCCAACAGAGGCCTGGCCCCGAACCCCAGCAGCTGCACCCCAAGGCGGCCTTTGGAGGCGAGCGTGCCCGGGTAGGGCAGGACATGCCAAGCAAGCGAGGCAGCGGCTGCAAAAAAACCCAACCCGGAAGGCGGCGATGCCCAGCCGCTCCCCATGCCAAGGAAGAGGCCGGGGGCTTCCCAGGAGCGGGGCTCGCTCGGGGGGCTGGCCGGCCCTCCGCGCCCCAACGACCTAGCTCTGCCCGCGCCGAGGCTCTCCAAATGCGTCCTGGCGCACGAGCCGGGCAGGGCGCCTTCGCCTTGCGAGCCACCCAGAGGAGGCGGCGTCGGGGCGGGCGCCTGGCTGGGAGGAAGCGCCCGGCAGGCCTCCACGCCCGGCCCGGCCCCTTTCCGCGGAAGGCCGGCCCGAGCCGCGCAGGGGAGGCGATTATCCCCGCCCCGGCTCAGTTCCGCCTGCCCGGCTATGGCTGCCTAGCGCGTCGGCTGCCCGGCTGCGGGACATGGGCCTGGCCCGGCTGGGAAGGAGAAGGAGGCGGCGGCGGCGGTTGCGGAGACCCCAGGCGGTGAGCGGCGGCGGCGCCGGGCGAGCGTCCCTGGCGATCGGCGGCTTTGGGGCCCCGCGCCGGGTCCGGCTTCGTGGGCGGACAACGAGAGGGCTCTGCGGGGCTGGGGAGGCGGCAGAGGCCGAAGGGGCGGCGGCGGGAGCGGCGGCAGGGTCTCTCCTCCTCCACGGGTGACCTTGATGCGTCACGGAGGGCGCATTCACACGTTACGGAACTAGGAGTTTTCACGGGCGAGGTGGGGGAGTCACCCTCCGGGCCTTGACAGCCCTAAGTTTGAAGCTCCCGCCGGGCGCTTCCTGCTGGCTCTCGGCGGGGCTCTCTGCGGCTGTGCGCGTGTCTAGCCTGGCCAGGGGCTGGGTTCACACGATGGACCTAACCGGGCTAAAGATCGAAGGGCTGTGCTCGCAGGGAGACTCGGCTCCCACCCATCTTTGCCAGAAACTTTGGGGGTGGTTTGTGTTGTGTGAATGCAGCCCACGTGGCTGGACCGATCTGGACCATAGTTGCGCAAAACCCTGGTTGGCTTGCTTTTTTGTTTAGCTTTAAAACTAATAATAATAATAACAACCCATTCGGTAAACAGTGAGCAATTTGTCCCAGAATTGTACCCAAGTCCAGCTATTAAAACATTAGCATTGATGTTTTCTTTATTAATGTGTAACCTCTTTTGATGGCCATGGTGGGTGGGGAGATCTGTGGCTCTCTACTTCATCATGGCTTGTAGGTGGCTGACTGAGCCTTCTGGAAATTATAGACTAGCAACATCTGGCTGGGCTCACAGGTTTCCTGTCCCGGCCAAGTGTGCGATCATGTGCAACATATCAGTACACTGACTGGGAGGAAGGGGCAATTATGACTCCCTGTTGTTTGTATTTGCTGTGCTATGTACACATTCTTCCTTTGTGACTTCCTTTGTGGGGGAGGGTCGTGTGGAAGCGGCTCAGAAAGCAGAAAAGATGCTTGCTCACGCATTTAAATGATGCACTTATTATAGGTTTGTGAGGCTATTTTGTAAGCACACTGTGCCTGAATTTTGGATGTGTGTAACCAGACACCAGAATGTGTGTGTGTGTGTGTGTGTCTCTCTCTTGGGACTCTTGGTTTTCTATAGAAGTAAGGGTATGTGATGCTGTGGTGTTTTTTTTTAGGAGAATATCTGTGATGGCCAAAAAGTTATAGTGAGATCCTGAATTAAAATAACCAGCGGAAACGCCAGTGTTGCATTAGTTACTGAATAAACTCATGTTCTGGCTTCTCACACGATGCTAAATCATAGTCTAACCAACCAGGCTGAAGTTATAGAGGCAAAGGCCTTGACCAGGCTAAAAACTGGGAGACTATGAGTTCTAGTCCCATTTTAGGCATGAAAGCCACTGGCTTGGTGACTTTGGGCCAGTCACGGTCTCAACCCAACCCACCTCACAAGATTGTTGTGGAGGAAAAATAGGATTAGATATTAGGTATGTTTACTGCCTTGAGTTATTTATAAAAAATAATAAAGTGGGGGTATAATAAATATCACCCTGCCAACAAAAGTGTGTATAGTCAAGGCCATGGTTTTCCCAGTTGCAATGTAAGGCTGTGAAAGTTGGACCATAAGAAAGGCTGAGCGCCAACGAATGGAGGCCTTTGAACTCTGGTGCTGGAAAAGACTCCTGCGAGTCCTCTGGACTGCAAGGTGATCAAGATGGTCAGTCCTAAAGGAGATCAACCGCGACTGCTCTTTAGAAAGGCCAGATCCTGAAACTGAAACTCAAGTACTTTGGCCACCTAATGAGAAGGAAGGACTCACTGGAGAAGGGCCTAATGCTGGGAAAGATTGAGGGCAATAGAAGAAGGGGACGACACAGAATGAGGTGGCTGGATGGAGTCACTGAAGCAGTAGGTGTGAGCTTAAATGGACTCCAGAAGATGGTAGAGGACAGGAAGACCTGGAGGAACGTTGTCCATGGGATAGCGATGGGTCAGACACGACTTCGCAACTAATAACAATAACACATACATTGAAGTCAGTACTGTATTATGTCAGCAGCCATCACAAAAAAATTATTGATTTGGGATCTGGCTATATTTTTGTCTTTTTTAAAAAAAAAAATATGATCATGTAGCCTGGGTACATTTGTACTGTCTGGAGTGGTACGCACAACCCCATTTTTTAAAAAAACTTCTACCCTATAAGAACAGTGGTCTATTCTCATAGACTCCTTGAGAAAAATATTCGTTTGGAACGAAAACTAATCATATTCTAATCAAGAAGCTGTGACTGCAGTTAATGTATTCGGAGAAAAGCTTTTGTAACTGAAATTAGTCTGGGCAAACAATATGTGATGATAAGTTATTTCTTTTTTTTTTTTAAATGTCAGGTGCCTGTTTAGAGAGGCTCCAAAAGGCTTTTTTTTCATAACTTTATCTCAAGTAGCCACTTAGGATATTTCGATCTCTGATGTCTGCAGCAGGAATGTTTGTGCAGGCTATAAGTACTGAAAAAGTTAAGCAATACCAGCAAAAGACTTCGCAGAAGAAACAGAAAGGAAATATTAATTATTCCTCTGAGGACTAAAGTGTCAATGTCCTGCACATTCTGCAGCGATTATAATGTTAGATTGGAAGCCTTTTCCTGTAGCCTCAAATTGATATTTGGGTCATTTTTTTCCTTTCTTATACACATTTTTTTCTTTTTGTTGTGGTTGTTAGTGTTGGATGTATGGTTTTCTGTTTTTTTCTGCTTCGCGTTTTATTCTTGTTGATAAAAATAAACATACATATACACAAAAAAAATAAACCTATGAAAATGAAACATTAATATTGACACAACCTGATTGCTGCCAAACGACAGCCAGTCTCCGAAGACTTTGTGGAACCACAAACCCAATGTTTACAATCTTTCAGAAAATCGTAATTGTCGGCCCCTTTGGCTTCTGGGAAAAGCTGCAGGGGAAGTTGGGAATCCTAATTTGGAGATGCCAAACAAACCTCTGACTTGTTTGCACCTTAATTTGCACGCCTTCTCAAAATAGAGGACCAGCTTGCCTTATCGTACAAATATATGCATGTTCTCCCTGGTTCCTTTCATAAGTGGAAAAGCGCAATTGCTATTTCTTACTTGCGACAGTGTTTCTAAAAAATAATTAGCATGTTTGCAAGGCTTAGATTGGAAGCCTTTTCCTGTAGCCTCAAATTGCATCACGGTCGCAATGAAATGTCTGTAACCTTGGGTTTGTGGTCATTGTGAGTTGGCCATATGTATTTACTAATACGTATAGGTCGTTGTTAGGTAGCTTTTAAGCATTTTCATTTAATCCGCATCCAGTACGGGTCGTCCTCAACTTACAAAAGTTCATTTAGTGACCGTTCAGAGTGGCAACATCCCTGAAAAAAGTGACTTCTGACCATTTTTTCACACAACCATTCCGACATCCCCATGGTCACGTGATCAAAATTCAGACACTTGGAAACTGACTCCAGTGATGGAGCACCCACGAATTCTGGAGGCAGGCTGTTCAACTGGTTGATTGTCCTCACTGTCAGGAATTTTCTCCTTAATTCCAGGTTGCTTCTCTCCTTGATCAGTTTCCAACCATTGTTTCTCGTCCTTCCCTCTGGTGCTTTGGTGAACAACCTGACCCCCCTCTGTCTTGGGGCAGCCCCTCAGATACTGGAACACGGCTATCATGTCTCCCCTATTTCTTCTTTTCTTTAGACTAGCCAAACCCAAGTCCCGCAGCCGTTCTTCGTATGTTTTAGCCTCCGGGCCTTGGATCATCTTAGTTGCTCTTCTCTGAATTTTTTTCCAAACTCTCAACATCTTTTTGGTGATATGGTGACCAAAATTGGCTGCACTATTCCAGGTGTGGTCTCACTAGTGTTTTATAAAGCGGTACTAGTACCTCATGCAATCTTCTTTGTTTTGTTTTGTTTTCAGAAAACAACGACTCAACCTGTAGCATCCTTTTGAGGAGACTCTGTGATATACTAACATGCCTACCTTGGCTTCTGTGCCGAAAGAGCTCTATCTCTGCACTTCGTTGAAAGATCTGAATAAAAAGACAGAAGTCAAACTGGAGAAAACGAGTACTAAAAAGTATGGATGTTTAATCCAGCTACTAGATTTATTTTCCTTTTTTTAAAAAAAATATATATTTTATTGGTTTTATAATTTTAACAAAAAGTATTTGAGACACACCGTGGTGTTTGGGTACACAAAATAGATTTATTTTCCTAATGCTGGTTTGAGGATAGGGATTGGGGAGACTAACAGGTTGTCCTCGATTTACAACAGTGTGATAAGTGACCGTTTGAATTTACAAGAGCGCTGAAAAAGGTGACTTACAAACATTTTCCACACTTAACGACCGTTGCAGCATCCCCGGGGTCACGTGATCAAAATTCAGATGCTTGGCAACAGGCATGTACTTACGACGGTTGCAATATCCCGAAGTCACGTGATCCCCTTTTGTGACCTTCTGACAATTTGGAAGCCAGATTCACTTCACAACCGGATTACTAACTTAACAGCTGCAGTGATCCACTTAACGGTCATGGCAAGAAATGGGGCAAAATCCACTTTACAACAGTCTCGCTTAGCTAACAGAACTTTTGGGCTCCGTTGAGGTTGTAAGTCAAGGGCTCTTCACAGATCATTTAAATTCTTCTCCCTGTTTAGAAGGCCTTTGTCGCTGAATTTTCTGGTCAGCAAGTTTTATTTAGTTATTTTTATTCATTTAGAAAATTTATACAGCCGCCCACTCACTCTCGGTGACTCTGGGGGGCTAAAATTCCGGCAACGCTCCGTGTCTTGTGGATCATAAATAGCCATTGCTGGGTCTGCATTATTGAGAACTGCCAGACCAACTTAAACGGGGGCATCCCTTCCCGCATGAAATTAAGATTCCTTCCCGATTGAAGCGTGATGCTGATTCATTTTCTAAAAGCTGCCTCATTCTTCCTCAAAGGGCTTGAATTCAGCTCACTCTGTGTCTCTGACAATGTCATTATTTTACTCTCAATTCGCATGCGCTTCTCCTTAGGAGAAAGGCCAACATTTTGATGGACTTCACCAAGGTTTAAACTTGGAGTGGGATTGTGTTATAAATGATTAATGATTTGCATTTAAAGTAGCAGCATGGAGCTTAGCAGTTTGGCAGCAGCGACAGGAGATAATTGAACAAAAGCAGATTAAAAAAAAAAAAGCCAAAGAGATGGGTTTTTATCAGATGATCATTTTTAATCTTGTTCAGGCTTGAAAACAAGTTTTCCTGCTTTTTTTCTGTAGGCAGGGTTCTTTTTTTTTTTTTTTAACCGTGTCTATTTGCAGAAGGTAAATCCAGCTTTTATGACTTCCATTCTTTGCTTCAATTTCAAGTTATGTCCAGAGTGCCATTAAGATCTTCAAGGCAGCCGAAGAATGCCGGTTGGACAGAGACGAAGAGAAGGCCTACGTGCTTTACATGAAATATGTAACTGTATATAATCTTATTAAAAAGAGGCCGGACTTCAGACAGCAGCAAGTACGTATTCAGTTACAAATGCCTTTTTATACATTTCCAGATCAAGTATTGCGCTGAAGTTTAAAAAAAAACTGAAGGAAGGAAGAGCAAAAAGCATGATACTATTGCTTAAGAAGTCTTTGTGATTATACATACACAGATATATAGATATAGATACAGGTATAGATATAGATCTATGGAGAGGGAGAGGGAATCAATCTATATATTTTGGTCCCATATGTTGATAATTGCTGTGTTTATCTTGATCCATAAAACTTCTACTTCCAAGCTTAAAGTTACAATGCAGAAATTCGAACAAGTGCCTTGGAATTCATAGAAACATAGAAAACTGATGGCAGAAACAGATCCAGTGGTCGATCAAGTCTCCCCTTTGAGTTTTTTTTTCCTTTGTTTACTTTTGTTTTCTTTCTAATTTATTTGTATTATTTTGTTTTTGTTTTGTTTTTTTAAAAATTGTCCATTGTTAGAAATGTGTTTATCCAAGCGTGTTTCAGCTCAGTTTACAGATGATTTCAAATGAGAAGCGCATACACACACACACACACACACACACACACACACACACACACACACACTGTAAAAGAGCAAAACCCTGGTTATTTTCATGGCAAAGGAGAGGGTATATCTTTCTATTTTATGAAGGCAAGGCAGTATGTATCTCTTGATAGTTTTGGTCACAGCAGGACTGCCCGTATGTATTGGACTTGTGATGCCAGAGACAAATGACTAATTAATGCCTCTTCTAATTTCAGGACTACTTTAATTCATTACTTGGACTAACAAATATCAAAAAGGCTATTGAAGAAGCCGAACAACTTTCGGAGAGTCTTAAGCTCAGGTAGGCTTTTAAAAAGCATTAAGTGTTAATAAGCGTACTCTACACTTTTGTACTCTACAAATTTGGTTCATCTACCATGTTTATATCTGTTGGTCACAGTGAGGGTATTCTTCCTATTTATCATCATGTCTCCAAGTATCAAGAATTTGGAGACTTTTCAGCACATTAGTGCCATACCTGGGGGTGTCAGTTCTGTGTCACCTACAGGAAGGTAGAGTGACTGCATAGAACAAAGGGTTTTAGATTCAGGTACCAGACTGCAAAAGAGTTTTAGCAAATGTGTGTCAAACGTAACTTTCTTTTTGCGTTCCTCCAACTATTGCTCTTTTGGGGGAACTTGGTGTTCTCTGAGATGGATGGTTTTATGGGAGCCTTGGTGCTCTCTGAGCTTGGTTGTTTTCTTGCAGACATTTCATTACCCAACTAGGTAACATCATCAGTTCTAGAAGCGAGTGTTGGCTTGTCCTGTCAGGTTGGTGGGAGTGTACTTGATTAGGCTGTCAGCAATATCTTTTTAAATGAGGTTGGTACACTTTCCGTATTTTGAGCATTATAATAAAAAAGATAATATGAAAGGCTTTATTTGGCAACCCTCTGCCAGCCCGCTTTAATTCAATTTCCATTTGAGCTGCTATTTTTTTTTTAACCTGGTCTTGTTCTCATTTTTATTACTATGAAATATATTTGCCTTTACGTGAACATAGTATAGCCAGTCAGTTAAGAAAGGGGGTCAATCCTAAACAGTCCGTGTTTAAAAAGCCACGCTTGCCTCGCTGTCTAATGCTGGGGGGGGGGTGGAATGTGTCCTTTAATTAGATATGAAGAAGCAGAAGTACGAAAGAAACTGGAGGAGAAAGAGAGACAGGAGGAGCAGCAGCAGAAAAAACAAGACTTGAAAGACGATGCTAAAACCGCTTCCGAAATTTCATCGGATCCCAAAGGGAAAAATCAGCTGGTAAATTCAGCCACTTTTTTTATCCATCTGATATTTCTGCTCTGTGCCATTGGGGGGGAAAAAAACCTCTTTGTAGAAAAGAAAGCTTTTTTTAAAAAAAAAATGGTTAGCTTGATTGCAACTACAAATACGACTTGCAAGATTGAGATTGAAATCTGACATTTAGCTTAAATTTGGAGATTCCCAAATTAGGGAAGTTGAACACCAATCCATCTGGAGAGTATTGGAGTCAGACATTCTGAACTTAAGAAAATCCTGTTACAGCTAAACCTGCATGATGAAGGACGTATGACAGTCTAGTTCATCATGAATACTCATTTCTGTTCATTCCCTTTCATTGTGTGAAAACACTATTGAGATTACTGTTAAATTCATATATATATGAATGAACATCATTAGTTAGAAAATGCCACATGATGTTTATTCCCGTCCTTATTAAAGCTGCCATGTCAACTCTATTTACTATTGAAGTCAGACGATGAATTCTGTTGCCTAGCACATAGATGCTTTACAAAGAGTTTAATGCCAGTCAGCTAGACACTTTACATTCAGGCATGCATCCTGTCTGGGCAGGAACTTTTTCCAACAAAATTCAAATATGACATTAGTTACGTTGCATTATGCTAGAAATACTTCGATGCAAACGACATAAGCTTGATTTATAGTGTTTCCTCAGTTTGTTTAAGGAATAGGGTGTTTGCAAGACAGAGAAAAAGATAAAAACAAAATCTAGTCTTTTGCAAACTACCAGGGGGGGAAAAACCTGCTCCGGATCCACCTACTTATTTTCTTACTAGTTGTATTGTACCCCTTTCCTTTGGCTCCTTGTGTTAGAGTCTCAGTCTTCACATCTTCTTGAGGGTGAAGACCCAATTAATGGAGACTCTGTCAGGAGGTGGGTGGCATAACAATAAGTCTGGAAAAATTCCGCTTACGGTGCCTCTTTTCTTACATTCGAAACCTATTTTTAATGCTGAAATATTGCAGGTTAACGGAGACAAGAAAAATGGGGCTGACAAGAAGGATTCTTCTGAAACCGGTAAGCATCGTTTCTTCATCAATCCCTAAAAAGTAGGGAGCACAAGTAGAAGATGTCCAGAGACATACAGTATTTCAGAGAAACATCTTTGATCTCTGATAGCCCCTAAATGATAGCTTAAATGGACTCCAGAAGAGGGTAGAGGACAGGAAGGCCTGGAGGAACGTTGTCCATGGGGTCGCAATGGGTCGGACACGACTTCGCAACTAACAACAACAAGCCCCTAAAAATTGGTGACTTCACTTGGGGAAGGAAATATCCATCGCTTTGTGATTTAGACCAGAGGTCCCCAACCCCCGGTCTGTGGATCAGTTCCGGGCTGCGGCATACCAGCAACTGGTCCGCACAAACAAGCAAAGCCCCATCCGCGGGATGCAGGCAGCACCACAAAACCACGCCCCCTCCGGTCAGTGGAAAAACCTCTCTCTACGGAACCGATCCCTGGTATCCAAAAGGTTGGGGACCTCTAATTTAGACTGAGATCTCTTTCACAAGATTAACCCTCAGAGAGCTATTTTGCTATAGCAGCAATAATTTTGTTTTCCATACACCCGTGGAAGACAGGAGGAAATCACGAGTTCCATCATGTATTCTCAAAAGGTCTGCTTAAGAGGTTTCTTCTGCCCTTCATAGCGGCTCACCTGTGTAAGTGGTCAGGAGCACACAACTTCACAATGAGAGAAGCTCATTTCTTTATTTCTCTTCTGCATGGCAGTAAAACGCATGATGATTACAATAGTGGAAGAATGGAGGGAACGAACGTTTTGGCCTATTTTCAGAGAGGGCTTTTTTTGAAACTTGGATTTTTTAAAAAAAAATAAATAATAGAAGCTTACCAAACCTGTTGAAAGTTCAACATTCCTGTTTTGGGCTTTGGTTTTGGTTTGTTTTTTGTTGGGTTGGGGTTTTTGTTTTGTTTTTTCTAATCTCCCAGTAGATACCTACAACTGGCATCAAGATTTGACGATGTACAAGCTGCTGACATTTGAAAATTCAGGGTGGAAAACTTTTTTGAGATACAAAACAAATACCGTATAATTGTCAGAACTCCTGTTCAGTTACAACTCCATGTTCAGTTCACAGTGTTTAATTATTTGTCCTTGCCAATCATATAAATTTGTAGCCCGTTTGAATAGTTATTTTCTCCAGTGGAAAACTAGTGACTGTTGCCAAGATGAATGCTGAGTCATATTATAAGTAAAACTATACGTTTAGGAAGGAAGTTCATTGCAAAAGCTTAGATCTAGCAGTTTTCCAAATATCTTATTGAAAACGTCTGCCTTCTTTGATTAGTTTTTGTTAAATGATTTTCTGTCTCTTAAAGGAACAGTCACTGCTGAGAAGCTGTTTACAATGATGATGGATAAAAGCATCAAAGTTATGATCATGGATGCTCGGTGCTTAAAGGATTACCAGGAATCCTGTATTATAAATTCTGTTTCTGTTCCAGAAGAAGCTATCAGTCCTGGGTATGGAACAAACTTTTCTCTTAAACCTTAAGGCTGCAGAGTGCTAAACAGCTTATCAGGGATCGAGCAAAGAATAAAAGAAATGTGAGCAGGGATCATTACTTTGCTTGGCCATCATAAAAGGTTTAAAGTACAAATAGTAGTTTTAAATGTTTTCTTTTTTTTAAAAAAAAAAAAGCATAATTAGCCCATGGAACTTTTGGCCATGTGATGTGGCGATAGCAATAGCACTTAAGACTTATATACCGCTTCGTAGTGCTTTCCGGCCCTCTCTAAGCGGTTTGCAGAGTCTGCAACTTGCCTCCAACAATCTGGGTCTGCATTTTATTGACCTTGGAAGGATAGAAGGCTGAGTCGACCTTGAGCTGGTGAGAATCGAACTGCTAGCAGTGGGCAGAAGTAGCCTGCAGCACCGCCTTCTAACCACTGTGACACCACGGCTCTATGGTGATGGTCAACTAGTAGTAAATGCATATATTCAGAACGCCAAAGAAAGCCTTGAGTTGCACTCATATAGATAGCGGTACAGATAGTTCTTGACTTAACAACCGTAATGGAGCTTTCTATTATAGTTGTAAGTCGTAGTGATCATAGAGCAGGTCACCCATGCAGCCGACCAGATTTTCCGACCTTTGTGGCAGTCATTAAGTAAATCGCTGTGGTCATTAAGCAAATCCAAGGTCATTCAAGCAAACCCGTTGTTCATTATTCAGAACGGCAAGGAAACTCTTGAGCCGCATTCATTGCTCTGTGTCTGATGACTGGCCAAACTGTATCTTGTTTTCTTGTCTTCTACTTTGTGACCCGTCTCAAACCTCAGAGTCACCGCTAGCTGGATTGAAGCTAAACTGCCAGACCCCTCCAGGGAGCCATGGAAAGAGAGGGGCCAAGTTGACTATGTTGTCTTGCTGGACTGGTTCAGCTCAGCAAAGGATCTAGAAGTAGGCACAACTCTGAGGAGTCTCAAAGATGCACTTTTCAAGGTAGGCAAGTTCCGATTTATAGTTGGATACTTCGCTTGATATATGAGGAGCCCAGTTGTGATTATATTGTCGAGAGGGGAAGTGTGGGAGAGCAACTGTCTGAGTTAGCAGGAGGGCTCAAGCAGGGAATTAGCCTAGACCAGGGGTAGGCGACCTTGGCTCTTTTATGACTCGTGGACTTCAACTCCCAGAATTCCTGAGCCAGCCATGCTGAAAGGGAGAGGTTTTCAAGCTGAGTCATGCTGGCTCAGGAATTCTGGGAGTTGAAGTCCAAGAGTCATAAAAGAGCCAAGGTTTCCTACCCCTGGCCTAGACTCATTATGTAAACACAAGAGGCCAAGGTCACACACACACACACACACACACACACACACACACACACACGCCTTTGAGGCTTATCTGGTCTTGCCTAAGGAAAAGCTGCCAGTCTGGGGAGATTCCTGTAAAATAGGCATACAGTAATGAAGTAGCTAGTTTGAAATCCACACATGTGGGTCCAGTTTTTCGAGCCTGATAGGAAGTGACTGATGGATTCTAGACTTTATAACCTGGCATCTTCTTTTTCATTGATTGCAAAAAGATCATGGCTCTTAGCTTCCTCATATGCGTACGCAAGCCTTTAAGTAGATTATATGAATGAGGGGGAGGAACCCTATTTTTTATATTTTGATACAGGAAAAAGAACAGATGAGTTAAAACCCAGCCAAAAAGGATCTGCCTTTATGCATTTACAGCAAGATCTGTTGCAAAGCTGAACTGATATCTTAATGCATTGGTTCTGAACAATATGTATTTATTCAAAGTGTTCCCTGAGGATGTCAGAGTAACTGCAATTTTGCGTTGTCCCTCGCTTTCCCATCAACAAATATTTGTTGCGAGGAATTTAATTGGGGAAAGGTTTTACACCAGTGGTTCTCAACCTGTGGGTCGGGACCCCATTTGGGGTCGAACGACCATTTCACGCCAAACAACGCAGTCCGCCATTTTTCCCCCCTTTTCCTTAGCTGTGCTGCTCCCTTTTATTCTATTGGCTTTTGAAAGCCAATAGAATAGACTCTCTTGAACAGAGTCTAATTCTATCGGCTTTCAAAAGCCAATAGGAATGGTCCAGGCTGTCTCTGCCCTGCTGAGCCTGCCAAAAGTCCCATTCTGCAAACGGTGCTGCACCAGTTGAGTAGTCCTCGACTTACGACCGGTTGAGTAGTCCTCGACTTACGACCGGTTGGGGGTCGCGGCATTAAAAAGGTTGAGAACCACTGTTTTACACCTTCACATGCTCTGTCATCCAGCCCAGTGCTTGGGCCTCCTGTTGCTTGTGGTCAAGTCTATTTTGCCTTTTCCAGTGGGAATGTAAAGCTGTGCTACAGAATGAGCCTTTGGTCCTAGACGGAGGGTATGAGAACTGGCTGCTGTGCTACCCTCAGTATACAACCAACGCCAAAGTGACTTTGCCCATACGTAGCCCAAAGGAGAACATTACTGTCTCTTGTAAGTAGACAAGGCTCTCTTCTTTTTGTAATTTGAGCGGTTTTTAATCAGTTCTGCAATCCAAAGGACAATCACAGGTAGCCCTCGACTTACAGGGAATATAGTTCAGCAACACTGGGTTTCATAGTTTGTGGGAATTCAGTCACCGAAGTTGGGAAGCTGCAGTTTAGGGTCCTGCATGTTGTGTGAACCTACTGGGCTTATGCAACAAACGATGGTTAAACCAAAACACAGTTTAGCACAGTATGTAGACCTTGCCTTTTAATTAATGGCCACGTTCGTGCAGATAGATCTGTAGGTAGCATTGCAACATATATTACTTTGTGTAGGTGTTAGTTTGTGTGTGTTTTTGACTCAAAGGCTAGGCCCTGCAGTTTTGTCAGTAAGATTTTGAAAGTGGCTTGACTACTTCTTCCTAGGGCTGAGAGAGAGAGTAACTGGCTCAGAGTCACCTAAGGCTTTATGCCTAAGGCAGGATAAAAACTCACAGACTCCTGGTTTTTAGCCCAGTGCCTTAACCAGTACACCAAACTGGCCCTGTATATATAGCCCATAAGAAGTATATAGTATACGCCTCTTAATACTTAGCATCTTCCATTTATATCATTGTTTCAGTGGACTTTACTTACCCATCATTGGAAGAGCCGGCTCCAGCTCCCCCACCTGTTGTCTGTGTCAAACCATCCTTGGTAGAAGCACCCGAAAAATCGGGCATTGCAAGCGAGCAGGAGAAGAAAACGGATGTCCTTAGATCGCTAATTCCTAGCGGCACCATTGCTGCTGCTCCTACTGGTATTCTCAGCCAGCCAATCTCTGCCATGAAGATTATCCCTCAGGTGAGCAATCTCACTCCTCTTCTTCTTCTTCTTCTTCTTCTTCTTCTTCTTCTTCTTCTTCTTCTTCTTCTTCTTCTTCTTCTTCTTCTTCTTCTTCTTCTTCTTCCTCTTCCTCTTCCTCTTCCTCGTCCTCTTCCTCTTCCTCTTCCTCTTCTTCTTCTTCTTCTTCTTCTTCTTCTTCTTCTTCTTCTTCTTCTTCTTCTTCTTCCAAGCAATGATCCTATGTTTAGACTGCATCATCATACCACTGGCATGTATCCTTCTCATTCCCATAGGCTGAATGTGTATGCGTTTTGTTTTTAAAAATTGGTATAAATGTCCAGGGCGGGAAACCAAGAACAAGAAATGTGAAAGCCAAACAGTATAGTGTAGAATAGAATAGAATCTGAATGGAATGGAATGGAATGGAATAAAATATGGATTATAGAATAGAATAGAGCAGAACAGAACAGAACATCTTGGGTTTTTAATTTTTTAAAAAAGCTATGAAGCAGAAATGAGAAAAACTAGCAAGCAAGCGAGTCCTTTAATTCTTTTTCTTTGGGTCCAGGTTGATCGTAGCAAAAAACCCTCTGGGAAAATTCCAGATGACCATAAGGCAAAGGTTGAAAGCCCAGCAGTTGTTAAGCCACTAAATTCCAATGGGAAACTGGTTCCAGATCGTTCCACAAAGCCACCACTGGATCCAAAGCTCAACCTAACGGACGAAGAAAGGAGCTCCGGGCACTTGAGGAAGACTACTGCAGTAGAAAAAAATGAAGGCGACAAAGAAGCAGAAGAGCAGAGAGAGGTCCAGAGATGGGAAAGGGCGGAAGAGAAGGCCAGGGAGGATCATGGAGACTGGGAAGGCAGAGAAAACCTCCAGAGATATAAAGAAGATCAAGAGAGGAGAGAGAAAGAACAGCCCGGCAAAGGGGTGGATAGGAAACAAGATCTGGAGAAAGTTCCCAGAGATTCGGCCGACGTGAAAAAGAAAAGTATCGCTGGGAACGAAAGCCCTGAAATGAAGAAAGGCGACATTGACAAAAATACGTCCAGCGAAAAGGGAAAAAATATCTGGACCCCCGAAACGCAGAGGCGCAGATTCGCAGAGGAATGCCAAGGTCCTCTGAGGGGGGATTCCGGCTTGAACAAGGTGAGTGACCCCAGCTGCCACCTGGCGGAGAGGCAGAGGAGCCTGGCAGCCTTTGTGTTTGGGAACAGTGGAGGGAGGCCCTACAAAGGTGAAAGTCCACTATAAAACTCAATAAAACCCATGGTGGCAATAGTCGGACCTGTCATTTGATGGGCTCCATATCATCCTGGGGTCCCCCAGGCCCCTTGGCAAAACCAGTCCTTGCAAAAGAGTGTCAGAATGGGAGCCAATCTTATCTCCGCAGGGATGATGTTGCCCAGGGAGGGAGCCACCATAGAGAAGGCCCTTCTTCTTGGTCACACTAGAGGGACCTCTTTAAAAGAGTGTAGGAATCAGTGCTCAGTCATTGCAGGGTGCAAATATGGCTGACTGCTTTTGCAGTGTTTATTGCCTTTTATACAGGTATTCCAAATAGCGTAAAGTAAGATGGCATCAGCATAGCAACAGCAGTTCTATTGGTGAAACCCCTTGCCCAATCCTTAAGAATATACTAGCCGGGAGGCCTCAGCCACGGAGCAGTTTCTACCACATTCTGTTGATGTAACCAGGCTGATGTCATGTGAACCAGGTGATATCATGTACCAGCCTGGGGTAGTTTCCCACATTGCCATGGTGATGTGAATGGATGAGATCATGTAGAGAGAAGAGGCACGCAGGTGTTGGAAGGGCATCCCTACGTTATGCCTGTGCCAACATTTTGCAACAATAAAGGACTTTTAGGAAAATAAATGCCTGGAAGTTCTTTGAAGTCTTTCATTAGCCGGAACCATAACAGTTTGCTGCTCACGACCTCTACCTGACCCCCATCTCTACAAGAGAGAACCTCTAATATTCCTTGCCTCCCTGCTCTGGTGGGTCAGGTAGATATGACTGGGAAGATATTTTGGAAAGGTGTGAAGAATTAAATTATAAGAAAATCTACTTTTCTCCCTCCCGGTGCCCCCATGGGCTCATTCTACGAAGGGACAAAGTTGTCGTTCCCTCAATGGCTAGAAAAGGTTAACCAGATTCCCCTCATGTAAAAAAAACCACAGAATTGCACTGTGCATCCTACTTCCTTGTATTCTCACTGGCAAAGCAGATTCCATGTTCTCGCCTTGTCTTGCAGAGATCATGTCTTACGGCAGCCCGTTCCCAGATCAAAACAAGCTGAGGAAAGCTCCCCACCTAGAGATCCATCCTTCTCCCAAACAAACATTGCTTGTAACTGAATGGCTCAAATCTATTTTGTATGATGTCAGAGAGAACATTTAGTAGGTCAAAGTTTCCACATCCCAGTGAAAATCAGAGAAGTGACACAGTAGGTTATCTTGACAGGGTTTAATCTTTGGGGGGGTTTTTTATTATTATTTTTTAGTCCCAACGAGAGCCGTTAACCAGAGCCCGGAGTGAGGAGATGGGCAGGATAATCCCAGGATTGCCTAATGGATGGGCCAAGGTCAGTGCAACTTCTAAGCTTAAGGAGAACTTTGAAGTATCCCAAGAAAGTCTGGTCATAAAAGACCAACTACGTATTTTACTCATCCAAATGAGCAGTCTTCGAAATCTAGCTTAACTTTCCCCCTCTTTGTTTTTCTGCTATTGTCTTCTGGGTATGCCCTTTGAAGTTTCTGGATACAGTCACTGGGACTTTTCGGTACTACCACTCACCCACCAATTCAGTCCACATGTACCCACCGGAAATGACACCCTCGGTTACTCCGCCTATTACTCCACCAACTCATAAGCCAAAGCCTGCGTCCGCCGATCTGCGGGACAGGGAGCACTCCAAACTGAAGCGGTCCTACTCGTCGCCAGACATCACTCAGGCCCTGCAGGAGGAAGAGAAGAGGAAGATCCCCACTCCGACTGTTAATCGCGAGAATAAGTACGTTGCTTGCCCATTTCCCCAAGGGGTTTTGTGCAGGATGCACGTTTATTGGTGGGGTAAAAGAAGGAATAAAAGCGTTTTCCTACTTGAGACTGTCTGGAGTATGCAGGAACGAGTCTCCTACCTGATTTTTCTAAACCAGATTTTCTAAACTTTGAAGACCTGTGGACTTCATCTCCCAGAATTCCCCAGCCAGGTATGATATGCTGCCTGAGGAATTCTAGGAGTTGAAGTTCACAGGGTAGTAAAGGTGCCAAGGTTGGATACTCCTGTTCTTAACGGAAACCCTTGACCAAAAACAATCAGGCATTCAAAAGCCTTTGTCCCTCATGATCCTTATTTCCTGATTTTACTTTATTTTACTGTACTTTCCGGCGTATAAGACGACTTTTGAAAGCGTTGAAATCGGCGCTGAAGTCGGGGGTCGTCTTATACGCCGAGTCATCTTATACGCCGGAAATAACGGTAGTTTCCGGCATATAAGATGACTTTCTAGGCATGCGACTCGGCGCCGACGTCGGGGGTCGTCTTATACACCGGGTCGCCTTATACACCGGAATATACGGTACTTTATTTCATTTCATCTATTTGTGACTGTTCACATACCTACGTGGCACCACCTGACAACGAGCAAAAGTCTGCTTTTACAGATCTTTAGCAGGAAAAGGCATCTGATTTTACTCTTTTTTTTCCCCTCCCTCTACAGGCCTGTGTGCTATCCAAAAACAGAAATTTCCAGGCTTTCAGCTTCACAGATCCGCCATCTGAATCCTGTGTTTGGCGGGATGGGACCGGCTCTGACCGGCCTTCGTAATTTGGGAAACACCTGCTATATGAATTCAGTGCTCCAGTGTTTGTGCATTACTCCCCACCTAGCTGATTATTTCAACAGGAATTGCTATCAGGAAGATATCAATCGGTAATTGGCTTCTCCTGAACCCCCATTTAAATGCCAACGTGACTGCAGTGAATTATTTCTTTAATGAATCATAACCGCTCCTAGGCTCCATCCATTAAGTAATCGTCTTAAACTTGTAGGCGACTCTTTGTAAATCCCTCTTGCCCCCCCCCCATTTACCCAGTACTCATTTTCGGAAATGTCAATCGTTCCTTTTGCAGGTCCAACTTCTTGGGGTACAAAGGAGAAGTGGCTGAAGAGTTTGGCATCATAATGAAAGCTCTCTGGACCGGACAGTACCGATACATCAGCCCCAAAGATTTCAAAATCACCATTGGGAAGATCAATGAGCAGTTTGCTGGCTACAGTCAACAAGATTCCCAAGAACTGCTTTTGTTTTTAATGGACGGCCTTCACGAAGACTTAAATAAAGTAGGTGTCCATTTTTTTAAATATTTCTCATTGAAGTGCTGTATGGCACTAAGGAGAAGAAGAAGAGAAGGTGCTTTTCCCCTAAAGTATCCAATCTTCATCCCTCTCAGAAAGAAAATGGGTTTGTTTAAAAGAGAGAGAGAGAGAGAGAAAGAGAGAGGAGAAAGATAAAGAGAGAGACTGGTGCAGAAAATAAACCCAAGTTGAAAACAGGCTGTTTCCGTTGCTTTGCACAAGCAATAAGAAAAAGAAAACTTCCCCATGCTGGCTGGGGAATTCTGGGAGTTGAAGTCCAGAGGTCTTCATATTGTCAAGGTGGAACAGCAAGACATTATCAAAGTTGAACAGTGAAGACATTATCAAAGTCTATGGACTGTGTTTTTAGAGCCAAGTAGCTATGTGAGGTTCTCCATCTCTGTCTTTCCATAATAAAATAAATGAGGATAATCATAAATAATAACAAATGACGATTGTTGCTGCTTTCTGCCCAAAACACGCCTTCCAACCCTTCAAGTGGGTACTGATAAGCTTTCGTTTTCCAATGTTCTAGGCGGACAACCGAAAGCGCTACAAAGAAGAAAATAACGATCACCTGGATGACTTCAAAGCAGCTGATCTTGCCTGGCACAAGCACAAGCAGCTCAACGAATCCATTATCGTGGCCCTCTTTCAAGGCCAGTTCAAATCCACAGTGCAGTGTCTGACGTGTCACAAAAAATCGCGGACTTTTGAGGCTTTCATGTACTTATCGTTGCCACTGGCCTCCACTAGCAAATGCAGCCTGCAGGTGGGTTTGAACCCTTTGACGATTCTTAACCTTCTAACTTGTTTGTTTGTTTGTTTAAATATATATATATATATATATATATATATATATATATATATTATATATATATATATATATATATGTAGGTCTTTGGTTGTTCGGTTTTCTTTCTCCCGTGTAAAATTGGAAGTGTCTTGGCAAATTTCGACGAAGTCCCATTCGTCATCTTCAGGCTGGTGTTTTCAGCTTCGTGCTTTGAGCAGCACGAAGCTGAAAACACCAGCCTGAAGATGACGAATGGGACTTCGTCGAAACGTTGCCAAGACACTTCCAATTTTACACGGGAGAAAACCCGAACAACCAAAGACCTACATGCAAATACCCGCGAAAACCTCAGAAAACATATATATATATATATATATATATATATATATTATAGTCACAAATGCTTAATATTTCATCAGCAACATATTGTCTGGGTTCCAACACCATCAAACACATATTAACGATACCCATGAAGAAGTTTATTTTTTTTTTTTTATTCTTTGAATTCACCCAGAGCACTTTTTTTTGTTTTGTTTTCTTCCAGGAATGCCTTAGATTATTTTCCAAAGAAGAGAAACTGACGGATAACAATCGATTTTATTGTAGCCATTGCAAGACTCGAAGAGATTCCTTGAAAAAAATAGAAATATGGAAGTTGCCACCTGTCCTTTTAGTACATTTGAAAAGGTAAGGCTGGATGTTTACATCTGTTGTGACTCCAATGATTATGTGCGCCCAGAGTCACTGTTGGTGAGACGGGTAGCTGTATAAATTTGATTAATGAATAAACCAATAAATATTGATTAGTTTTGGTAGACCCAGCATTGTCTAACACGTATTCCCTGTTGCTCATGGTTAGATTTTCATATGATGGGCGGTGGAAACAGAAGCTTCAAACATCTGTTGATTTCCCTTTGGAGAACCTTGACCTGTCACAATATGTTATTGGCCCCAAAAGTACTTTGAAGAGATATAACCTGTTTTCAGTATCTGTAAGTAACAGCCTTTGGAATTTATTGTTGGGGATGGTGGTGGCGCAGTGGTTAGAATGCAGTATTGCAGGCTAACTGCCTACAGTCTGGAGTTCAATCCTGACAGGACTCAAGGTTGACTCAGCCTTCCATTCTTTCGAGGTCGGTAAAATGAGGACCCAGGATTGTTGGGGGCAATAGGCTGACTCTGTAAACCACTTAGAAAGGGCTGTAAATCACTGTGAAGTGAAGTCTAAGTGCTATTGTTCAGACACTTAAGTTGTGTCCGACTCTTCATGACCCCATAGACCACAGCACGCCAGGTCCCCATCCTCCACTATTTCCTGGAGTTTGCTCAAACTCACATTCACTATATTGATGACACTATCCAACCATCTCATCCTCTGTCGTCCCCTTTCTCCTTTTGCCTTCCATCTTTCCCAGCATCAGGGTGTTTCCCAAAGAGTCCTCTCTTCTCATCTGATGGCTAAAGATTTGAGCTGGGTTGATTTCCTTTAGGATTGACTGATTTGATCTCCTTGAAGTCCAAGGGATTCTCAAGTCCAACACAATTTGAAAACATTAAATCTTGGATGCTCAGCCTTCCGTAGAGTCCAACTGTCACAGCCATGCATCACTTCTGGGAGAACCGTAGCTTTGACTAGATGGACCTTTCTCAGTGCCTTTTGAATGCTATTGGCTAATTAGTTAATAAACAGACTCCCTTGTGTTCATGTATGGCAATCAATAACTTCTATTCCCAAAGTGTTTCCCCACATGTAGCTTTCCTAAAGCTCTTGATCCTAATTTATTTTTTGTTTCCTCCACAGAACCATTATGGAGGGCTGGATGGTGGACACTACACAGCTTACTGCAAGAATGCTGCAAAGCAACGATGGTATAAATTTGATGACCACGAAGTCTCGGATATCTCTGCTTCCTCAGTGAAGTCTTCAGCTGCTTATATTCTCTTTTATACATCTTACGAGCAACGGGCTGCAGATATAGCCACTTAAAGGAAAGACTGAAGGATACTTTAGCTGGTTTATAAGTGACTGAGCTGTGACCAATATAACGTTGCCTAAAGAGGGCTGCAGCAGTTCCTTGTCCAAAAATGTATTTTAGTGCTATTGCTGAAAATTAAATTATTAACTCTGCTGCTTCGTACGGAATAATATGTTTCAAACTGACTTATTTGTAGCTACGCTCGAAAATTATAAATCTTGCTTCGTCCTTTGAAAAGCATTAAGAGTTGGATTCAAGATGTGTTAAAATTCAAAGCGTATCTTTCTTTCCTCTTTCCCACGTTTATGGCCTTTTCACACTAACCTTAAGCTTGATTCTACTGTGAATATCTTAGCCAGAGATAAAAGATTGGAATGTATGTGTACATACCGATTGCAGAATTGCACATCCAACATGTATATAATAAAGAAATCCGATCCTTTGACAAGCATTGCTAACAGAGAGATGGCTGCTTTCTCAAACTAGATTTCTGTATGACTTTCTCCGCACTTTACAATGTACTCTGGAAGACTGAAGCATTACATAATTTTTAATATGTGTCTTGTATCCGTGTCTTTTTTTTTTAAAACCCCCCAAAAATATCCTACGCACTTGTCTCAAAATGCATTGGCCTGATAAATATTCCTTGCTTTGCAATTTAATAAGTGTACATTATTTCGGGATGAGTGGACTAGATGAGAGCAAATACAGAATCTACATTATAGTAATAGTAGTAAAGTTGGAAGGGACCTTGGAGGTCATCTAGTCCAACCCCCTGCTCAGGCAGGAAACCCTACACCATTTCGGACAAATGGCTGTCCAGTCTCTTCTTAAAAACTTCCAGTGTTGGAGCATTTACTGCTTCTGGAGGCAGGCTGTTCCACTGATTAATTGTTCTCACTGTCAGGAAGTTTCTCCTTAGTTCTAGGTTGCTTCTCTCCTTGATTAGTTTCCACCCGTTGCTTCTTGTCCTGCCTTCAGGTGCTTTGGAAAATAGCTTAATTCTCTCTTCTTTATGGCAGCCCCTGAGATATTGGAACACTGCTATCATGTCCCCCCTTGTCCTTCTCTTCGTTAAATTAGACATACCCAATTCTAGCAACCGTTCCTCATATGTTTTAGCCTCCAGTCCCCTAATCATCTTTGTTGCTCTTCTCTGTACTCTTTCTAGAGTCTCAGCATCTTTTTTTACATCGTGGTGACCAAAACTGGATGCAGTATTCCAAGAGTGGCCTTACCAAGGCATTGAAGAGTGGTATTAATACTTCACGTGATCTTGATTCTATCCCTCTGTTAATGTAGCCTAGCACTGTGTTGGCCTTTTTGGCAGCTGCAGCACACTGCTGGCTCCTATTTAGATGATTGTCTACTAGGACTCCGAGGTCCCTCTCATAGTTACTACTGTTGAGCATGGTGCCACCTATGCTGTACTTGTGCATTTGGTTTTTCTTGCCTAAATGTTGAACCTTGCTTTTTTCACCATGGAATTTCATTTTGCTGGAATAGGATTGCTGGAATACTTTTAAAGAAGCATGGATTTTGGAACAGGGGAATCATTTCACAACTTAAGTTTTACTCCAGGAATACTTTTTGAGAGGATGTGGTTGCGATGTATTAAATAGTACACTTTTTTTTTTTTTAATCAGAAGGCTGGTAAACGTTTATGAGCTTCACTCGGGAATGTATAATCCGTTCAGAAATGTAATCAGCAGGAAGCGGCATCTAGTTTTCGGTGGATTCTGCAATAAGAATTAACACTCAACTCTGGCTGTCCAAGAAGAGTTTATTTAACTGCAGGTGTCGTGTCACATTCTGTGTAAGGCTCGCTGAGTAGCGTTCTTTTCACTGAAAGAAAGTGGCTTGGAAGAGCCAGCTTCTAGGTCACTCCATCAGTACAATCCAAAGACACGTGGGGAAAAAAATGCAGTTGTTCCGGAATGACAACCAAAGAATAGGCCAACTCAACGTGGCCATTGGAACCTACAACTTGGTTCTCCTAGACATTTTGGTTCTTTACGGGCGCAGAGAAAGCTTGACTGCTATAAAACAGAAGGTAGGCGGCAGATGTTTGCACAGAGGATTCTGGGATCACTTTGATCTGGGAATCGTCAAAGTTGTACCAATTTTGGCTAAGAGTGTGTCTGCAGAAGGCCGTGTAATGGCCACCGTCCAGATCTCCAAAATGATTCTGCAACAATAACACATTTCAAGTTTACCAAGGAAGTATTTCTTTCAAGTCACTCAAGGCAGCCTATGGGCCTCATCTCCTAGTTTAATAATCACTATAATTTTGGGAGGGAGATGGTTTTGAAAATCGGTAAAGTGGAGATTTGTTTCTGACTCCCCAGTCCTACAGTATCCATTCTTCAACATTTATTTATTAGTTGTGCAGTGAGATACACACACACACACACACTAATTCAGAGCCAAATTTAACTGATTACCTACAGTACACCTTGTACTGTTATGGAAAACAAGCTTTATACCTCTTTGCATGAGGTATGGATGTGCAAAGGTTTTACGTCATGTTGCATATGAATTCTGTCATAAGGGCAAGGTGGTGGAGATGGATTTTTTCCCTATTTTATTTTTGGTTGCTGTAAACCAGTGGTTCTCAACCTGTGGGTCGGGACCCCATTTGGGGTCGAACGACCATTTCACGGGGGTCGCCAAGCAAGGCTGTCCGCCATTTTTTCCCCCTTTTCTTTGGCCATGCCCCTGGCACGCGGTGATGTATAAGTGGTTGGGGGTCACCACAACATGGGGAACTGTATTATGGGGTCGCGGCATTAGAAAGGTTGAGAACCACTGCTGTAAACATTGCGTGACCAGTATGGAAAACCTGAAAGTGACTTTTTAAAAGAATAACTTTTCTGCGTTGAAAAGCATATCTGGGAAAGCCATCCAGCACGATGTATGGATTGGAATATTACTGTCCCCTCTAATAATCTGTTTTAAGCACGTATGTTTCCTTCCATTCTCACCCACCCACCCACTTCTAATTTTTCTCCAATAAGAGAGTTAATCCTGAATAAAAACTGATAGTAAACATTTTGGAGAGTCTAGTTCATCTGTACCCTACAGCTGTAGTTTGGAAAGCATAATTTTGCTCTCTTGTTTTTATAATGTCTACCACTTAATGGTTTTTTTTTTGGTTGCATCAATTGGGAAAGCTTGCTGACCATCTCCTCAACCAGTAGCACCATACATTCATCCTTTCTAGTTACTGAATAAAATTATTTTACTGAACTCAGTTTTCTTACTGTCTACTCATTTTTATCCCGCCTTTATTATTTTTAGGAAGTGAACATTCTTGCATACAGATAACTGAAATGTTATCCTGGAAGAATACTGGAATCATCTATATTGTCACTTACCACTACAGCAAATAAGTTGTATTTTGGATTTTTCCGAAAAAGTGGATATATATAAGGAGACAAATCCAGGTTATTTAAAGGATAGTAGATGTCCGTTTTCAGTTTCTTCTTGTAACTGCCTTGACAATCAAATCTGAAAATAAAGTATGATCTTGATCAATAGTACAATAGAAATGGTTTTTGAGTCATCTTGGTATATTGTTTAGTTAGAGTCATATTTATAATGGAAGAAGTGGGTAGAAATAAACAGAGACCAGACTAGCATCTAGGTCTGGTTTTAATTAAATTTCATTTCTGAGGTGCAGAAAAAAAAATATGAAAAAAAACATTGGTTTTGACCACGAGGAGTTTGAATTGTTTTCTTTGACAGAAATGGCAGCAGCTTCTAACCTTTCAAATAAAATACAGTGAGAGAGATATCAAGATGGAAGCTCCATCTCTGGAGGTTTTAAAGAAGAGATTGGACAATCCTTTCAACTCTGTTTATTCTATTTCTTATCCTATTCCTATCCTATTCCTATCCTATTTCTATTCTATTTCTATTTCTATTCTGTTCTATTCTATTCTCCATTTCTATTCTATTCTTTCAGGGTCCCTTCCAATTCTGTTATTCTGCTAAGTGCCGAAATCTCTCCTTAATCTGCTTTTTTATTGATCTAGTGAGGTCCCATTTCTGTCCTGTTAAGTTGTCGATAACTTCCTAACTAGTCAAACTCTGCCACTGAAATCCTTTCAGCATCTGTAAGCAATTGACTCTAGCAGAACGGATGTTATGCAAGTCAGCCCATGAAGAAAAAAAACGCCTACCTCTTTAAGTGGAAGATGACCATCTTGGGTGCTTTGGCTATGCTGGCTTTCACTGCAGCATCTGTTTTGATCCCACAGCAGGAGCAGTTGATCTGGTTGTTCCAGGTCAACACGTCCTGCTGAAAGAAGCAATCCAGGCATTCCTGGAGAAGAAAGGGGTTTGGGAAAGAGGCATAGTTAATTACAGGGATTGCATGCTTGCCATGAAATCCCACACTGATTATCTTGGAAAGGTTGCATGGCATTCAACGTTTAACCCCACAAGTAGGCATTTTTTTTCCTAGTCAGTGGACATAGCTGAAGTCTGCAAGCTTCTCATCGTTCTACGTGAAGGTCTCATTGGATTAACTAACTGGCTGCCATGAGAAGCTTTCCCCATCATAAAACGCGCTTCGGTTAGTACTCTACACCAGGGCTTTTCAACCAGTGGTACGGGTACCACCTATGGTACATTGGCACCTGGCAGGTGGTACGCGAGCATCCCAGAAAAGTGATAGCAGGGGAGAGGAATGAGCTGAACCGGTGGCAGCACCGCACAAGCTTGAGCGAGAGATGGCTGGAGCTGCAGGGCTGTCAGAGCTCAGTGGAAGCGCCAGGATCAGCGCCAGGCTCCAACTGGAGCTTGGTGCCGATCCTGGCGCTTCTGCTGAGCCCAGAAGAAGCGCCGATCAGCTGGAATGTTGCAGCATCCCCAGGGTCTTATGATTTACATTCAGATGCTTGGCAACTGATTCATATTTATGATGGTCACAGTGTCCCAGGGACATGTGAAGTGACCAAAACCTGCCTCAGCCAAGTTTGACACCTTGCTAGGCGACTGGTGGTACTCGGATATTGCCATATCCTAAAAGTGGTACCGTGGGTGAAAAGGTTGAAAAGCCCTGCTCTACACTACTGAAGTTGGCCCCACATAATGTCCCGGGTTACCTTCTTCTTTTGTTTTAGAAAAGCAAGCACATACTAGAACAAAACTACGGTATGCCCCTTCTACCACTTTTAATTTCTAAGCATGCCACACAAAGCCTAGAACTGATCTTGCGAGTAAACATAGGGGAAAGTTCGGTGTTTGTAGCACAGCAAGCTACGTCCTCCATTTAATTTTTTTAAATATATATATAATATTGATCATGAGTAACAAACAGGCTGTTGATAGGTGCCACTTTGTTTTCATAGAAATAAAAATAACGTATTGCACATACACAGCTATGGAGGGTAGGAAGCCCAGTTAGATTTCTTAGGTACTATCAACATCATCACTTCTTAGGATCAGATCGCAGAGGGAAGAATGAATATATTCTCCTTTCCTCTCCCCTTTTCTCTCCTTTCCTTCTTCCCTTCTCTCCCTTCCCCTCCCCTCCCCTCTCCTTTCCTTCTTCCCCTCCCTTCCCTGCTATTCCAATCACTCTTGACTCTGAGCAGATCACATACCTAATCTTCATAGATCAGGGTAAAAGAGGAATTTTAAAAATTAATCAAGAACGAACAATGCTGTGAGATACAAAACACCAGCACTACACTAATCCATTAGATTGCACCATATGGGGTTTGTTTAAAGCAGTGGTTCTCAACCTTTTTAATGCCGTGACCCCCCAACCGGTCATAAGTCGAGGACTACTCAACTGGTTGTAAGTCGAGGACTACTCAACTGGTGCAGCACCATTTGCAGAATGGGACTTTTGGCAGGCTCAGCAGGGCAGAGACAGCCTGGACAATTCCTATTGGCTTTTGAAAGCCAATAGAATTAGACTCTATTCAAGAGAGTCTATTCTATTGGCTTTCAAAAGCCAATAGAATAAAAGGGAGTAGCACAGCTAAGGAAAAGGGGGAAAAAATGGCGGACTGCGTTGTTTGGCGACCCCCGTGAAATGGTTGTTCGACCCCAAATGGGGTCCCGACCCACAGGTTGAGAACCACTGGTTTAAAGCAACTGAATAGGGACGGTTTTCATCCCTAGAGAAAAGCCAATACCTCGAGGGAACACTCCGATTCATAGGGTATCGGTAGAGACAGCACGGTGAAGATCTCAGTTTTGTAAGTCGTGGTTTGACATTCCAAACACATGATATCATAGCTAAGATGTCCTTCGAAAAGTCGGGTGATAATGGAACATTCGCTAAGGCAACTCCTGGATTCCCAAGCAGTCGATGAGCTTCCCTGATTTTTTTTCTTATTTGTCTACAGAAGAGGGGAAAGGAGCCATGAGATGGAAAAGTCAGACAATTTCCATCAGGCGCGAAAGACCAGGTCCACCCGTGAAAGTTCAATTAAACTGATTTATTTATTTTTTTGCTACCCATGCCAATGCACAGGAATCTTCTCAACCAATGGTTAACAATTGCTTGGAGTCAGACAAGGATGGGTCAGTGGAATTCTAGAGGGGTTGGACTTTGTTCATTTATGGCTACGTGGAGATTCTAGGCTGATCACTCTTTTAACTCCGCCCCCAGGTTCTGCTACATCTCCTGCAAGTTCTCACCTGCTACTGTACCAATTCAAAGCTAAACGTTTTATGCTTTCATCCTCAAATGTAATGCAGTAATACATTTCAGATTCACCACTAGAACTTCACAATGACTTCCACAAAAAGCCGTGGATTAGGATTGGGGAAATCTGAGTTCTCGGCCTTCATTAGACATGGAAGCCAACTGGGAGGTTCTGCGCCAGATACTCTCTCAGCCCTAAGAAGGAAGCAATGGCAAATCACTTCTAGAAATGCTTTCTAGAAAACCCCCAGGAGTCAAAATCTGATTTTGAACAAACCCAAACCACCCAATGTGATAACTAGGCATATATTGACACCCATAACTTGAAATGTGAAATATCCTACAGATTAAGGAAAAAAAGGATATCACCATTGCCTACAAAGAATTAAAATCTCCGTATGGAAATATGTTATGAACAGTTCGAAACATGGCACGGCACATACTTCAGTATATATATATATATATATGTTTTATATATATAAAACAAATGGCTGTTAAAGATATATTTTTCTGTAGCATTGGCATTATTTTTCTTTTCTTTCTTTCCTTTGTTTGGTTCTTTAAATATAATTCCAAATCACAATGTTACATGGATAAGCCATCCATGTATGTACAACATTGGACAGGCTATAGTTTATTATGCCTTCCAACTATGATTGAAACCATCAATCAAATGGGATTTTGCCATCCGGCATGGCCACCTGTAGTTATTCAAAACGTACTTTCATCTTCTCAACACTTGAGTCAGCAAAACATGACTTGCTGAAAAACAAATTAAAATAGGAGAGTAGAAAGAACTCTGCGTTTGGTACCGTAGTACTAGAAGCAAAAGATATCCAGGGTTAATTATGCCTGATTTTGCTGATCGGCATTCTCCAAACTTTTTTCCAAGCTCCGCGGGTTACATAATCCTTCTTTCAAGGCCGCCTAGCTTCATCAATGACAAACGCTGTTTACCTTTTTGAGAGCTTCATGTAGTTCATTCAAGACATAGATCAGAAACTCTTGAGCATCTTGTTGAGTTTTCTTAATGAAAGCAGGGTACCGTTCACCAATGACCAATCTAAAAACCTCTGGAGAGACACAGTCAAAGTCCCCAAGCCACATGTCATTCATCAGGTAGGCAAAGGCTGTTGCAATCTCTCCATTCTCCCTTAGAAAAGAGGTGGCATATATCAGAACACGACAAGATTATTCACACCTTGCTGGATCAAGCTTTGGTTCATCTACACTGGCAATATGTCCTCACTGAGCCAACCACCTACTCAAGGAAAATCGCCAATGTCTCCCAGCCAATGACCTCCCCTCCGGCCATCAAGGCTGAAAACCATGTTGAGGAAACGGATCAACCAACACAAAAACACTGGAAGGTTTATGGATCCGCAGGCTCGGCAAATCGGGCTAGATGTCAACTGCTCAAGCAGCTTTGTTCAATTTCTATATTTTCTGTCCTGAATATTTAAAAAAAAATCAATAATGATATGACTTGATCTACTGCCATTGTCATTATGAGCATCGCTGTTTTCTAGCCTCATTATAGATCATCTTGTAATTTCCACATATGCTCTGCTAGGGCAGACTTCCACAACCTTGGCAACTTGGATTTCAACTCCCAGAATTGCCCCACCTGTTATGCTGGCTGAGGAATTCTGGGAACTGAAGTTCAGACAGCTTAAAGTAGCCAAGGTTGAGGAACAGTGCTGCAGAGTGACAGAAGGTTTCTTTCTTGCACCGTTGAATTTTGAAATAGTATGAGATAGCAATTAACTTGCTCATGATACTACATGTAGTCAGCATTACTCCAGACTTCCTGGAACAGAGGTGAGTCCCTCTGTTCTAACCATATATGTTAAATACCTTCGTACATTGAGAACCAATGTAAAAATTATGGAAACTGCTTCTTTGCATTAGATTCACATGTCAAAAGAAGTGTCTTACTTGCTTTTTAATGAAACTTTCTGTCCCTCTCTCTATTTAGAACCACTTTCCTATATTCCTTCAAAAAAGAGATTAGAAAACTCAGTCTAAAGTTTGCTTGACATATATTCATGGTCCATACATTAATAACAGAGTTAATAAAGACGGTGTAAGGACCCACCCCACTTTGCATCTTAAGAAGACAGAACTCTTGGAATATTTCTTCCATCAGGCATCCTTTATTAAGAGAAAATGGTTGCAGGCGTTCTAGACAGGACCTGGGGCCCAAACCCTACGGTTCAAGGTTTTAAGGGGTCCCCAGCAGCCCCACCCCACCCCACCATCCTTCCAGTGACAATCCCAGGCGTTACATTTCCACCTTTTCCTCACTGCCAGTGGAAGGGAGACTTCAGAGGGGAGTAGATGAAAGCTGATGGCCCCATTGTTATGTGTAGTCCTTTTGGTGGTATCCACATTCAGTCCCTTTTGAAGTTGTACCAAAGGAAGTGGGGGCCATAAAACCCCTTTGTTCACCCCCCTTCCCCTTCATCGTATGACAGAATCCAGAGAGGGCAGAAATGGGGTTTTCCATAGTCGATAACTAGAGATGAAATATAATTGGATTCTGACAGACGGCAATCTCAAACAGGAGTCACTAAAAAAAAATACCCCAGAAAGCCCTAAGACTTGTGAATTAATTCCTATGGAACTTTGTGGCTTCAGGGGAAAAGAAATTATCTTTAGCTTAATAATAGTGAGCAATTTCCTAAAGGACATTCTTGCGCAACAAAGCAATCCACTTACTTGTCTAACGAGGCTATATATTTTCCAGAGAGGAAATATTCCACCAACGGGGATACACTGCAAAGGCACTGGATTACAGCATTCATATAACATGTGTTGCCTAAATTACGCAGGCCGGTAAGTCCTTGGTATTGTGGGTTTGTGTCATCTCTGGATATATCCATAGACTCTTCTGAAGGCGGCCAGGGAAAGGCACTCTTGCTGTAGTTCCAAAGCCAAACAATTGTCAAAGAAATTTGAGTCCCAGCATGAACAAAAATATTTATTTACAAGAGTTTCCATTCCAATTTCTATCAGTTAATGAGTTTCCTAGATAGCTAAACAATTGATGAGATAAGATAAACCTTCATTGTCATTTTTTACTGTGGGCGCAACGGCCCATATCAAAAATGAAATTTAGTTGCCCGCTCTCAAAGTGAACACGTACAATTTCCAACAAGTTTTGGTTTCGGCTCAAGTCCTAACATGAACAAAATCTTCTATTTATGAGAGTTTTTGTTCCAGTTTGTATAAATTAATCAGTCTCCTAGTCAACAAGGAACTGAATATAGGACAAGGAAGTTGTTTGGTTGATACAATAAGCACATGAGAATTAAATGATCCGGTTGGTGCTGAAATCAAACCGGTTCAAAGCTGCTCAAGCCAAACTAGGATTATCGTTATTTAGGGGTAGGGGACTTCCAGTTCTCATCCATACAGAAAAAATACATAATATAAACAATAACAGACTTTTCCTGGGTCATATCAATCCACAAACTATACAGAAGACATTGCCTAATAATGCTAGCTTGCCTGCCTGTATTTTAATTTTCCTACCACACTGACTTGTTAAAACATTTTCAGTTCAGCTTCACAATTTATGGGAAGTAGTACAAAATCTGTGAGATCTAGGAGTCAACACCAGAATACAGAGTTGGAAGGGGCCTTGGAGGTCTTCTAGTCCAACCCCCTGCTCAAGCAGCATACCCTATATCATTCTGGACAAATGGCCATCCAGTCTCTTCTTAAAAACCTCCAGTAATGGAGCACCCACTTCTGGAGAGAAACTGTTCCACTGATTAACTGTTCTAATTTCTCCTTAGTTCTAAGTTGGATCTTTCCTTGATAAGTTCCCATCTGTTACTTCTTGTGCTGCCTTCAGGTGCCTTGAAGACTAGGATGACCCCTTTTCCTCTTGACAGCTCCTCAAACATTGGAAGACCATTATCATGTCACCTCCTAGAGTAGACACATCCAATTCCTGCAGTCGTTCATCATCCAGATCTCCCCAAAATAAACCAAAGAAAAGATTTCTCCATAGCCTCCCCTTCATCTCTTAGTCACTAGACAGTAATTAATTAGGAACAAAAAACTCACAGAAGATAATATATATTGAATTCTTCTGGCATATTTGTTGACCTGGAAGCCATCAGCTGGCTTGCAAGGAGACAAAGCAATGCTTGAATACTTCAAGTTTTAAAGGAGCCAGTTTACCACCGCCTCTTCATTTTGATGCTTGGTTTCTGGATTTTCTGGTGCAATCAGATGGTTTCATCTTACTCGCATTCAGGAGGGCTGCCCCCAAATATAAGGGTTGGTCCCTTTGACTATTTGCAGTTCTTCCTGATGTTTCAATATGGATTCTTCTGGCATCATAAATATATTCTACCTTGTTGCTAGGCAATGCCATTGGGATATTTCTAACAAAATACAACACCCAGTGATTCCGGAATCCTAGTTCACCATTCTAGTCAATTGCTTTCCAGGAGCTGATTTATCTCATACACAGCATACCTGAACCACAGAGATATGGGTTCCATGGACTCAAAAAGCTTCATCGATACGGTTTTCTCTTTCCAGCATTTTTTTTCTACTTTCTCCTAAGCAGATGTTACCTTACTTTGGGCTTTATAGCAAGGCAGAACTTTAGCAAACAACACGGACAACTTTGAGCCACTCCTTGTTCCTCAATTAGTAGACATGACTTGATTTCTCAAGAAACCAGAACAAAAAAATAAACAGAGTCCTTCTTCATTGCTGCACTAGCTTCTGTGACTAACGTCCTATATCTTGAAGGTTTCAGCAGTTTTCACTAAATCAATAACATTTCTCTTTTCCATTCCCTGTTCAGGCCGTTCAAATAAGGAAAGAGGTCAGCAGTCTAAACAAGAATAAATTTATTTGGGATTGTTTAAAGATTTATTGATATATAAAACGTATACAGTTTTTATAGCTTTAATACATTATTTATTTCCTCCCCCAGCGACATAAACCACCATTTAAACAGCTATTGTGTTCGTGCCTTAATGTCTGTATCTATAAGATACACTACAAATTTTTTTAAAAAAACAATTACTAAGCGTTATGATGCCTTTTAATTAAAAATTACAATTAGTACCTATTTAACAACAAAAAAACAAAAAAAAACCTTGCAGCATGAAACTTTAATTGGACAAAGAGGTTCTTGTTGAATTTTCAACAAATTTGGACAGGTAAATTACATTTTTATTGGCATAAAGTTGCATTGCAATCTCCCGTACAATACATAATGTAAATTCAACCCTATTTTTTTCTCTCTCTCTTTTAAATAAGTCCCATAGATAAACATAAAAGATGCACTCTCACAGAATAGCAAATACAACTGAAGGGCTCTTTTGGGAGGTCACCTAGGTCGTGTAGGAACCAGAACACACACACACTCTCTCTTCCAATATCTCAAAAGTTGCCAGGCACTGCTGTGGTTCTCTCTGCATCAACTTTACTTCTCACTGAAAGCTGGGACAAAAACGGATGTAGCAAGAAGTTCCAAAGAAGACTCTTGTCTGCATCATCTGAAATGTTGGATATTTCCCAGCAGTACAGGAAGGCACGCCGCAGGGGTAGCATCGGAAAAAATCCTTAAAATCCATGTGTACATTCAGGTTCCGTGTAGAGGTTGAGAAGATCTTTGGAAGGCAACATTAATGAAGCAGCCAGGAGATTTCAAGAACACCGGTTCACTTCACAAAGACCGCTTCTTATCCCAAAACCAGATCTTATGCTATTTTGTCTTCTGCCACTCTGATTAACCCCCCACACACACCCACCCTCTTTCCAAATCTCGCTTATACTTTTCCTACTCATAGACAGTGCCTTAATAAAAATTGAAATATATATTGGTTTGATTTTAAAAAGAGGGGGGGGGAATTCATTACACACAATCCATCCCATGCGAACTGGCTCCACACTTCAGTGGGTGAATCCTGATGCAGGAGACAAGGCCATTGCACGTCTGGGGGGGGGAGAACCAGAGGTTCAACCCCTTCGTAGCTCAAAGCTTACTGGCACAATGATCGATATTCTTAGGAGCAGCTTGTTCCCACTCAGCCACATAAAACATACGTGGCGCGTTGTCCAGAGAGCACCTCGGGACCCCCAAGATGTGTCAAAGAACCCTTTGGCAATGGAGCAGGGGGTGGCAGCTCTCTCTCCCATTTCTCTGGTCAGATTGACAGAAACCAGCTGCCAATAACCTGGAGCACCCTCTGCCTTAGGACCACTGAAAGCCAAAATGTCATTTTGGTCATGGACACATATTGCACTACAGCGTGAAGGGGCCGAGAGGGGGGGGGGGAGAGAGAGAGTGAGCCCCTCCGCAGACCAAGGTAATAAAATGGACAGTTTAATTCCTTCCGCTAAAATGCTTCTTTTAAAAAAAGCTACTTCATAAATACTTAATTCGACTCCACCTTGGAAAAAGGAACTTGAAGGATAAATTGACAGCTTGCCAGCTCCTCCTCTGAAGACTATGCCCATATTTCACGAGAACCCCTTCCTAAACTACTGGTCAGTTTCCAGGGCCAGAGCCAGTGTAGGGAGAAGCGGGGGGCACTGGGGACCCGACTGACTGTTGCAAGCATTTGATTAAAAAAAAAAAAAAAGCCAGGGTGTATTGTTACAGCATCAAGTGTCTGGAACCGGTTGAGTTGGATTCTTTGGTGCAGCTCCCGGGCTGAATATTTAGCTCTGGAGAATCTTCTTGAGGCAGCAGGATTTTATCAGGTGTATAGTCATTCCTTTTCAAATCTGCCAAAGAATAACAATAAAAAAAAAAAAACAGAGAGCCAAGTCCGGGAAGAGGGAAGGGAGAGAAGAGAAGAGAAGGAAAGGAGCCTACGTTACTATCAATTAAAAAAAAAGGAATCTGTATGCCACTAGTAACACTTTCTGGACGTTTTTTTCTCTCCAAAGCAGCAATATTACACTTTACTGATTCTCCATGCTAGATTGCCTAACTAGCACTTAATCTTAGAAGAGATGCAAGACATTCAAACAAGACAGCGACTAGCTTTTGGTTTGGCTATTTGGTACCTGTTGTGAGATGGCCAAATTCGCCAGCAAGGACTCAGTTTCGGTATGAAAGGAGCTCAAGCTATCTGTGGCCAGGAGCCACACCTAAAAGATGACACTCTTGAGAGACACAATGGAAAAGACAGTGATGCCAAGGGCAGGGGGTATCTTTGAGATTTTGGATGGAGTTTGGGGAGCTATCTCTCTCTTTTTAAACCTCAGTGTTATGGATTATGATGCAGGAACTCACGACAAAACGATCCAAATGAATTCCACTGACTCTACCCTCGCTTGGAGCAACCACAGAGGTGTCACATTTCTTTTCCATATGAAAAAGAAGCCGCGATGGAGAGGTTCCTGTCCTTTAAATAGAGTGTTTGGTTTACCTGGGAGCTTAAGTTTCCTACAGCAGGAGTTGCAGTGGTGCTTAGCTCTGAAATTCTTAATGGCATCCTCTCCCAAGTTGGCAGGACCAAATACCATATCGCTTGACCTTGAACACAAAACAGGTTTTCTTTCAAAATCCCTTGCAGGCACACCAGGACTGCTGCCTCCTATGCCATAGGAAGAAGAACCTTCAGCAAACTTACCTTTTTTCTTCAGCTTTTATTACAGAAGGGTCGGTTAGGTTTTCTCCAACACCTTTGCAAGAAAGAGCAAAAGTTATAACTGTGATCGTTGCTCGGACCTGGGGTCCGCAAAAGAGAGAAGGGTCAAGCCAAGCACCACATTTGTATATAGTATGTTTTAAAGGGGGGTTATGTATGTGTACGCTTTGAGAGGAAGCAACTAAATTTCGTTTTTAATGTGTGCCATTGTGCCTACAAGGAAAAATGACAATTTGTTGTGGTTAATTGTGAAGTCGTGTCCAACCCATCGTGACCCCATGGACAAGGTTCCTCCAGGCCTTCCTGTCCTCTACCATCTTCTGGAGTCCATTGAAGCTTACGCCTCCTGCTTCAGGGACTCCATCCAGCCACCTCATTCTCTGTCGTCCCCTTCTTCTCTTGCCCTCAATCTTTCCCAGCATCAGGCTCTTCTCCAGTGAGTCCTTCCTTCTCATTAGGTAGCCAAAGTACTTGAGTCTCAACTTCAGGATCTGGCCTTCTAAAGAGCAGTCGGGGTTGATAATCTAATAATCTAATCTAAAAAAAATATTTAACGTCAAGAAGCACCTCTCAAGCCTCACTTTCTCTCAACTGCTGCAGAGCAAGTTTTTGCCTAATTCTTACAGGTGGTCCTCCACTTACAACAGTTCACTTACCATAGTAACCATTCAAAGTTACAACAGCACTGAAAAAAGTGGCTTATGGCCATTTTTCACACTTACGACCGTTGCAGCCTCCCCGGGGACACGTGAACAAAATTCAGACACTTGGCCACTGGCTCATATTTATGATGTTTTAAAAGATTTTTTAAAAAAACAATAAAAAGGAAGAAGTTCTTCTGGAACGTTTGAAGTCATGAGAAGGAACTAGACTGGCACAGTCTTTCTGTACACAAAGCTACAAGGAATAAATCTTAATCTACTGTCAACGCTGCTAACAATGGATGTTCTTGCCTTGACAAAATATGAAGAGGCAACCACTCTCTGTATAAGCTGTGTGGTACTTTTAGAGTTAAATTAGATGATGCTAGGAGGGACGGAGAAAGAATGTGTGTGGGGAGTAGTTAAGATACCACAGGCTACAGAACTGAAGGGAAACTATGCCCTTCAAACTGATTGGAGAACGTGATTTATGACTGCAAATTAGAGGAGGGAAACATGCTGGAATATTATGTGCTCAGGGGAGGGGAATTCAGATCTTGGCATCCACCATGCTGTGCCGACACTTCGTTTCACGATTAAAGACTTCTTAGGATAAACAATGCCTGGAAGGTCTCTGAAGTGTTTCATTAGTCGGAACCATGACACCTACCTTGCAAATCAAGGACCAACAGCTCTCCTCGCGTGTACTCGTACGTCCAGTGGCTGAAAGCCAGCATGACCTCCTCCAGCATGTTGGTTGGGATGATTTCATCTCCATTGTTGTTGTTGTACTTTCTGAATTCTCCAGTCATGCATTCTTCAACGGCAAACCACTGCCCGGCGGAGTGGCAATACAAGAGGAACACTTCCAAAAACCTTGTGAGGAAACATTGTAAGCGGTTTGAGGGAGACGCTCATTTCCCCCGCGTGCACACAACTAAAAAAAAAAAAATGGGGTGTCGCACATCCGAATCCTCCTTAATACATTAGTTATTTGTTTAATATCCAGAAGAATTAAATTAGCTGTTTGGGTATATTTTTTCTAGAAATCTGTTCTTCTGTTTGTGCAAACACACACACACACACAACGGCTGGCAGCAGCAGTTATTGTAGATGAGCGTAATCTACTATTTTCTGCATCCAAGTAAACCATTTTCTGCATCTGTGGGTCGGGACCACATTTGGGGTCAAACAACCATTTCACGAGGGTCACCAAACCACGCTGTCCGCCGTTTTTTCCCTTTTCCCTAGCTGTCCTACTCTCTCTTATTGGTGGCCACACCCACTTGGGGGTCACCACAACATGGGGAACTGTATTATGGGGTCACGGCATTAGAAAGGTTGAGAACCACTGATCTAGAAAGCAAGTAATTAAATCCACCACTCGTGCCCTAGAGATTAAGGAAACCCGTGTACCCCTTGCGTAATTTAGTCTA